CAACATGTGGTATTGGATCCTGTACCAGAGTAGGCACACACACACAAAAAGAAAAAAAAAAAAAAACAGTAGTTTTGGAATGGATCAAAAGTCCCTCCCTGTGATTAAAGACACAAGGCAACTAATTACAACATGTGGTATTGGATCCTGTACCAGAGTAGGAAAAAATACTATAAAAGAGGCTTTTGGGTCAATTAACAAAACTGGAACATAATAGATTATGTAAGTAGTAGATCAATGTTGAATATCCTGAGGTTAATAAATGTTCTGTAGTTACGTAAGACAATGTTCTCGTCCTTTGGAAATACAGACCGAAGTGTTTTAAGGGTAAAAGCGCAAGATTTAAATGATTTACTCTTAAATAGTCTAGGGAAAAAATTGTGTGTCTATATGAATACAAAAAGAGAAAGAGAGATGAGGCAGGGAGGAAGACAGTCACCATTCAAATAAATGAGTCAAAATTAACAGCTGGCAAGTATCAATAAAGGGTGTAAAATAGTTTCTGTATTACTCTTGCAACATTTCTATTCATTTGAAATTATTTATAAGTTAAAAGGGTTTTTTTTTTCCTTTTTTTAAGGACCCTCTTTCTATGAGGGAGTAAACAATTGTATACAGATTTTCAATAGCCAGTGGGCTAGAAACTGTAACTTCTTCACCTGTACTTGTAATGGAAAAACAATGGAATATGTATTATTCATGGATTTTATTTTGTGTACAAGCATAGCTTTTAGGTAAAGTGTGGTATACCTGAAATCAAGATTTTGGCATAGTTACAGTAAAAAAATTTGCTAACCAAATTTTTTAAATCTTCACATAATGCCCCCCTCTTTCTTTGCCATAATTAGTTTACTATGCTTCTTCTGAAAAAATATAATGAGTATATAAATTTCAGGAAAATAAATTTTATCTCTATTTAGAATGAAATAAGTATTTTCAAAGAATCTAATTGTTTCAGTAACACATTCAGCTGCAGTTATTAAGAGCTAATTTGTCCTTCAGCATATAAGAGGAAATTGCTTTTTATTTCTAAACTTACTTATCAAGACTTAGCACATAAAAATAATGGCAGCAAAACCACAACACTCCTGTGAATGTTCCTTTTGTCTTTTAAATGGCATGGCTAAATATCTAACCACAAGACTGGAAAACTAGGCTGGAATTTCTATTCTAGTTTTATCACTAATATGCTATCAAAACTTAAAAATAGTGACAACAGTTTGACACTATTCTTTCTTCAATTGTGGGCTGACTGAAACTATGAAACAGACCATGGAAGTAAAGATAAGCATCCTACATGAAAAAATAGATTACAGTTCTAAACATATTCTTCCAGGGTCACTCTTTTAATGAGCCCTCAAAAGATCAATTTTAAATTTCTAAATAAATAGAAAAATCTCACATTAGCTTGATACTGCTCCAGAATCACATGACCTGGAAATTCTGGCTCAGGCACAGATGCAAACTTCTTGATAATGTCTTCAAGTGCCTGAAGCCCAGCCATCCGCAGCTGGTTGCTATGATCAGTTGCAGCCATGAATGCCATTCGAATCAGGTCAGAGAGATGGAGTACTAAGAGGTCATCTAAAAATAAAAATAGAATGAAAAAAAAAAAAATTTCAAAAATTAGTGTAATAACATAAAAAATACAAAATAAATTCTATTAACTTCTCTTTTGACCTACATATTTTATGATGTTTTTAAAAACAAGATATTTATTGTTTCAAGAAAACTTAATCTTCTATTAATTAAGATTAATCTTCTACTAATCTTCCCAGAACAGTGCTAAACCTAAAAACCATCTGTGTTAATATACTGTGTTAATTCATTAATATAGATAAATACAGGATGTACAATGACATCTGAAGTAAAATACTTGATTAGTATAACTTTACCTAATGAGTTTGTGAATCTTTAAGAATGGGTGGGCTGGGGTTGTGGCTCAGTAGCAAAGCGCTTGCCTTGCACATGTGAAGTACTGGGTTTGATCCTCAGCACCACATAAAAATAAATAAACAAAATAAAGACACTGGGTCCCTCTATAACTAAAAAAAAAAAATAAATAAATAAATAAAATAAAAGGAATGTGTGAGCGACTTTTTCTGTAAAGGATAAGATAAAAAAGTATTTTTGGCTTTGCAAGGCATACCACCTCTATACAACTACTCAACTCTGCTGTGACAGTACAAAAGCAAACACAGACAATATATATGGAAATGAGTGTGTTATTCTAATAAACTTTATTTACAAAAACAGGCTACAGGCTGGATTTGTACTGCAGGCTATAGTTTGCCAGTTCATACTTTAGAAAAACTCAGATTTGTAGACAGGAAACTCAAATTCACAAGATGAGGACAATTTTGTGAAAAATAGATGTGAAAGGATAAATTTTGTTTCTTTCAGCCTAAGAGTAAAAGGCTAGCCTGGATCTTACTTAAAAGCAAGTCTTGAATTCACATGACACAAAATATTGTAATTTGACTACATCCCAGAACAAAGACTAATACTATTTGAAAGACCACAGAAAAATCCAAAACTAACATAAAAAATTACGAGCATGCAAAGACATAGGAAAATATGTCTCATAACAAAAAGAAAAAATGATAAATAGGGACAGATTAAAATTGAAAAAGAAAATAAACTTAAAAACAGGGAATTTATTTTTTCTTTTTATTATTATTTTATTCTTTTTTGGTTCTGGGGATTGAACTCAGGAGCACTCAACCACTGAGTTACATCCCAGCCCCATTTTGTATTTTATTTACAGACAGGGTCTCACTGAGTTGCTGAGGCGCCTCACTTTTGCTTTGAACTCAAGATCTTCCTTTCTCAGCCTCCTGAGCCACTGGATTACAGGTGTGCCCCACCACACCCAGGTATTTTTTATTTTTTGTGGTGCTAAAGATCCAAACCAGGGTCTCACACATGCTAAGGAGACATTCCACCACTGAGTGACATTCTCAGCCCCAGACAGTGAATTACTTTTAAAAAAATATGCTTCTTTTTTTTTTTTAAAGAGAGAGAGAGAGAGAAAGAGAGAGAGAATTTTAATATTTATTTTTTTAGTTTTCGGCAGACACATCTTTGTATGTGGTGCTAAGGATCGCACTCGGGCCGCACGCATGCCAGGCGAGCGCGCTACCACATGAGCCACATCCCAGCCCCCCCAAAAATATGCTTCTTATACTGAAAAAAGACAAGGACAGCATGAACATGATAAAGGGAGAAATGAAAGTCAGAAATAAGAAAAAAAAATAAACTGGATAAGATTAATAGAGATTAGATATGAAAGATCAGTGAATTTAAAAGACATAGCGACACAAATTATCTAAAGAATGTATCAAATTCAAGTATTCTCCAGTGTTTTAGTTTCGATGTGATGTGTCCCCCAAAGGCTTTTGTGTGAGGCAATGCAAGAAGGTTTAGAAGAGAAATGACCGGACCACAGTAAACTTAATCCAATCAGTGAATAATTGTATGATGAGGTTAACTGAGTGGGGCTAAAGGTGGGTAGGGTGTGGCCGGAGGAGGTGGGTCATTGGGGGCGTAGGTTTGGAGTAGATATTTTGTATGTGGTCAGTGGAATCTCTCTGCTTCCTGATCATCATGTGAGCCACTTCCCTCTGCCACATTCTTCTGCCTCGAGCCCTGAGGAATGGAACCTACTGTGTATGGATTGAGACCTCCGAAACTGTGAGCCCCCAAATAAACTTTTCTTCCTGAAATTGTTCTGGTCAGGTCTTTTAGTCACAGTAGCAAAAAAGCTGACTAAAACATTCAGGAAGCTCTAAGGTTCTCATAGTCTTTTTGAAGCAGTGGCAATTCTGAGGCTCAACCAGATCCCCAAACAGTACCTATTTAAATAAGTTTTAGTTGTTATTATTGTAAAGGATATGAGACATATATCTTCAATTTTTTTTTCATGTGCCTACATAAAATACCAATTTCAGAATCTCAAATTTAAATGTTGTAATATCTATTGGTTTTAGGTCAGGAGCAAGTAGAGTGGGTAAAACATTTGGCTAGAAGCCTTAATAATTCCTCACCTAAGAGAGGCAACAACAGTAAACCAGAATTTGGGAGGAATTTCCAAGGCAGAAGGAACTGGATTAACAAAGGCTTACTCATATTATACAACCTAAAAGTACATAAAAGGCTTATTATTCCTCCTGAACTCTCTGTCACCTAATTCACAGTCTAACTATATCCATATATCAAACCAAAAGCTAGGCAATTGTCCTTGGACTGACAGAGATGCTTTGCCCAGCAATCTAAAGACATTTCTGTCTTTAACATTCCTCAAGTTGTGACCACTTTTTTTAAATACTAAGGAGATGAACTCCTGAAGAGTGGGAATAGGGAGGAGGCCTGGGTACAAACTCCAAAATGGTGAGAAAAATAGGAGGCCAATAGAAGTTTCCTACATTCTGGGAACAGGAGTTCTCTGCAACTAAAGTACATTAGATAGGAAAACAGGGAGGTGGAAATGCCACAGAAAGAGCCTGGATAGCACATGCCGTGAGTCTACATTTTTCCACAGACTCTGCCATGACCATTCAGAATTAGAATGGGTCCTATTTCTTCCAGCAGAAGAAAGCACATTAGAGATCAGAATGGAGGTGGGGAGCTGTTAGATCAGCTTACCATCCAGCTGCAGCTGTGAAGTCCCCAGTGAACAAAGACAGAGAGCATAGGCAATCCATCCACCATCCACACACAGTACCACACAGTGAGCAAATCCAAATATGGAGAGCACTCTTCCCTTTCCCTTTTATATTTTCTCTTTCTCTTATATATTTTCTCTTTTATATTAACAAGTAAGTCATTGAAGAAAACATAAAAAGGGAAAAGAAAGAATCTGAAGATTCAGAGACGAGTTAAACTCTGTTAACAATTTTCTATAAAACCATAATAAAATTTAGAAAACCATTTGGAATCCTCAATAGGATAAAAAAAGAAAAACCTGATGGTTGCTAAAGAATAAGAATATAAAACCTTAAAAGTGAAATTATAATATAATGGAAGTGGGAGAAATACAGAAAAATTGTAAGAAACTAAATACATAAAAACAGACTTCAGATCCCCTACAGAGAAAAGAATAAAACACATATAAAAGGAAAGCTTTTGAACATCTTTAAGAATGCAGATAAAAGAATAAGACAAAATGAGAAAATAGTTAAGAAGCATAAAGCAAAGAAAAATAACCCAAGCATTTTCACTATTCCTAAAGTACAGTTTGCACAATTATGAATCTAAAATTTTAAAAATTCTTATTTCTTATGCTTTTAATAAGCTAATATGGTAAAGCAGAATAATGGTGCCCAAAGATGTCTACACCTTAACCCTAGAACATGTGAATATGTTACCTTACATGGCAACAGGGACTTTGCAGATGGAACTAAGGTTATGGATCTTGAAACAGAGATGGTCCTAAATTATTCAGTTGGGCCTAGTCAAATCACACAGTGCTTAAAAGCAGAATCTGGGTTGGGGCGTAGTTTAGTGGTAGAGTGTTTGGCTGGCATGCATGACGCCTTAAAACAAAACAAAACTTGACCCTCAAAACAAAACAAAAGGAACCATGACCTTTCCTGGCTAGAGTCAAATAGAGTAATGACTGAAGAAGTGTCACAGAGACTCAACACTGCTGGCTGTAAACAAAAAGAAAAAGGCCCACAAGGCAAAGAATGTAGGCAGTATACAAAAGCTAGGAAGGGAACAGGGTTCCCCACAATGCCTCCAAAAGGAGCCCAGCCCTGCTTTAACACAGTGAGACTTTGACCTACAGAGCTATAAGGTAATAAACTCATGTTATGTTGAACCAAAGTTGTAGTCACTTGCTACAGCAGCAATAGAAAACTAATACAAGCAGTCTCTTTTAACCTAGAAAACCTTTCTTTGCCTTTAAAACCCAACTTCAGAATAATCTCCCCTCTGAGATCTTCTCTGACTTTTCAGGAAATAAATGACCTTTTTTAATGTTCCCAAAGTATTATCTATTACACCACTATTGGGACACACCATAATTACCAGACTGATAAGCCAACCTCTCTGTTTTTCTTCTTTGTATCCCCAAGGTACATAAAGAATAGGATTCAGCAAATATTTGCTAAACAATGACAAGAATAAAGATACTATTTCATGACATGTTGTACTTTTCTGGTATCCTATATTAAGATTCACATTTTATACATCATGTACTATTACTTTACTTTTTGTAAAATCTATTTATTTTACCTTTAAAAAATATCTATTCATGAGTTCTGCTTCTTTTTGTTTTTTCTGAAGAGTACCAGGGGGAATTGAACCCAGGGACACTTAACTACTGAGCCACATCCCCAGCCCTTTTAATATTTTATTTAGAGACAGGGTCTCACTTGAGTTGTTTAGGGCCTCCATAAGTTGCTAAGGCTGGCTTTGAACTCACAATCCTCCTGCCTCAACCTTCTGAGCTGCTTGGAATACAGGCATATGTCACCACATCAGCTCTGCTGGTTCTTGTATACAATGAAATAACATAAGAAGCATTTTAATTTATAGACTTCAATATTTTTAACACATATAATTTGTCTTTGGATATTTAAAAAATGAGAGGGTGATGGAAAGACAACAAAGCACAAGATAGGAGCCTCTTGACCATGCCTTAGCATCTCTGGGTCTCCTCAACTGGAAAAGGAAGGTTTTATTGGCATGGACCTGATGATCATTTTGTGAATTTCCTATGATATCTCATCCAGAGGATGTATGGTATAAATGATTTACAAAAGATAAAAAGCAGTGAGAGGTTTCTGAAATTAAAAAACTTTCAACTTTTCAAAAATACCTAATAGTATTGCTGAAATCTAAGCGTTTGAAATTGGCTATGACATTCATGAATTCTGACAGTCTCCATGGCTGGGACTGCAAAGCTCCTTTTATTTATGCATCTTAAAGTTTAATCATCTCTTTTACATGGAAATGCTGCAACCAAGACAATGAACTGAAGAAACATAAGTTGCTGCCATCATTATACTGAGGGCAAATGATAGACAGACAGATAGATAGATAGATAGACAGACAGACAGACAGACAGACAGACATGTCTGCCTTTGGATGCCTTCAACTTACTTTTCAAATAGGGATGGACAGCATGTAGGGGACAGAAAACAAAGATAAAAGGCATAGCAACTTACAACAAATTAAAGGCACAGCCTAAAATATGCTAGATAATTGTTAAATATCTCAAACCTATAAACATGCTTTGAGGAAAAGAAGTATTAGTATTAAATTTACTTGTAGGGTTTCGTAGTTTAGCAGAACGTGCCATGGCAAGATCAAAGTGAGCCTGGTCTGCATTTTCACATAAATTGATGATTCGACACAGGCAATCAGCAGCAAATACTCGAGTGGCCCAGCGAGGTGCCACAAAAGGTTTTGATTTATCTTCCTCGCCTAGTGTGGTAAACATGGTATCATCGTCCATCTCATCTTTCTTTTCAGATTCTTCATCTTTTCCACCACTTAAGGGAGTTGCAGTACTCATATCTGTAACAGAAAGAAAGAATATATAACACCTTATCTACAGCAAACATGATGCTTTAGAAACAACATCAATTCTCACTGTGGAAAACAGTAGAACTGGCAAGCTTTTTTAAGAAAATAATTAAAAATCTAATAAAGGATATCATAAATTACTTTAATGCAAAATACACAAGTATTTCAATTTTACACATTGTTTTGTACTACATGTTGAGATTTTTATATACAAAAATTTAATTTGAACTTGAAAAAGCTTTTGAAATAAATTTTATAAAAACTAAAGAAAGATTATTAGTTTGTAATATAATTTGACCTTCAATATTTTTATAGGGATTAAAAACTATTAGTACTCTTTTTTTCTTTTCATTACTGGGAATTGAACCAGAGCCTCATGTATGCTAGGTAAGTGCTTTACCACTGAACTAAAGCCCTAACCCTATTTTATTTTGAGAAAGGTCTAACTTTTATTTTGAGAAAAGGTCTCATTAAATTGCCCAGGCTGGCCACAGATTTGTGATCCTCCTGGTTCAGCCTCCCCAGTGGCAGAGATCACAGGTGTGTGCCATTGTACCCAGCAAGTACTTTAAAATGTAAGCTTATATTTATGTAGGATGTACACTTGTATATTCATATATACTTGTATATATATATATATATATATATATGTACATATATATGTATATATAAATATCTACATCTACTTAACAAAAATAAAAACAATTTTCATTATTTTAAACATTATATACGTACCACTAGAAGCTGCCAGGACATCTTTACAAAGCATTAACCAATGAGAAAGTTTCTCTACTGCCAATGAAGAAAGCATATGTCCCAACGTGTCATGTATATCAGAACATAATTTTCTATCTGTCTCTCGATCAAGCATCCCAAAAAGAAGTCCCTCAAGACCAGTTTCTGTTATATTAACACCTTGGTGCCGGCAATGGATATCGCTTCGAGAACTAACCCCAGGTGCAAAAGGACTGACATCTGAAAAGTAATTTTTACAGATCAATTTGCATGGAATTTTGCTGTATGCTATAGATAACAATTATGGTAAAGATCAAATTTTTCATGTAAATTCACAAGAGCAACAAAACCAGCTGCACAGAGATAAAATTTAACTATGGTCTCTAGTTTACGTATCTTTTGGGTTAAAATTAAATCTAACAATTATGGTTAAGTCCTGGATTTCAAATCTGATAATTTTGAGGTTATTTGAAATGAGAAAGTACTTAAGCAAAAAAACTGTATCGACCAGTAAGAGAACTTACTAGCACCACTGCTCTCTTTGTCCCCTGCATTTTTTGCGAGGCTCATGGCATATTCACATACTTCAGCTGCTTCTCTTTGTGCAAGTTGCCGGAGACATGCCACAGCTGCTCGTCGAAGTAACAAATGGGAACTACATAAGTGTACCTGTGAATCATAACAATTTCAGGGAATGTTTTTAAGTGGTAGTTCTTTAAGTTCACTTCCCCAATGAACATATGTGAACACATTACTTGTGAAGAGGCTCCTAATTAAATAACCTCTGTTATTTCAACTATAGCCAAATAATCATATTTTGGTAAAATAATAATGCCAGTAAGATATACAAAAAATGTTAGTATTAAAATAACTGTGCCAAGATCTATGCACTATGTCTAGATGAAAATCTAGAAGGATCTTTTACATTTCTTATTTTATACATGGTCCCACTAAACTTTGCCATGCAAATTTTGTAAGTATATAAAAATCAAATGTAATGAATGAAAAGTTATGGGATAGAACATATAGTAAAAACTGAAAGCAAAAGAGTGTTTATTTAGATGAAAAATAATCAAGCAAATATAAACATTTGAAAATAACTTCAAACAGAATGTTTTGATACAGAATTTTTTTATCTGAAAAGTTCCTAAAAGAATCAATACAGTACATTCTAATAGATGAAATATATATATATATGGAACAGCAGAGCACAATGGTTAAGGTTCAGGCTCAGATGCCAGTCTGAATTTGAATCCTGCCTCCTCAGTCACTTCTTCCTACATGGTCCTGGATTTGCCCATGCATAAAATGCGAATAGTAATTCTTCACATAAATATAGTGAAAATAGATGAGTTAACACAAGTAAAATGCTTATAACATTCTCTGGTATGAGGTAGCTACTCAATAAACATTAAGTATTAATTATTACTACACATCTGACTCATCAAGAAAACATTAAATTATGTTCCATGCTTTGTTTTCTAAGCAAAGAAGCAAATAAAGTATTTCAGAAAGAGTCCTAGCCATGATGATGGGGGTTAGAGCAGAATATACAACCACTTCACAATGCTAGGTAGTGTTATTCTTATGCATTAATATGGTGTTGCTAACTCAAGATACATTTGTATTAAAAAATCATAGTTCATGAAATCTATACCAAGTATTAAGAAAAAAGAAAACTGAGGGAGAAAACCTGATAGACTTTTATCAATAAAATGTTTTATCTACTTCTCTTCCTAAAAAGAAAGATATTTTCAAACTTTCCAATACTGTATAACTAGAAAGTTCAACCACGGTTTATCAGATGGGAAAAACAAGTCATTTGGTCTATTAAAAAAAAAAAAAACCTCTGCTTTATTTATTTATTTATTTATTTATTTATGGCAATTATAGATAAACAAAATGCCTTTATTTTATTTGTTTATCTTTATGTGGTGTTGAGGTTCGAACCCAGTGCCTTACACATGCTAGGCAACTGCTCTGCCACCGAGCCCCAGCTCCAGTCCTAATAATAGGGACAATGTTCACCTCATGTATCTTACATAATTGTTGAAAGAATCAAAGAGCAGGGCTGGGCATGCGGCTCAAGTGGTAGCGTGATCCCCTGGCATGCGTATGGCCCAAGTTCGATCCTCAGCACTACATACGAATAAAGATATTGTGTCCGCCGGAAAAAAACCTAAAAAATAAATATTAAAATTCATTCTCTCTCTCTCTCTCTCTCAAAAAAAAAAAAAACTAAGGAGCAAAGCACACAAGAAATAGAACACTACAAGTAATAACAATTACAAAAAATTCTAAGAAAATATCCTCAACAAAGAAAAAGATACAGTCAAAGAAAAAGAAATAAGATACTCTATAGTTTACAATATGTTTTCAAAATTTCCATTTCAGTATTCTGAAACATCCTTTTTATTTTTCTTTCTTCTTAGTACTGGGGATTGAACGAACCACAGATATTTATATACGGTTTGGTTTGATTGTCCACTGAGCTACACCCCTAGTCCTTAATTTAATTGTTTGAGACAGGATCTCTTTAAAATCTTATAGCTGGCTTCAAACTTGTGATCCTCCTGTCTCAGCCTCTGGAGTTGCTGGAATTACAGGCATGTGCCTCCAGAGATATATTTTTCTTTCTCATTTTAACATCTGTGATGTTAGAGATGCAAGGTACAATAGATGATATCTCACAATCCCTGAATTTCTTGAAAAGATAATCCTTTTTACAGCAAGTTTTAATGGTGTATTGCCATAAATAATTAAAACCATACATGTGTGAATCCAATTCTGGACAACCAATTGTGTTCCATTTGTCTATATAAAATGGTTTGATTTAGTAATTTTTTATTTACAATGGTGTGAAAGTGATACAAATTCAGTAGAAATCATATTTCAATTTTTGATCTTTCCCCAGGCTAGCAATGTGCCTTGCTATGCTTTTCTGTTTATGGCTTTTGGGTCCTACCATGTTGGACAATCAAACCAAACCGTATATAAATAGTTTATATACACATATATGCATCTTGTACTTATATTCTACATTTTCAACCTAAACTAGGCTTGAATAATAAAAAATAAATGCCTATAATTATAATTGTAAACTCTAGTTGTTCTAATTCATGTCAATGGAAAAACTGCAGCAATGGCAACTTTATGTTCTTGCCCATATATAATAACATTCTGTGCCATCTTATGCTTATTTGGAATGATGTAATACCCTCCCCCAAAAAGAATTCTTAAGAGAAAAAAAATAGAAGACTTTTTTAATCACAAAAATAAATTTCAAATTCTCACATTGACAATTCCTAAAATTATCCCAGATGACCTAAATGCCTATATGCAGAAGTGATTATGTCAGGACAAGAGAATGAATAACTATGGTCACATGATAGAAAAAGTTGCCTGCCAGGACAGAAATTATAATAATTCAGAATGGTACTTGTTCTTCAAAAAATACATTTGAATAGCTCTATTGAATAGTTCATATATTTTAATATTTCTATATCATTTAATCAAGATTACTATAGTGAAATGCATCTTAACGCATATGCTAAAAAATCACATTTTATTTGTTTTAGGTATTACATATAGTGTCAGTTAATATAATCATTTTTGGTGGCAATGACTGAGTAGAAATGAACATGAAACTTATAAAAATCTTAATTAATTTCATTAATCTGGAGGAATCCAAGTGTAAACTATTTTTCAGAGCATATAACGATCTAGTGAATGAATACAGCATGAGAGGCTTTTGGTGCTATTCAAACAAGACATCCACTTGAATGCCCATTTTCTCATCTTCAGTCTGGTATACCACCTCCTTTCCACCAGATGACTATAATCTCACTACTTAGTCTTCTGGAAAGGTTCAGGAAGATGATCCAATATGCTTTGTAACAAGACCCTAGGTGTTCCATTAAGGGAATCAGTTTGGAGACATTATCCTGTGTTAACACACAGTGTTCCCTGTTGCTTACTGATAAGCTCCACTGAGGTAAACAAATCCATGTCATTACTTTATCCTCTTAAATGTTCTCCACTGTATCAGATCAACCTCCACAGGCTAATTATTTAAGGAGGAAAAAAAAAATGGACGCTGGGCATGGTGGCGTACACCTGTAATCCCAGTGGCTTGGGAGCCTGAGGCAGGAGGTTCATGAGTTCAAAGCCTGCTTCAGCAACTTAGCAAGGCTCTAAGCAACTTAGCAAGACCCCATCTCTAAATAAAATGTAAAAAAGGGCTGGGGATATGGCTCCATGGTTAAGCACATCTGGGTTCAATTCCTGGTACTAAAAAAAAAAAAAAAAAAAAAAAATGGAGAGAGGAATCAGACAACCTAGGATTGGATATTTGAGTCTTCATCACCTTGGTCAGCTGCCTAAGCTGTATCAGGTATATGATAAGTCCAGTCCATCTTATTCAAGATTTACTATCTACACCTTTGGAGCTTACATCAAACCAGGCTTTTGGCAGGATGCTTAATATCTTGCTAAAGAGTGCCATCTAATGTATACTGACAGTTGATCATTTTCTTTGTGGATGTTCTTTGTGAACATTTCACATGGATTTGGTTTTGCCCTGTGGCTGGCTCAGACTCCTTGAGAGTCTAGGCTGACTGAATTCACCTTAATCTATAATAAAATAGGAACAAATCATGTTGTGGAAAGCTAAATTTACTACACCAGATTTAGCATCTAATATCTTGGCCTTTCAGTTCCCTCACTTTATCCTGAATAATGTTTCCCTCCTTTCACCTTCAATATATATCCTCCCATGGTTACAACTGTAGTGACTTTCTTTCTCCACATATATTAGCTTTCTCCTGTCTTTACCCTTCTCCCTATCCAAATGAGACTTCACAGTCCATAATTTCAGAACTGTCTTGTCTCCCTTATCCTGTGGCCATTTAATCTATTTTACTTGACCAAATTCCAACTATAAATTTATCAAAGTCTCTAGTTTCTTAATGGCTTCACCTAAGTTGTTTAGTAGTATTGGAGAAAATCTCACAACTAGGCAAACATCCCATAAGTCCCACAATGAAGCCAAACAAAAACAGTATGGTATTGGCACCAAAACAGACTAATAGACCAATGGTACAAAATAGAGGACACAGAGACTAACCCACAAAATTATAATTATCTTATATTAGCCAAAGGTGCCAAAACATGCATTGGAGAAAAGATAGCATTCAACAAATGGTGCTGGGAAAACTGAAAATACATATGCAACAAAATAAAATTAAACCCCTATCTCTCAACCATGCACAAAACTCAACTCAAAGTAGATCAAGGATCTAGGAATTAAACCAGAGACTCTGCATCTAATAGAAGAAAAAGTAGGCCCTAATCTCCATCATGTGGGATTAGGCCCCAACTTCCTTAATAAAACCCCTATGGCACAATAATTAAAACCAAGAATCAATAAATGGGATGGACTTAAACTAACAAGTTTCTTCTCAGTAAAAGAAACAATCTGTGAGGTGAACAGAGAGCCTACATGGTGGGAGCAAATTTTTACCCCTCACACATCAGATAGAGCAATAATCTCTAGGGTATATAAAGAACTCAAAAAGCTAAGCGCCAAAAAACCAAATAACCCATTCAAAAAATGGGCCAAGGACCTGAACAGACACTTCTCAGAAGAGGATATACAATCAATCAACAAATATATGAAAAAATGTTCATCATCTTTAGCAATCAGAGAAATGTAAATCAAAACTACTCTTAAGGTATCATCTCACTCCACTCAGAATGGCAGCTATTATGAAGATAAACAACAATAAGTGTTGAAGAGGATGCAGGGAAAAAAGTACACTCATACATTGCTGGTGGGACTGCAAATTGGTGCAGCCAATATGGAAAGCAGTATGGAGATTCCTTAGAAATCTGCGAATGAAACCACCATTTAACCCAGCTATCCCTCTCCTTGGTCTATACCCAAAAAGACTTAAAAACAGCATACTACAGGGACACAGCCACATCAATGTTTATAGAAGCACAATTCACAATAGCTAAACTGTGGAGCCAACCTAGATGTCCTTCAGTGGATGAATGGATTAAAAAAAATGTGGCATATATACACAATGGAATTTTACTCAGCAATAAAAGAGAATAAAATCATGGCATTTGCAGGTAAATGTATGGTGTTGGAGAAGACAATGCTAAGTGAAGTTAGCCAATCCCCAAAAAACAAATGTTTTCTCTGATATAAGGAGGCTAATTCATAGTGGGGTAGGGATCAGGGAGCATGGGAGGAATAGACGAACTCTAGAAAGGGCAGAGGGTGGGAGGGGAAGGGAGAGGGTAAGGGATTAGCAAGGGTGATGGAATGTGACAGACATCATTATCCAAAGTACATGTATGAAGACACGAATTGGTGTGAACATACTGTATTACAACCAGAGATATGAAAAATTGTGCTGTATAAGAATTGTAATGCATTCCGCAGTCATTTATTTTTTAAAAAAATCAATAAATAAAAAGGTATTACTAAAAAAATAGGCAAAAATGAAAACTCCTGAATAATATTAATAGTCATAAAATGACTACTGAAGCTGAAACCCTAGATTCACAACTTTGTAAACTTAAATCTTTTGTTTGGATCCAGATTGATATTTTGGGAAAGAAATGTGGAGGCTCCCTAAATTAATTCATGAATGAAACAGCTTTATACTTACACAAAGGCTAGGAACAAGACTAGACAGGTTGACATGTCGTGGTGCAAACATGTGGAGCTGCTGAAGGCAAGATATGGCAGCTGCCTGAACCAGAGAGTCTGAATGGTCCTGCGTTATTGCACAACCCACCAAACAAGAGGAACGAATTGTAGAAATTGTCGCTCCATTCCCTTTTAGAAAATGTAGAATATAATTATTTGATTAGTATCACAAAAAACATTCCTAGAAAATAATTATCTTCTAAATAATATCTTCTTCCAATTTCTATTGTTTTAAAAACAAAAAGTCTGACAAGTCCACAGAAATGATTTCAAAACACAACTGTAGTTGGATTTACATCTCTCTTAGAGCTAACTAAATTTATATTTATTCTCTGATAAATTATACTATGATTTACAATCATCATTGCTTTATTTGAAAGAGCCAGATTTCTCATTCTGTTCAACCAACATTATTACTTTTATTATATAATTATTTCAAATCCAGCTTTCTTAAGAAGATTAATGACAGTTTATTATACTGTTTAAATAATTCAATAGTCAAATATAAGTGAATTAATTTTTTTCTAAAGTAAAATAATTTTATATACATATAAAGATCAAACAAGGAAATCATATAATCATAGATATAAAACCTTGGGAAAGTTCTTAATGTGTCTCAGCCTTAGCATTTCATCTGTAAGATGGAGTTAACACCTTTCTGAATTTTTGTCAGAATTAAATAAAATTTAATAATTTATTTCATTTAATTAAAAAATGGTAGAGGGTAAAAGGGAAAATTCTCAAAGTGGTTTATATATTCAGGATACATTCACAATAATTTACTGATTTGAGCATATAATTTAGATATTAGTAGACTTAGTCCTGAGTGTAAGAATGTAAGTTTCAGGATCATACATATGTCACTCATATGTTGAATAATTCTGAACAAATAATTTCTGAGCTTGCCTCCTTCTAAAAAGATATTATCTAATTTATGGCAGTGGCTTTGCAAACTATGGTCCTGACCCTTAGGGTTCAAAAAAAGCGAAGCAAAAGTCCATGAAGATAAGTGCATAGCACTCCAGACCCAAAGAACTCCATTTTTATCTTTGTTTCCATGGGGCCCCAAGTACAATTCCATTTAAATATATTTTCTGTATTCAAACCTTGAAAATACTGTCATGTCATAGGTTTTTTGGAGGTATTAAAAAAAAATCACAGGCTGGGGTTGTGGCTCAGAGGTGGAGCACTCGCCCTGCAAGTATGAGGCCCTGAGTTCCATCCTCAGCATCACATAAAAATAAATAAAAATAAAGGTATTTGTGTCCAACTATGACTAAAAAATAAATATTTTTTAAAAATCACACATGTACAAAGTTGAGTACCAGGCCTTTGGAAAACCCAAATAGTCAGCAGATAGTAATTATTATTATAAAAAAATGTTTTGAAACAACATGACGGTCACATTCAGGAAATCAAAAGACAGTAAATTATCTGCCTAGTTTCTTTACCTTAAAATGAATTTACTTACCTTGTAGTTCAGGGCCAACTGTAGTTATGATAGCACCCAAACATCTACCCAAACACTGATGAACTTCTGTATGTGAAGGTGGAACAGTCAACAGCAAGGTAAGAACTAGAGACAAAGTTGGTTCCACATATCCTCGATACATTGGGCCACTAGAATCCACTATCAAAGCAAGTGAATGAAGAGACCATGTCTAGAATAAAATTTAACTTTATTTTAGTTGTAAGGAAGAACTGCAGTAACTGAATTGAGTATACTAAATTATTATATGCATATACTCATAATAATTTGGGGCACATCAATGTAAAATGGCAAATGATGATTGTATATTTTCCCACATGCTCATGATTCTTACTGTAGTTATATTTACTTATGTATAAAATGTTTAAGAAGAAACCACAAAAACAAAACAAATTCAAGAAATAAAACAGAAGATTCAATGAATGACCCAGAACCTGGGCTAGGGTAATAGGAAAAAAGAGAGAGAAGGATAGTAAGTTGAAACAAAATTGATCAATCAAATGTAAAGAAATCCAAAAAAAGAAGAAAAATGTACAAAGAACAACAAATAATAAAAATAAAATATGTTTGAAAGAGTATATGTAAATGGAGTTAATTCCCAAAATAAGGCAGACTTTAAGGTCAGGTTGAAAAGCAAAATCTTGTTATATACTATTACAAATAAGACACCTAAAACAAAATAAAAGGGAAAGAACACAATATATTTTTCCAAACAACTTATTGGTCATTATTATTTTACAAAGCAAATAATTTTCTTAAAATAATTATTTAAAATTTTGTAATAAAAATTAATACTACTCTACCTGGACTTCAGGAGATGTTCCATCTTGTGCTAGAGCCAATAAAATGCTGACACTGGTCTTTAGATGTTGTCCTGAGCCTATACCACCAACATAACGATGCAAACAACCAAGGGCTAAGGAATGACCAGTTCTAGAAACAACATCTCGAGCTGATTTCAATCTGGAAAAAAGATTATGCTTCTAGAATTGAGTCTTCTCTAGTAATAACTATCTCATAGATCACATAAAAAAGAGAAAATATTGTAGAAATCAGAAAATATTACACTGTGATTCACTTTTTTCACTCCCTTACAAGAGTTAGAGCTTCAATTTAACATAGTTGTTTAAGTCAGATGACCACGCTCATAATTTCAGGTACTCAGGAGAAGCAGGAAGATCAGCAACTAAGCAAAACCCTTTCTCCAAATAAAAAAATATAAAGGACTGAGAATGTATCTCAGAGGTAGAGCACTCCTGGAATTCAATCCCAAGTATTGTCAAAAAAAAATAATAAAAATAGTTGGTTAGCTGGAGGTGTAGTTCACTGGTAGAGTTATTATTAAAAGCTTGTTAGTAAAGAGACTTACTTACTTGTCAAAGCTATATTGAGCCATTCTAGCTATAAAAGTCGCTTCTCCAACCACCTGAGCCATTCTTCCAAGAGCTTCCCCTGCTGCACACCGTAAGATTGGGTTTGGATTGTCAAGAGCACCCATCACCAGTGTCAGAGCAGATTTACGAACTTCCTCAGGTCCTAAAGTACTTTTGTTTTCAGCTAAACCCTACATTGATTTTAAAAATAATGAAATATTAAATAAAATAAAAGGTGAATATTCTGTAATTTCTGTAAATATACAAATATATTCATATATTATTTTCTTCAGCCAACTTTCCCAAGCATATACTGTACCTAGAACAAATATCTATTAATTGATAGTAATCACTTTTCTAAATATGATTTCAGAACATGGTAAATAACAATCAATAGTTCAACTGGTCCTAAGACCAGCAATCCCTGGGAGAGTTTCTATCCAAAGCCTAATACTCAAATGTTGCTTTTGTATATAAAGGATACTATATTAATAAATCAACCTTTAATTAACTGAAATTGAAATTTATCACTCTAAAGAAAGACGTAGCCTGGTCTGGGGTTGTGGCTCAGAGGTAGAGCACTCACCTACCATGCCCTGGGTTTGATCCTTAGCACCACATAAAAATAAAATAAAGATACTGTGTCCACCTATAACTAAAAAAAAAGAAAGAAAGAAAGAAAGAAAAAATAGAAAGACCAGGCCTGATGAGTATGAAATTTTGATTCATCTATGTAAGAATTCTATAAAAGAATTATATCTTTGAGTATAATATACTCAAAGAATTATATCTTTGAGTATAATCAATATAGGCATAAGGCAAAATTCAGTAAAAAGAATCAGTAATTAAGTGTTGATATAATTTGTTCATCATACTGAATGCTAATATCCCTGTTCTAGCTACAGTCACTGTTCTTTTTTTTTGTATTATTGTTTTTATTTAATTAGTTACACATGACAGTACAATGACCTTGACATATCATACATTTGAATCAGATGGGATATAATTTCTCATTTTTCTGAGTATATAGGTTGCAGAATCATATTGGTCATGTAGTCACATATATACACACAGTAATAATAATGTTTGTTTCATTCTACTATCCTTCCTATTCCCCCATCTCCTCCCCTCCCCTCCTATTACTTCTCTCTACCTAATCTAAGGTAATGCTATTCTCTCTTTTTTTTCTCATATCTTCATACATATGTTTTGTATAATGATGAGGGACTCCTTCCACCATCCATGTAATTTCCCTTCTCCCTCCCTTTCTTTCCCATCCCTCTTCCCTATGTAGAGATAATCTTCTTCCCCTGCTTTTCTTCCCTACGCCATTTTGAGTCACCCCCGCCCTTATATCAGAAGACATTCAGCATTTGCTTTTTGGGGATTGGCTAACTTCACTTAGCATAATCTGCTCTAATTCCATCCATTTCCACAGTCACTGTTTTTGAATTGAATTTACTTATTTGAGAGTAAAAATCTAAGTCATGGTGCCAGAAGAAAATGTTAATGACAACAGAGGCATTAACTTTTCTATGAAGAAAAGTATAATCTGTACAGCAGTAGTCCACTATTCCACCATCCTCTAAGGGAGTCCCCAAACACCTCATTTCTTTTTTTAAAAAAATCTAGATGTCTGCCAGGCATGGTGGTGTGGTGCATGCCTGTAATCTCTGTGGCTCAGGAGGCTGAAACAGGAAGATTGTGAGTTTAAAGCCAGCCTTAGCAACTTAGCAAGGCCCTAAGCAATTTAGAAAGATGCGGTCCCTAAATAAAATTTTAAAAAAAATTTTAAGAAGGTTAGGGATGTGGCTCAGTGGTTAAGCACCCTGGGTTCAATCCCTGGTACCAAAAAACAAAAGGAAAAACCATCAAATGTCAGTATTACTTTATGATCTCTAAATAGGACACATACTACTGATTATATAAACAGTATCAACCTTTACTTCTGTAAAAAATGCTTATATCTCTTTTACCTAATGTTTGTAAAACATAACTAAAGATATGCTCATTTAAGGACCTGTATTTGTGACCACTTTCTTTAGTGCTAAATGATATAAAAAGCTTTCAAATACCTTATGAAAGGATACATAGTATGATGCATGACCTCTGTGAGCTAGGCAAAATATCTGTTATTCTACTTTATAAGTAGAAACTAGTTCAATAAAGATTAAGGGAATTGTACTAATCATAAACCTAGTAAGTAACTAAACAAGAAGACAATCCCTCCATACAACAGTCTTTCAACTACATAAACAGTCTTTATGATTTATAGTCTAAATAAAAAATTGAACTTGAACATCTTTAGAAATCATTATTTTTTTTTTTGTACCAGGGATTGAACTCCAGGAGTGTTTAACCACTGAGTCACATCCCTAGCCCTTTCTATTTTTCATTTTGAGATACGGTCTCGCTAAGTTGCTTAGGACCTCGCTAAGTTTCTGAGGTAGGTTTTGAACTTGCAGTCCTCCTGCCTCAGCCTCCCAAGCCACTAGGATTACAGATATGTACACCATGCCTGGCTAGAAAACCCATTATTTCTTTAATCAGGCATCTTTGAAAATTCCAAAAGAAAATTACTGGCACATATAAAATTTGAGATTCAAATCAAAATACAAACTTTAACATTACTAAAATATAAAATACATATTTAATTACAAGGAGCCCAACAAAGTTTTTAACAACTTTATTAAGCTAATATTAAAAAGCACAGTTATCAAGTATACATAAACGTAAGCATTATAATAATCTTGAGATTCCTAACTTATTAAATGAATTAACATCTTATTTCATAATATTTATTATGGTCTAAAAGTAAATACCTTGAGTGCACTAAGAACAGCAGTAAATATATTAAGCTGCACAGCCTGCTGGCGGACACCTTTGGCTTGTTTAACACATTCAGCAAAGTGATCCAGCATTTGTAATCTATAATAATAGGATAAAGATCATATTAGTGATGCTCTTATTTAAATATACCTAAAAAAAAGCAAAGAGTACAAACTGTGTAGCAAATAATACTTCATGTTGTCTCTTTTCTATTCACATAACTGATCCAAACCAGATCTTTTTCTCCTGAATTAATGTATAGTTGTGAACAAAAAAAGAGACTAAATATTAAGTTTCAATTAGCAAAATTAGGTTATAATTGTAGTGGTCCTTAAACATTAACACCAGTGTCCAACCCAGTGCCTAACATATAAAAGGTGTGCTACAGTTTCCATCTTTTTTTTTGTACCAGGGATTGAACCCAGGGGCACTCAACCAATGAGCCACATCCCCAGCCCTATTTTGTATTTTATTTAGAGACAGGGTCTCACTGAGTTGCTTAGAGCCTCACTAAATTGCTGAGGCTGGCTTTGAACTCTTGATGTTCCTGCCTCAGCCTCCTAAACTGCTGGGATTACAGGTATGCACCACTATGCCCAGCTTATAGTTTACATCTTGAATGCTCCCCAAAGGCCCCTGTGTTAATGACTTGAAACCCAGGGTGGCATTTGGGAGGTGGTAGAACTTTAAGTGGTAGAAATTTGTGGAAGGTCACTGGGGATGTGCCCTCGAAAGTGATAGTAAGACCCCAAGTTTCTCCCCCTCTCTCTTTGCCAAGAGGTGAGCACAGTTTCTGTGCTCTAGCTATGTTACCTCACCACAGGACCAAAACCCAATATCAGGCCAATGGATTAAGGACTGGAACCTCCAAAACTGTAAGCCAAAATTAGCTGGGCATGGTGGTGCACACCTGTAATCCCAGTGGCTTTGGAGACTGAGACAGGAACATCAAGAGTTCAAAGCCAGCCTCAGCAATTTAGCAAGGCACTAAGCAACTCAGTGAGACCCTGTCTCTAAATAAAATACAAAATAGGGCTGGGGATGTGGCTCAGTGGCTGAGTGACCCTGAGTTCAATCCCCAATACACCCCCCCCAAAATTAATCTTTCCTGTTTATAAATTAGTTGTCTCAGGTATCTTGTTATAGTGATGGAAAGCTGACTAACACAAAGTATTCACAGTTTCTTGAATATAATAATAATCAATAATTACATATCTTTGTGGTAGAGTTATCAGTTGAAACTTCTTTAAAAATGTGGCATAATTATTTTCTTTTTTCAAACATTCTTGCATAGAAGACAAGAGTACACCATGTTTTAATCTTATACGCTATTGGGATTTCAAAAAAAATTTAGCTTTGGTCAATTTTGAAATATAAAAACTAGATGTGAATTTTATTATTTCAATTTTTTTTTCAAAAAGACTGTTTTAAAAAAATTCTTGGCCATTTAAGACTATTCTAATTAAAAAGGAGTGACGGCTGGGGTTGTGGCTCAGCAGTAGAGTACTGGGTTAGCACATGTGAAGCCCTGGGTTCAATCCTTAGCACCACATATAAATAAAATAAACATATTTTTAAAAATTTTTTAAAAAGAGTGAGACCATTCTTCTAAAAAGAAACGGGTAGAGCAAAGGGATCCAGAGAAAATGGATATTTTGTATATACTAGGACAACTATAACCTAAAGCAAAAAAATCAAACTTTCTCAAAGGTCACTATTAGGATTCAGCTCAATTTATAACAGGTCAGAGTTCTCAGGTCAAAACATTTTTCAGAACCTCACATCTGACTTCAAACACATACCTTTTTAAAAGCTTATTTAAAAACAGAACTTTTTTCCTCATTATGAAATGTTTATCCCATTTAATTTGGAAAAATATTTTTAAAAGTTACTACTAAGGGAATAAGTAGCTCCTGGAACATTTCCTTTTAGGTCTTTACCTTACGTAAACACATAAATATGTTCTTGTTCATTTTTTAAAATATCTTTTTAAAAAAATATTTTAGTTATACATGGGCACAGTATTTTATTTTGTTTATTTATCTTTATGTGGTGCTAAGGATTGAATCCAGTGCCTCACATGTATGAGGCAAGTGTTCTGCCACTAAGCCACAACCCCTGTCCTGTTCTTGTACATTTTTATGTACTTTAAGAAACAAAACTGGGATCACCTCCTGTCATTTATTTTACCTTTTTAATTTTATCATTGTGCCATGAGCACTTCTCACATCAAAACATCATCTCTATTAAAAAGTATTCTAACCTATGGACTTTCCATTATTTATTCACTTAACCCCATACTGGTGGTTATTTGCGTTTATATTTTTAATAAAATTTATTTATTTATACTTCACCTTGTTTCACAAAAGATATCAGATACAGTTACAACAACCCTGGATTTTAGTTAGAGCTCTCATAACTAGCTGAATAATTGGAAACCTATAAACTCTTAGATCTAGATTTCCTTAGATTTAAAATAAGGAATCTGGGGATGCAGCTCAGTGGTAGAGTATTTGCCTAGCAGATATGAGCCCAAGGTTCGATACCTAACACTGCAAAATACTAAAACAGAAGATTTAAAATAAGGATGTTAGATAGATGCTGTAAGGATTCTTTCACTTTTAACGTTCTTTAACACTTACGTGGCAATAGAATGTTCTTAAAGATATCTAGGTAAGGTAAATTTTTTATAATTAAAGTTGAATATAAAAAGCAAATTCAAAAGCAATTAAGCAATCTACATATTTAAAGATTATCTGATATTTTTATTTTTTTAAGAAAAGCATAAAGTGCTTATTTTGTAAAATGGAAGTAACACTTGGAGGTGTGTGGATCAGGCAGTTCCCAGTAGAGGAATTCCAGCTTTTTAATCTTTTACATACAAATACATATTCATATAACTTTCAAATTATCTTTGAAGGTCTTATATTAATTCATTTTTGCTTTTCTTGTGGCAAATCATAAATATATGAAATGCCTGCTCATATTAGGAATGGTGACTATAGATTATAAAATACAGCAAACTAAAATGCTTCAGGTACAAAAAAGAATGAGTTAACTTAGTTTCTCAAGTTCCAGACTTAAACCACCTTACAGACAAATGTTATTAGAGAATAGATTTTCCATACATTTACTCCTTCAGTAATACAAACAATAGAATTAGCAAAGTGATATTCCTAAAGGTAGGGTCAAACCTCTTATAAACTGTGAAATAAGCCATTAGAATGAAATTCTTTATTGGGCAAGACATAGTCCATAATACCAGACACTAGCACACAAGGTTGAATCTTAAACACATTTTCAAATTACATGGAATTTTCATTCACTTTATTTTATATGGTATGTGTCACTTGTGTCAGTAAATTTGAGAATACTATTTAAGTAGTAGCTCACTTTATTGAGGAGTTAATTGGGAAGGGAAAATTTACTTAACTAAAATTACCTGAATGACTTTATACTAACCGGTGTTTATATGAAACATGAGGAAACACTACACCAAAAAGAGCCACAGAGGCATCTATCACTGAGACTCCAAGAGGGAGAGGACCAGGTACAGCTTCACCAATAGGTATTCGTAAATAAATGGAGGAAGGGTCATGCTCCAGAGCCCCACTTCCAGATGCACTGTTTGGCTGGAGCTGCAAAAGAGTGACATAAAAATTACTCAAAGTCTACTTTAGGAAATTCACTTATTAAGTATTTAGTATGAAAAACTGAGCGGGGGAGGAAGAAGAAAAGGTAACAATAAAAAAGAATGATTGGATATGAGAACTTAAAAACAGATAAAATTAAAATTTTGTTTTGAAAAGTCATCAGTAATACCTTATAGGATTTTAATAAAAGTCTTCTTCATTCTAAAACATTCTTATACCATGCACCTTAGTGTGTGAGGCAAAATAAATCAGCAATATCTAAATCCACAAAAATATTTAAAATGGACTTAGTATTTCTTTTTTAAAAGCACATAGGAAATAACATATTCTGTTGGCAAAAGAGGTTCTAAATCTTCAATCTACTAACTCTCACGCCTCTCCAACCTATCACACAACAAAACGAACTACAACAAAAACACCAATAACCAAAAGCCCATTAAAACTAAAAAGCCCATTAAAATAACCAAAAGCCCATTAAAACTAAAGTTTCCCATAGCCACCACAGGGTATTCAAATATAAAAAATACTGAAGAAAGACAATTTGCCAAATCATAACTAATGCTGTTCACCACTTATCTACCACCAAGATGCTATTGTTAAGTGTCTAAGAAAGCTAAATGAAAACTAAACATTGGTTCACTATATTTTCTCTTAAAAAAAAACAACTGGTAAAAGAACCACTGTTTTAGATTAAACCAGGATTTAATTTCCCTATATGGTTTACTACCTGGTCTTCAATTGATTTATGATCAGTTTCTTGAAGCCAGGATCCAAGAAGAACGCTATCATCATAATGGCAAAGAGATCGGAGAAGGGAGGTGGTTGTGTTGGCTGAGTTGTCAGTCAAAGTAAATTCTGCTACCAGTTCTCTAAGAAGTGCATTGAAAGATCCTAAAACACAGAACTTCAAATCAGATTAAAAATAATAATTTTATCAAAATTACAATCATTGTCCACAAAAAGTAGCAACATGTTCAACAGAAATAAAATAAGTTCCTATACCCTTTACTAAAAATCTATGTTGATTTATATTTTTTTCAGAGTTGGGAATCTCACTATGTTGCCCAGGCTGACTCTGAATTCCTGAGCTCAAGTGATCCTTTTGTTTCAGCTTCCAAAGAAAGTGGGACTATAGGTACTTTCCACTATGCCCAGTCTAAAATATATATTACATATTTAAATTCCAGTCTTAATACACAATAATGATATTTTTGTTTTATTATTGTATTATGCTTTTGGTCAAAACTAAAGTGACTAAAAAATTTACAGAGAGGGTAGATCATTTATTTTAAATATAGTAAATGTAACATGATTATTATTTATTGTTCATTGCCCAATAAGTGCCAACACTGAACCAAAACATCAAAATTTTTGGGCACAGTTATATGGGAAAGAAATTGTTTATTTTAGGGGTGGGGTTGTGGCTCAGTGGTAGAGCACTTGCCTAGCACAGGTGAGGCCCTGGGTAAGATCCTCAGCACCACATAAAAATAAATAAGTAAAATAAAGGTATTGTGTCCATCTACAAATAAAAAAATAAATTTATAAAAAATAAATTATTTTAACATTTTATATAATATTTGATTTCTGAAAAGTACATAACTATTCTTTCAGATCCTTATTATTGGCTATCCAAATTATTGGCTATATTACAATATATATGAAGCAGTTTAGGAGGGTAATTAAAAATATAGACTTTAAAGATAAACCATCTGGGTTTGAATCCAAGCTCTACCACTTTTGGTTTCTAAGACTTGGGAAAGTTACTTCACCTCTCTCTATATGAGATCCTCCATCTACAGAATATGTGCAATTGCCTCATGAGCTGGGTTAGAGTCACAGGATCTAATACATGTAAAGGTTTAGAACGAGATCTACAATACAGTAAGAACTCAACAATGTGAGCTACTCTGCATGAAGAATAGTAAAATGGTGCTCCTCCTTTGCACAGTGAGCCAGTGGGAAAGCCCTGGTCAGAACTCTTTAATACTATGAGGATCTTCAAGGGCACACTGAACAATTTCTATCAGATACTGCAAATTTTATTTACCTTCATAAGTTTTTGGAGGTAACAAAGCCAAGATGTCATAAAGTCTTAAACGGACCATTGCAGCACTAGCTTTCAGATGAGCTCCATGGGCTTTAATGACAGATGGAATGCTACAATATTGAAAGCAGAGTTGGAATCAGCTTACTAGAATAAGCATTACTTATAAACCTTTAGCAGTGCATCTTTAGTAATGTATAAATGTACCATTAAAATACCTTGGTAAATATTAAATTTTCATCTTCGTTTATTTTGTGATATTTGATGTAAGAAATGCATTTAAAAACAACTATGTTTTTTATTTATTTTGGGGAGTACTAGGGATTGATCTCAGGGGCACTCAACCACTGAGCTACATCCTCAGCCCTATTTTGTATTTCATTTAGAGATAGGGTCTCACTGAGTTGCTCAGCACCTTGATAAATTGCTGAGGCTGGCTTTGAACTCGCAATCTTCCTGTCTCAGCCTTCTTAGCCACTGGGATTACAGGTATGTGCCACCGTGCCCAGCATAACTATATTTTAATACACATAATTAATATAATTTTAAAAGTCACTTTACAAAATAGTTTTATGTTTCCTATATAACTCTAGAAAGAAGTATAAAAAATGACTGAGGAACACATAAATGAATAAATTTATTTATTAATATATAAACAGGTTGTTAACTTGTTATAAGTGTTTACTTACTGTGACATCATAGTCATGGCACATTCAATAGGGGTCATTAATTTTCTAATCACATCTTCAGTTAGGAGTTCAGGACAATGTGCAACAAAACTCCTCATAGCTAGATAAATTTTAAAAGGACAAATTTAGAGCAGCTTTTGTGAACTATTAAACTTATAAAATTATATAAAGGCACCTACAATTCTCAATTATTATAAGGTTCTCAAACTATATCAAATCAGAAAAAAAAAACACACCAAGAACTATAGAGAAAAATCATTAGAAAAGGCTAGAAGAAGGATGGACAATGGAAATAAAGAGAAAATGTGTTGAGGAGACTCCTGTGAGTGGAGAAGACTATAACCTCACAGGAATTCAGATGAATAAAAAACAAAAAACAGATTTACACCAGAGAGTTCACACTGGAGAAAGGCCTTATAGGTGTGATGAGTGTGAGAATCCCTTTAGTCAAAATGCCATTCTTAACCAACACCAGATAATTCACACTAGAGCAAAGCTTTATGAGTGTGGCCAGTGTGGGAAATCCTTTAACCACAAAGCCACATTCACTAAACACCAGAGAGTTCACACTGGAGAAAGGCCTTATAAATGTAGTATATATGGGAAATCCTTTAGTCAAAGCTGCATCTATTCAACACCAGAGACTTCACACTGAAGTGAGACCCTGTGAGTGTAACTAGTGTGGAAGATCTGTTAGCCAAAAGTCTGGTCTCACTCAATACCAGGTAGTTCACACTGGAGAAAGGCCTTATGAGTGTGACACATGTGGGAATTCCTTTAGTCAATGCTCTATCCTCATTCACCACCAAAAATGTCACAACATGTAGGGATATCATGAAAGCAACAAATATGGAGAAGTCTTTAGCCCAAGTTTAACAGCTCCTAAAAGTTCACACTTGAGAGGCCTTAGACCTGTAGAGTGTGTCCTCTTTTTCAGAGGCTTTGTGAAGGAACCATCTGCCTAAAGTTAAATATCATACTTTCTAGTACCCATGGGGTGAGAGTCTCCATGTATTCAGGAATGGGTGAGGTTTAAGGAGCTGCCATGCACATTCTCAACTGACTGGATTCCTTGACAGAGTTAAATCACTGCCACCTTCTCTGGTGGAAGGCATCTTCATCTACCGCCTTGCACAATGTTCATCAGTCACTGGAGCATATAAAGGAAGGCAAATGCTTATTCCCTGGAGGAAGTCTTGAAAACCTGGGCCTTCAAGGAGAATTCCTTCTCTTTTCTGACTGATTAAAGCATACTTATAACCTAGTTTTTACCAGGAAAACCTACTCTGCAGTCTGCTGGAGGCTTCCAAAAAATGACTTACTTTCTTCATGGAAAAGTTGTTTTATCAGATTCAAATGACACAGTTGGGTTCACTTTTCCAGCCTTCTGTTCACCAACTGGTAACTCCCTGCCTCACATTGCTCTTGACTGTGTGCTAATATATGCCTTGTTGTTAAAGCTATCCTGGGATTCAGTTTACTATGTGAGGAGGCTGGAAAACACTTTGCTCTATTTGTCTGAAGAATGGACAGCTTTCATCCTTCAAAATTGAACTTTATGTGCCTCTTTAGGAACAGCAAAATGACAGTTCTTATTTGAGGGAAGGAAGGGAGGGTGGGCAGGAGGGAAGGAGGAAAGAAGGATGGAAGGAAGCAAGCAGGTTTAAGACAGATATTCCTTCTCACTGGACCATTTTATGGACAAAATGGTCCAGTGAGAAGGAATATCTTACTGGTTCTTTAGAATAGAGCTAAGACTAAAACACCTTTCCCTACCACCCTCATGGTTAAATATCTCTTTCTCTTCCGGTTTGGGAAAAGAAGTATTTTTATCCTGAGATAAGCCAAAAAAAAAAAAAAACAACAACAAAAAAAAACCACGGAACAGCCAGTGAAACTCTCCTTCCCAAAAGAAACAAAACTTGAGCCTTTCCTGCAAACTGCTGACTCCCACACAAAAACAACTGTTCAATCGTTTTTGTAATGCTGATGTCTAAAAAAACACATCAACATTTGTAGATTTGACAACACTGAAAAAGAAAAAAAAGATGCTTTTCCATTATGAAAGAACCAATTTAAACCTAGTAACCCTGGTAATGCTGTTTCTTGTTGGACTTTTTTTTTTTTTTTTTAATGTGGAACTTTTTGACAGATGAAGACTGCAACTACTGGTATAAACAGGCTTAGGTCCTAGCTCCTATCTTACCAGTTTCTTAGACTCTCAGCTTCACTTTTATTATAAAAGAGCAAAATTTTAACTACTATTATTTATACAAACTCCTTTCTAAATCTAATGGTAAGTTTTCTTGTTTGTTTGTTTTACAGTCCTGGGCCTCTCATGCATGCTAACCACACATTCTACCACTGTTATACCTTGCTCCTCTTTCTAAAATCTAAAAGTCTACAAATTTAACATTAGATAGTAAAATAAAAAAAAAATGAAATAGTGATTTTCCTTCCATTCACAAATAATATTCTGAAAGTGAAATCCTTTCAGTTCTTACCACATAAAGCTCCAGCACGACCTTCCAAAGTTACCTGCCAGGTAAAAGAATCGCCTCGGGCCTTCTCAGCCTCCAGTTCCTTTAAAGAACGAGGGAAAACATTTCTCCATAATAACAACATCTTGGGCAGATGGTAACGAACAACAGATGGTCCTGTCCAAGAAAATAAAGAGTATAGAACCATAAATATATAACATACATTATGAACAAAAGTCAAAGAAACTTTAAAAATATCTCTACCATTTCACTTATTTTTAAAATTTTGACGTTAATTTCAAATTTTTTCGTCTAGTAAGTAAAATAAATATTTATTTTTGCATAACAAAATTTATTTTCTTTCTTTCTTTTTTGGTTGGGGATTACTGGGGATTGAATCCAGGGGTGCTTAACTACTGAGCCACATCCCCAGTCTATTAATTTTTTTAAATTTTGAGACAGGGTCTTACTAATTTGCTCAGGGCCTTGCTAGGTTGCTGAGGCTGGCCTTGAACTTGTGAGCCTCCTGCCTCAGTCTCCTGAGCTTCTGAGCTCCTGTGTGCCACTGCACTTGGCTTAAAATTCACTTTAAAAGCATCAAATATTTTTGGTATCTAAGCATAAAATAAATACATAAAAAGTAATAAAAAATTAGTCAACTATATTCAGGATGGTGGATTACATATTATTAATAATAAAATCTATCTGGAATATATTTCATGAGGTTGCTTTCATAAATACATATGTGTACATAAACATATTCACCCACTCCCACACACAAATACATATTCCTTCATTTGAGGGACAATGTATATGGCTCATTTAGTTTCACGGAGGAGCAATATATTCGGAACTAGGAGCATATATTTACATTGCTAAGGAATTCACTCAACATACCATTTACATACTTAATGTAAACTTCTAAAAAAGAGTTACCACTTTAAATTTGGAGTAAACACACAACATTTTTTATAGTAATAGCTAAACATATGAATTAAAAAGTGGACATACTTCATCACAATGATAACTGTATTTCAGTCCTATGCAAAATGCTAAACTTTGCCTAAATCTGATTTATTATAGTTATTAGGAAAGCAAAGCACATAAGGATGCCCCAAAAGCAGCACCAACAATATGGCTTAAATTTGACTTTATCACTCTATTAAAATCATGACTTCACTTAGGAAATAGAATTTCCACCCCCACATTTTCAGCTCTTTTGATTAACTGTAAATTCATAAAGTAGACAATGGTTATTCTGATAGCAAAGGTGAAACTTTGTTAAAAATTTTTTCATAAAATGTACTTCAGTAGAAATTACTAAAGAGATATCAACTACCAAACAAAACATCTTTACCATTTTACAACCTCAAGTCTAGAATGTGGAATTTAATGCTTTATATTAAATTTTCTTTATAGTCCACTGACAGTTACAGAGTAAGACAAAATTCTACTCAAATATAGTTGTACCTAAAGTCATAAGTGCTCCAAGTAAAAGCCAGCCAGCTTGAGTGCGCTGTAAAGACAATCTGCTATTTTGGGCAGCAGTTCGTAACAGATCTTCAGCAATACTAACTACCATCTATAAGAGAAATTTAGAAATAGTTTGCAATTTGAATAAGCTGAAAAAATCAAACAAGAAAATAGATAACCAGTATACTTAATTTTAAAAGAAATTATCTCCATGCTATTGTAGTTAACTAATGTTTTCAAAGAGGCAATACAATATCTACTTAGATCTGAATACACTGATGATGGAAGTGACTCAGAACAGTGGTAAAGAGTAAGCTCTTGAGCCAAACAGCTTCGGTTCACATCCCAACTCTGCCATTTACAAGCTTTATGACCTGAGACAGCTGAATCTCTTGGCCTTACTTCCCTTGTTAGTAAAATAAGAAAGATAGTAGTATCTATCTCACTCTTGACAGGATTAAATTTGTTAATACAGTATTTAGAACAGTGCTAGCCCATGTAACCACTGAATAAATGCTATTATTAGTGGTCCTTTAAGCTAAGCTAATCTTCTGGAATTAAGGTATCTTTTAGATAAAGAAGACACAGGAAGAATGCAAAGTAGTAAGCAGTGCATGATTAAATGACAAAATAGGAGCTCAGATTCAGTAAAGACTAATATGGACTAAATGCCTTTGAAAAGATTTCATGGAGGGCTGGGGTTGTGGCTCAGTGGTAGAGCACTCACCTAGTGCATGCAAGGCCTGGGTTCGATCCTCAGCACCACATAAAAAAATAAATAAATAAAACAAAGGTATTGTGTTCAACTACAACTAAAATAAGTAAATAAATATTAAAAGAAAAAAGATTTCATGGAGATGGAACTTAAATTAGGTCTCTAAACAGATACAGATGAGTAATAAATTCTAGTGTAAGAAAGACCTCTGAAAAAGGAATAGGGAAAAGCTACAGAACTACTCTGAACAGAAAAGTGAGAAATCAGAACGTGTCCTACCTAAGCATTTGTGAAATATGAAAATGGTGTGAGAAAGATGGGAGAAAAAGACTTCATGAAAAATAAGCAACAAGATAACAATCATGACAAAGGATATGGAAGCTGAGATTCCTCTAGAAATAGTCACAGAGCCCAGAACATGGAAGAATGAATGGACTTGAGCCCAGAGAAAAAAAGAATTTAAAAAGCTAGTCACAATATGCTTAAGTATTATTGAAATGTCAATAGTATATTCTCCCTGTCATCTTTGAATACAGCAATATGAATTTCAGTTCTAAAAAGTGAAAAGAGCTGAGTTTTAAATAAATACTCTGAAGTTGTTTTTCCTCTAAAATAAATTATAACATAATACTATATCCATACAAAACCTATTATCTATACATCAAAATGAAATTTCAATTAGGGCCTATTAACACTATATTCTATATTACCATAATAAAATTGTTATTTGATTGTTATTTGATCACCCAGTTCAACATTAAGCACATCAGTGTTCCACTAAAGACTGAAGCTCACCCAACAGCATTTACAAATCTTTGATCTGTGTCATACCTTTCCTTTGGCATGAGGAATGCCCAAAGGACACTGATGGACTCCACCTAACAAAGCAGCCATTGCAAAGCTGTATCCACTAACAGCTTCTGGAGAAGTCTTCAAGTTGTTGAGCCGTTCTGCACACCGATCTAGAAATGGTGTCAACTGGAAAGGTAAGGCTACAGCCACACAGCGCAAACACCATGCAGCAGCAAGCCGAGCAGCCATACTTGGATGAAGAAGAACTGAAGTCACAATCTCCAAGAGCCCTAAAAGAGAAATCCTCAAAATATTACTTTTAATGAAGTAATTTATTTCAGAAACCAAAGACTATGTATAACACAATAATTAAAATAATCACCATGATTTAGTGCACTAGTCTCACAACTATGTCAAAAAGCATTTACAGTACTCATGACAGTAGTGTGCTTTAAACAAATGTATTCTCCAAAGAACATAATAGAATTACATCCAATAAAATATAAAAGTTGATTAAAAGGAAAATCTTCAACAAATTTTAGTCAATTATTAGAAAAAATTACTGTGACTGTTTTTGATTTGTCTCCCAACTTTATTTCACCATTTAATTCCATGTTCCCCATGACAGTAAAGATTAATTTAAATTAAACCCCATCACCTAAACTGCTAATTATAATAAGTACCCAGTCAAGAGTTAAGTATCATATAGATAACTTTAAAAGATGGTAAAATAATACTTCAGCAATTAACAGAATGTCATACCTATTGATGCCTCCTGAATAAGAGGAGAGGCAGTGGCATTCAGGCTCTGTACCAGGCTTCCAAGCTCCTGGAGGGCACAGACCATCACGTGCTGACTTGCTGCAATGTCTGCTGCACCTGATTTGTTTTCACTACTAGTATCATTCACTACTGCTTCTAAAATACAAAATCATGTATTTAATGTGGTTGAACTGAATTTTGATGTATTTTTATTGGTCTGCACACTATATTTTAGTTATAACACTTAATACCTGTGTGTCAAACTCTATGCAATTTTTGCTTAGTGGAAAAGAAGTATAATGAAGTACTGAAATGACTTAAAATACACAGTTTAATGATTTTATATGATAATACTAAAATATAACTATATAAACTTAACCACTTCTAGGAATACAACTTAATTTTAGTAAGCAGCAACAATGCATAGTGTTTTTCAAAAGCAGACTTGGGAGCAAGAAGATTTGGGTTCAAGTACCAATTCCATCAGTTATGTTAGCTATGTGACACTGGGAAAGATGCTCAACTTTTATTATAAGATTCCTCATCTTTTATAGGGCTTATATGCCTATCTCAAAGGGTATTCTGATGCTTAAAAAGTCAATGCATGTAAGAATTTAACACAATGCTGCCCAATAGACATTCAATAAATGTTAGCAGCCATTATTATTACTTTAGTACTAGTGGTAGTAGTAGTATTGCTATTTCAAGCACGTCAATATATTGGAGGTATCACTGTCAAATTACCAATCAGAAAGTGATCTATAAGGAAAGTGGCTTTAGAAATTCTTACTGGAACATTCCTAAAAATTCCTACTTACTTTGCTGTCCTCAGTTCAACCTTTTAATGTACACTAGAACTGAAATATATTTAACATGAGATAACTAAAAAATCCTCTGTCAAACTACTATTTGAGAATACATACAGTCTGGCTCATAAATCCTGATGTATATCATTGTACTTAATACTGGTTTTAGGATTTTTTAAAGTCAAATAGCTAAACTAGCATCACAAGTAATAACCTTTAAATGATAGCAAAACTTTCTCATTTTTTACATATATCGTGAATAGATAATGAAAACATACAATACAGAATGATAGAATGGGTTAATAAATGATAAACTATAATTGAACAACTCTTCTTAGATATTTCTGAACTTGAAAATGCAGGAACTCTGTCTTTTGCTTACTAAACTATAAGCTCCCTTAAGACAGGCACTGTCAATATCTGGTTTGCTATTTTACCCACACCATCTGGCACAGTGTTTCTGGCATTTAAGCATTTCTTCAATGAATCTGGATAATATTTTTCAAGTTTTAAATATAGAGCAGATAACTATTTAAGCATATCCAAAGAATAATACTTCAGTAATTCAAATGCAGATTAAGAGTATAGGGATAATTTTCAGTTATCCCTATACTCTTAAAAATGGTTTTCTAAGTAAGTTATTATTTAAAAAAAAGTACAGTATTTATAAATTTAATTTTTTTTAAGATATTTATTCTTAAGTTTTAGGCAGACACTATATCTTACATTTATGTGGTGCTGAGGATTGAACCCAGTGCCTCATGCATGGTAGGTGAGCACTCTACCACTGAGCCACAGCCCCAGCCCTTAATTTTTTTTTTTAAAGAGAGAGAGAAATTTTTTAATATTTATTTTTTAGTTTTTGGTGGACATAGCATCTTTATTTTTATGTGGTGCTGAAGATTGAACACAGCGCCCTGCGCATGCCAGGCGAGCGTGTTACCACTTGAGCCACATCTCCAGCCCCTATAAATTTAATTTTATAAAATATTTCATTTATATATGCTCTATAAATAAATTGCTGATTGTAGCTTCTCATTAAATCTTTACTTCTAAAGCACTTTTTTAGGGGCTGGGGATGTGGCTCAAGTGGTAGCGCACTTGCCTGGCATGCGTGTGGCCCAGGTTCGATCCTCAGCACCACATACAAACAAAGATGTTGTGTCCGCCAAAAACTAAAAAATAAATATTAAAATTCTCTCTCTCTCTCTCTCTCCCTCTCTCTCTCTCTCTCTCAAAAGAACTTTTTTAGGAAATCTAATTTGATTTTCAAAATTAATATCTATTTCCAACAGTGATAAAACTAGATTGTCTTAGAGTATTTATATATTGCCTTGTTTTAGTCTTCTAACTGAATTACGAACTCCATGAAGACAGAATTTTATCTCACTCATTATTTAAACTCTGAATTACTGCTCTCCAAATCTTAGATATTCAATAATTATTTTTTAAACTGAAAAAATTTATAAAATGGGTTCTTAAAAAAAAAAAAAAGAATTTCTCCTTACAGGAGTCCAACAGGATAGAAAGAATAACTTCTAATGTCCTATAGCACAATAGTGTAACTATGATTGACAATAATTAATTATATGCTTCAAAATAGCTACAGAGAAGATAGTGAATGTCTCCAAAACAAATGATTGACATTTGGGGTGATGAATATGCCAATTACCCTGATCTGATCCCTATACATTCTATGCCAGTATTAAAATGCCATGCTAAGCCGGGAATGGTGACACACTCCTGTAATCCCAGCTACTTAAGAGGCTGAGGCAAAAGGTTCCAAGTTTGAAAATAGTCTGGTCAACTTTGTGAGACACTATATAAATAAAATTTTAACAATAAAATAAAAAAGAGCTAGGAATATAACTCTGAGGTAGAGCACTTGCTTAGCATGAGTAAGGCCATCATTTCAATTGCTAGCACCTCAAAAAAAAGTCACACTATACCCCATAAATATGTATCATTATTAAGTTCCAATTAAAATATATTTAAAAGAGAAAGAAATGGATTTCTTGTAATTATAAATTATTGAGATTTTATAATATGTCCTATAGGGAACTAATACCCAACTATAGTTGTTGCTCAGCCTTTACATGAAGCCTATTAAGGGAGAAAACAACAACAAAAATATGTATTCATAAAACCACAGGCTCTAAGCAGAATAACAACAATAGATTATTCCTTAAAAACAAAAACCAACATGCTGCTGCATTCCAAGAAAGTTACAAAATTCATATAGGTACTAGAAACAAAACAGAAAACCTAATATTACAAACATGCTACCCCAATCTTCACTTCACTATAATCATGTTGTTTTAATATTAAATAAGAGTACTCAATAAAAACAATTATGAAAACACAGTTCAGTTAGATACAAACTAATCGATCTATTAGTACTCATTAATAATAATAATAATAGAGGTAAGTGACTAAGGGCATCAACGCTACACATTATGATATCAATTCTTACCTACTGCTTTCATTTGTTTTCCAATAGCTTGACAGATCTCTTTGGCAGCTGCTATCTGGGCTTTTTCACCTAGCAAGCTGCCCACAGTAGCTCTCAGGATAAAGGAAACACATCGTCTTGAATACACAGCCTCCACATGTGTTTGTGTTGCCCGAGGATGAGAAACCAGATCAAGCACATGGGACAAGAATGTAGCAAAGCTCCGCTCCAGCCACTGTCCACCCAAAGTAGTTACAAAAACAACATATGCCTATAAACACATAAATATGATGTTAGATAAATGCATATAAATGAACAAAAATCACAGATAAAGACAACTACAGAAATAACTCAGGGAAGCATTCAAAATAAATTATATTTGAAATTAAAATACAGAAAATTTAAATTTCACATCTTTTTAGGATTTGTAGCATAGGAATTATGGGCAAAACAAAATAAAACAAAACAACTCATCCCTTTGACTAACACAGTTAAAATAACAGTGAAGAACATAAAGAAAGAGTGGTGAGGAAAGAAACGAAAGCTAAAATCACCCCAGCATCAGGATGATAACAGGGTTTAGGAATACGAAAACTTTAACGTGTTAGATAAGCACTGACTTATAGCTACAGTATACTTGCTTTTTCTGTAAGATAAAAATAGTTTACTTACCCTTTATACTTTTTTCAGGAAAAGATACAGTTGTGATTTGACTAAGATCATGAAGACCATTTAATCTATTTGGTGTTAATTATTGTCAGATCATAAACCACAACATCTTCTTTGGTGCTATTATTTGAAACTATAATTTCAAGTCAAATTTGATTTTATAATTACATTGGTAATTTATCATTGACAGTAAATCCAATCAAAGAATAAATCGATATTTTTAACTACAGCATCACCAGAAAACATTAAAATCAAAATGCCTCAAACTACCTATGGTAGCTACCTCAAGCTATGAATATCTAAATATGATTTCAAATAAAATTGAATTATTTTATATCTGATGTACAGCCAAGTAAAATTTGGGAAGAAATTTTAGATATTCATATAAACACAGTAGACATAGACTTATTTACACATCATTAAGTATCTATATTTCCATACAAGCATGCAATTTGGAATGTGAATGAATTCATTAATCTTGTGAAAAAAAAAACATTTTAAAGAAAACAGACAATAATAAAAATCTCACTGTGTATGCTTTACTTAACAAGAGTCTTCCAAGAAATTTCACAAGTGATTTGATTCTTTTATAAATGTATATTACAAACCTGTGTAACTCCAACTCTTACTTCACGATTAACAGATCCTCCAACTTTTAACATTTCTCCACCACTCTTTAAGAAACCTGACCCTCCACGGAGAAATCCAGTGGCCATAAGTTCTAAGACTTCATCAAATGTTGCTCGTTTCACATTTTGACGCATTACTTTTAGGAAGAAAAGTAAATTCATATGCAAATGTATTTCTGGAGCAGATTTTTTTGCTATTAGTTAAATCATATTTCTAATATTCTAACTTTAAAATCTAAGTAATTATTTTTAAGAGTACTTTACTATGATGGAGGAATAGGGTCATTCAGTTTTCTTATAATCTTAATATGTATAATACACTTATAAGCCTCAATTCAATCTTGAAGCAAAAAATGCTAAGAAAATATATAATATATATGTTTTATATATAACATATAAAACAATATATTAAACAGAATATAAAACAATTCAATAAATCTATGTAGAAGAGACAAATGATGATGATAAACTTAATATGTGTAACACAACCAGGACAAAGTATGTCCACAGCAGATACTGCTAACTGATCACTGTTGTTATTCCCAGCTGGGTAGACACAAAGAGACTTTCCAATACAGCACCAAAGGATTAAAATTCCACTGGTAATACAAATTACTTTCCATCTCTGGTACACAGCTTCATATTTAAAAAGTAACAAACATAATCCTCACAAAAATTCCATAGAGGAGATATAAAGTGTATGGTTAAATATGTAGGATTTGGAATTTGACTACCTGAGTTTGAACTTCAGTTCTGACACTTATCAATACAACACTTTTTAGAACACAAGTGATATAATCTCTCCAAGCCTCAACTTCTTCATCTATAAAATTACAATAAAACAATAGAACTTTTTTAAAATAACAGTACTTTTAATTCCTAGGGCTTCTGTGAGGATTAAATAAAGCAATCTGCAATATGCTTAGTTCAGTGCCTACCACAAAGTTAGCACTTAAAAATGTAATACCATCATCATCATCAAATGAAATAATTATCATTAAAGATAAAAGAAATCAAAGCTTAAATATAAAGGCTAGGACCCGAACTGATAACATCTTATCTCTTTCTACTCTACCAAAAGATAGAGATGGGAGAAGAGCACAGTTTAGGAGCACTCAGTGTCTATTCACAACCCTCCCTGAGACATCTCTATGGAACCATGAGGCAAAGCAGAAGCCCCTTGCAAAATTAAAGATGTCTGATGCTGCTTACAATTATGGTCAAGAAAAACCAAAGATTAATTCTGAGGTACAAAGGACGATCTATTAGAGATTGAAAGTGAGAAATCATCACAAAAAGCGTCAGGATCCAATTACTTAAACATTTCACAAAACCATTTAATAAATCTTATTTGCTTTTATGTCCAGCATAATTGTTAGTTATACTTTTGTATATTATCATCACAAAAAAAGTGCCTTGACTATATAAAGAAAAATGCCTTTTAGGTTCTTTTCATTTTATGAAGGATATCCAACAACTTAAATTCTTTAAAGTGACCACCTTATGTATATTAAACAATTTAGAACGAAGCATTCCATAAACTACAAATAAATATCTGTTATGGTCTAAATCAGACATTAGCAAATAATACCTGTTGCCTGCTTTGGCATCAATGCTGTAGCCATGACAGTTCCTAAGAGTTTAGACACTGCCACTCGTACCCCATAATTTGAATTTTCCAAAGCCTTAAAGCAGAGAGTGGCTATATTTTCCAGTTCAGCAGTCCACATAAAGACAGCTTCATTCTGTAGTTCTAGTAGACACTAGAATTAAAAACAAAAATTAAATTACATCCTAGAACTACTGGTTCCAGAGATGGAGTAACAAGAACCAGATAGAGATATTTCTATTGAAATAAACAAACAAAAAAAAAACTACACAAAATATATGAAAGAACATGGGGTTTTTTTGTTTTTTTTCTTTTAATATTTTGTTTTAATTGTCATTGGACATGGTACCTTTATTTTATTTTATTTTTAAAGAATATTTATTTTTGTAGTTGTACACAATATCTTTATTTTATTTACTTATTTATTTTTATGTGGTGCTGAGGATGGAATCCAGAGCTCCACATGTGCTAGGCAAGTGCTCTACCACTGAGCCACAACCTCAGCCCCAAAACAACAGTTTGATACACTGTACATCAGGCAGTAAAAGACAGTTGTTCTTACAGGAGTGAATTCAACACAAAGTAAGCAGAAAACAGAAATAATATAGAAAGAAAATCAATGAACTAGAAAACTAAAAAAAAATAATAGAAATGAGACAAAAGCTGCTTCTTTGAGAATAATAATAAATTTGGCAACTTTCTAGCCAGACTGATGGGGGGAAAAAAAAGACATAAATTACCAAAATCGGGAAAGAAATAAATCACATTATCAAAGATTCATCGTATGTGAAAAAGACAAAGAGAAAATATATAAACAACTTCATGCCAACAAATTTGACAACTTAAATGAAACAGACAACTCACTCAAAAGAAAGAAATAACCTGAAGAGCCCAATGTCTACATTAAAAACTGATATTATGATTCAAAATCTTCCCCCAAAGAAAACTGTAACTCTAGATGACTGCAGAGGTGAATTCAACTGAATGTTTAAGTGCAAAAATAATACCAATTCTATAGAAACTCTTCAGAAAATTAATGAGAACTTTCTTCCTCATCCTGTGACATGACACAGATCCTACCAAAGAAGAAAATTATAAACCAATAGCACTCATGAACAAAGAAACAAAAATGCTAAACTGTTTGCTACTATAAGACAAAAATATACAAAAAGAATAATACATCATGATCAAATACAATTATCCTAAGAACACAAGATCGGTATTCTAAAATTCTAAAACCAATCAATACAACTCACCATATTAGCAAACTAAAACAGAAAAAATCATATGATCATCTCTATAGATGCTAAAAAAGCATTTGAGGGAATACAAGAAAAACTGGGGATATCTTCAGTGTATTATATCAAAGTCAATATCCCACTTGTTACACAGTACTATGTTTTTGTAAGATATTACCATTGGGAATCTGGTAAAGGTTTATAAAGATCTATTTTTTCTTATAATTTCATATGAATCTATAATTACCTTAAAGTAAAACTTTGGCTAGAGAAGAGCAACAACACAAGAAAACGAATTTAAAACAAAGGCATTTGATTAAAGAAAAATCATAGGATAAGAAAAAAAGGCATTTGATCCATTCCCAATTAAGACTTTGGCAAGCTAGGAATAGAAATCACTTCCTCAAACTGATAAAGGGCCATCTACAAAAACCTACATTTAATGTCATATTTAATGGTAAAGGACTGAATGCTTTTCCCTTAAGATCTGGAATAAGACAAGGATATTTGCTCTCATGTTTTCCATTTAACAAGGGATCTGGTCGGTGCAATAAGACAAGAAAAAGAAATAAAAGCATAGATACTGAAAAAGAAAACAGTATTTATAAACAACATAATGGTCTACATAACAGGCTTTAGAAAACGGATCAAACTATTAAGTCTGTTCAGTAACGTTAGTAGGTATAAAATTAATATACAGCTGGGCACAGTGGCAAATGCCTGTAATCATGCTACTTTTGTAGACACTAATAAGTTAATTCTAAAGTTCACATGAAAATGCAAAGCACCTAAAATAGGCAAAAGAATTTTTAAAAAGAACAGAGAGTCAACACTACCTGATTTTAAGACTTATTATGAAGGTAGTGTAATTTATAAAATTGCAGTTGGCATGAAGATAGGCAAATAGATTAAAACTATTCCCAAAAAAGACCAATACACATATGGACAACTGATTTTCAACAAAGATGTAAAGGTAATTTAGTGAAGAAAACATATGCTTTTCAATATGGTGTGGTAACAAGTAAATATCTACATGGGGAAAAAATAACTTTGATTTATTCCTTGCACCATATATAAAAGTTAACTCAAAATGGATCATTTATTTAAATGTAACACTATCAAACTTCTAGAAGGAAAATATAGGAGAAAGCTTGGATTAGGAAAATTTTTCTCAAGTACACCAACACAGAAAGCACAATCCATATAAGAAAAATTTATAAATTGGACTTTGACAAAGTTCCAAAATTTTTATTCTTAAAAAGACACTATTTAAGCCAGGTATGGTGGCACACATTTATAATCCAAGCTACTAGGGAGGCTGAGGCAAGAGGATCACAAGTTCAAGGCCAGCCTGGGCAATTTAAGTAAGACCTTGTCTAGAAATAAAAAAGGCTAAGGATGTAGTTAAGTAGTAAAGTGCCCCTGGGTTCAATCCCTAGTATAAAAATAATAATAATAATAAAATAAGAATGAAAAAACAGTCCACTGACTGGAAGAAAATATCTGCAAATCATATATCTGGTAAGGAATACATAAAGAATCTCCAGAGCTGGGGCTGTAGCTCAGTGGCAGAGTGCTAGCCTAGTACATATGAGGTGCTGGATTCAATCCTTACCAACATATAAAAATAAATAAATAAAATAAAGGCATTCTGTCCATCTACAACTACAAAAAAAATTTTAAAAAGAATCTATAAATCATTTTCAAAACTCAGGAATAAAAAAACAAACTGAATAAAACAATAGGCAAAAGATTTGAATCTTTAAAGAAGATATGCATGGCAAACACCCCAAAACATGCTTATCATTAGTCACTAAAGAAATACATATTAAAGCCACCTATATGTATCTATTAGTATGACTAAAATTAAAGACTCCAAATGACAAATTATGATGAGGAGAAAAAGGATGTAGAATTCTCTCTCTCAGAGTACAAAATGGTAGAAATGTAAAATGGCACAACTACTTGGTAAAATAATTGGGCAATTTCTTAAAAAGTTAAACTAAATCTACTATAAGATATAGTAATATCTAAGTGAAATGAAAGTATAAGTCCATGCAAAAACTTGTACACAGGAAGCTACCCAAAGGTTCTTAACAGGTGAAGCCACAAATAAATGTGGTATATCCATACAATAAAATACTACTCAAAAAAGGTATGAACTATTAATAACATGCATCACATAGCTAAATCTAAAAATAATTATGCTGTATAAAAGAAGCCAGAATACATCTACATACAAAAAGTACATATACCACATGATTTCATTCATATGTAATCTAGAAAATGAAACTAATCCAAAAGAACAAAAACACGCTATCATAATTTAATATGTTTTTTAAAAAATCATGAATTATTTAAAAATAAGCAAGATAAGAATAAGCATTTCAAATTGGTTGAGTACAAACCTTGGCCACCGCACATCTAACAGCCATCGATCTGTCTGTTAAGAGGGATCTGGCATTCTTGTAAATATCACGATGAGAGGAAGCTGCTGCACCTCCTAATCCATTCAGAACTTTCTGTAGACTCATTAAGATTTCACTTCTCCCTTGAGACTATATGTGTACATAAGGCAAAGCTTTAAAACTATAGAACAAAATTAATTCCATGTTTAAACAAGAATACACCAAGATACAACAGTTCTCTGGGCCTAATGATCGTACCACCAAATTGTAAAACTAAATAATGAAAATTAAAATAAAATTAAGTATTCCAGAAAATACCTGAAATGATAATTATTATTAACTTCAACTAAATATTGTCTTCTAAAAAATTGTTACAAGCAAATATTTCAATTTTTCCATGATATATTAAAGTGCAATAAAACAAGAACATGAAGATAGATACCATATCTCAAGGGTCCAAGCCTTCAGAATACACAAGATTCAATAAAAATAGTTAAGAAATAATATAAACCATTCAAAAGAGGAAGAAGAAAACATTCAATCCAGTTTTAAAAACCTGTCACAGAAATATGACAAACCCTCGTCTTCTTTTGACTAACTTAAACTCCTTCTATACTCGCATAATGCTTATTCTTATGTACCAATCATGGTATATCACAATACTGCTCATACACATATCTCTTCCACTGGACTATAATATTCTTCAGGTCAGGGACCATGTCTTATTCATTTTTGTACACCAAAAGCCTCACAAACAATATGTCCTCAATTAGTGTTTAATAAATACACAAAAAGTTACCAGAAGAGATATTATTCCAGAAGATTTTCATTTCTTGGACAAAGTAATTAAACTGAGAGTGTCTTGGACTTAATCTAGTTTTAGTTAGCATGAAGTTCACAAGGAATTCAGGAAAGTAACATCAAACTGATCTACCAAAACAAATATTTTTACTTGATATTAGCTGTCATGGGTTAAACTGTGCATCCTTCAAAAATAAGTTCAAGTCTGCTACAGATAAATAGGACTATTTGCAAACTGGATCTTTGTAGATGAAATTAAAAAAAAAAGATGAGGTCACACTGGCTCAAAGACAGGTACTCTCGTAAAAAGAGAAGAATTTATATACAACAAAGGAGGCAGAGATTTCTGGAAGGAAGGATTTCAAGGAAGGCCAGGGATTTCTGGCTACCAGGAGAAGCTAAAAAGGAAAGAACAGATTCTTCCCTAGAGCCTTCAGAGGAAGCATGGCCCTGCTGACACTTGATTTCAGATTTCTAGACTCCAGAACTGGGAGGTAAGAAATTTCTGTTATTTTAAGCCATGCAGTCTATTGTATTTTATTATGGCACTCATAGAAAATTAAGACATTAGGTATGGCACAAAAAATAAAATAGCAATTCAAAAATAGGGCTAAATAAAAAAATAGGAGGCAAACCTATTATTTGACAAGAGAGCATTTTTTTTCCCTTCCCTCTGAACTTTAAGGTAACATAAATTAAAAGAAAGGACAGGGCTGGGATTGTGGCTGAGTGTACAGCGCTTGCCTCACATGTGTGAGGCACAGGGTTCAATTCTCAGTACTGCATATAAATAAATGAATAAAATAAACGTCCATTGATAACTAAAATATTTTGAAAAAAAAAAGGCTAAGTAATAATTTGAAATTACTTTCTTGCTAAGCAATATGAGTACCACAGAGACAGAAAAAAAAACTAACATATTAACTGACATCTAACTCTTGTCACAAGCAAAATATCAAATAACTTTCATGGTGAAACTTACCTCTGCACTTTTCAGAGATTTCAGAAGATTATTTACTGTTTCTGGAAATGCACTACCTAACATTCTCCCCATTTTTTCATAAAATGCTCCAACACAAGCAACTGCAGCCCTGTGGGAATATTTTCACTGGTTATTGTTTAGGTTAACTATATAATTTGACTTAACCAGAACTACAAAATTATGTGTGCATTCGCTAAGTGGTGGAAAATTAAATCATCAAATTATTAACACAGTTTTAAACTCCAAAATAAATTAGAAAGCACTAGAATTCTCTAATCTCCCATAAAATCTTTTGAGAACTGTGTCATTCCAAACAACTCAAAACATAGTATCAATGCAGTTGAGAACAGATTTAAAAATCAGCTTCTAGGTTCACCATAATCTCTCCATATCCTCCAAACCCTTGAATGTTGGTGTTCTCTAGAGTTGTATCCATATCCATCTTCTCTTATCAAAAGGTAGCTTTATCTATATTGAAGTGTTCAACCTACTCCCAAATCTCTATTCTCTGCTCACCAAAACTACATACTCAACTCAGATCTATGATATGAGACCAGGATTTCAACTGCTTACTATAAACTGTTACTTGGTTATCACCACTTGTGCTATCAAGCTGGCATGCCCCAAACTGAACTCATTATTTTCCCCTTCCTCCTCATCTTTTTTTCCAATTAGAAGTTCCCTTTACCTACAAAACGTGTTGGTAAACTACAACCAGTAGCCAAATCTGGCCACCAACCAGACTGCCACCTGTTTTTGTAAATAATATTTTATGGAAAGATAGTCATATTCATACATGTACATACTATGACAGAAGGGAGCAGTTGTTACAGAGATGTATACTGCACATGCTGAAAATAATTACTATCTGGCCTTTTCCAGAAAACATGCTGACCTTGGGTCTATCACATTCACCTTTCCTCTTCCCACATTAACCCCATTCCTTAAGTATGGTTCTTTGAGAAGCTTTCCTTGACAAAGCTGTTCCCCACACTGTTACTACTCTTACTTGGGTGGCATTTTCCCTCCCATGGATGGATATGTGGAAGGAGAGCTCCTTCCCCAGATCTACTTAACACTTTCATTGTCAGCAGCATGTCCACCCACTGGGAGTCTCTATGGTGAACCATCTCTTACTAAGTTACCTTGAAATAAGACACAAAAGTTGAGGAGTCCCTGTCAAGTTAGTACTTACAATTTTGTTGGTAAGTAGGCTGCAGTGTCATCTTTATTTCTGATAATGTCATTACATTTATCAAGTGTTTGAAAAACTGTAAAAGTATCCCCAATGCTATAAAGGGCTGCAAGATTTTTAGCTAATAATTTCCTTGTAGGTGGTCCAGGTGAACTACTTATCAATCCAGTTAACTGTTCAACAAGTTTTTTCTGTTTTTCCTTTACATCAGTCTGTTATTAAAAAAAAAAATCCAAAAGAACATTATCATTTTTTCTTATACCGATCATTATTTTTAATTAAGATTCAAAATACTTAACACTTAAGGCACTCTAAAATCTGTATTAAATATAAATCATAAGTGAAAACTTTTAAGATAGGGAAAAGTTTAGTAAAAAATGATCCATTCTTTCTTATATTAAATCTCCTTCATTTCCCTTCAATGCCAAAAAGTTAGCCTCCAATAAAAGTAACATCCCTAATCCAAAAAGTTTCCAGGCCAATTTACTAAGAAATAAACCAACAAAGGATGCAAAATATTGGATATATGGACAATTGATGTCTTAGAATCCAAATAGTTATAGCTCAGTAAAGGAAACCAAGAAAACTCTGAAGACACCTAGGCAACAGAACATAAAACCCATACCTACTCGTAATCAATACTTAGAATCAATTCATGTATTTAAAAAATTCAACTGTGCACTTACTGCATGCCATGCACTATCCTAGGCACTGGGGTGCAACAATGGACAATACAAAGTCCCTGTCCTTATGAAGTTCACATTTTACTGGGGAGGGACAGAATTTATTGAGTAAACAAATGAATGGTATAAGTGCTGTTTTATATATATATTAGTTAGAAAAGAACTCTCTGAAACCTGAAGGAGTGAGCAATGCCAGTTTCTGGGGAAGAACACTGCAGGCAGAGGGAACAAAAGTGCAAAGGCTTTGAGGGTGAAGCATGCTTAGTATACCTGAGGACAGCAAGAAGGCCAGTGCAGCTGGAGCGGAGTTAGAAAAAGTAGGAGGAAATGAAGTCAGCAGGGACCGTTATTGTGTAGTATAACGTTCACCACTGTAAGAATGTTGTATCTTATTCTGAGTGAGGGTTGTAAGTAGAGGAGAGTCATAATCTAAATGTTTTCACAGGCTCACTCTGACTGGTGAACTGAGAATACTCTAATACAGTATATGTATGGTAAGCAATTAAGAAGCTGCTGCAATAATCAGATAAGAGATAATTTAAGAGGTAGATGATGAGAAATAAATGAATTCTGGGTATATTTGTGGATAAAACCCATGAGATTTGCTGCTGAATATGATGTGAAGTTTGAGAAAAGAAAGAAAGAAAGAATAACTCTGAAGTATTTGGCCTAAGCAAGCAGAAAATAAAATGGTCATTTCCTGATGTGGAGAACACTGGGGAAAGGGCACATTTGGGAAGGTAAATAAAGAATCTGGCTCAGATATGTTAAATTTGAGATGCTTTTTAAACACAAATGAAGTACAGTAGGCAGTTGGATATGTGGGAGACAGCAGTAGAAATTTTAAGATTAGATGCTATCACGGAAAAAGTAAGTAAACATAGGAGAAAAAAAGAATGCCAAGGACTAAAAAAAGCCAACAAAAGAGAATTAGAAGCTTGTGAAGTAGGAGGGAACTAAAAGAAAATGGTGTTTTGGGAGGCCACTAGTAGGAAGAACTGAACACAAAGTATGCTAAGTAAAACAAAGTATTTTTTAATTTGAGTGGAAGGTTCACAGATATTCCTATTATTATATTTTATAATTTAGATATGTTTTATATACTCTTGAATATGTCAACTTGGCCACAAAATAAAAAATGTTTTACGTGTTTTAGGGTAGAGTATCACCTATATCAAAAGGTGAAGATGGATCAAATAAAATAGAATACAGACCATTGTTTTGGACAATGTGAGATCCATGATAGTTGTGAGAGGGAAGAAAACAAATATCTAGTTGCGTGAAGTTTAAGAGAAAACAGAAATTTCTAGTTGAAGATTGCAAGTAAATCCATATATTAACTGCCTCTCTAGAAACTCCATTAAACTCAGACTAATGGGCTACCAAAAAAAAAAAAAAAAAAAAAAAAGCTGCACAAATCCAAAAGAGCAAAGAAAACAGGAAAAGAATCAACACAAAATTTAGAAGCCAAGTCTTTCCAATAGGGAAAGTTGAGAAGAAATTTACACAGTTTATACACACAGAAATTTACACAATCTACACAGAGCACCCAAAGCCCTAGGTGCTTCTGAAGCAGTAGTCAAGATGCATTTGGAAATGGAGGGAATGGTTGAGTTTTTTTAAGAAACTATAAGATTTTATTTCTCTTTCCCATTCTAGAAAAAGACTAGAGGCTTATTCTCTGGAAAGAGTAAGGTATTGTATCTCTGGAGTAGAGGAGGCTAGGCACAGTTAAGGGCTGAGTTAACTGTACCAAAAATAGAGAAATTGAGTAAAAGTTTACATACCAAATGCTGAAGTCTTCAGTCTTCTTCCCTAGTTCCTACAGCCTAGATAACCACCCATAAATTCCCAGTCATTAGAGTAAGTCTTCTGGGGGAATGACCAGCCTGGAGAAACCTGAGATACTAAGGACAGGAAGCAGACTAGCCTAACACGAAATCCAGTTAACAAAATTCACCCTTACCAGAAGACTTTTCACAGCTCATTCTAAAATTTAAGCAGACAATGGAAGGTCATCACCATCTGATAAAAGCACCTAATTTTAAACAAAGAAAATAAAACATACAAACAATAAACTTGAATCAAAGAGACTATGTAGTAGGAAGAGAAAACCAGAAAAAATAAAAGCCTATTATTAACTTCTCAGAGAGAAAAGTAAAGATACTGGGATTACCAATAGTGCTGAAACTTACTAGCAGTTGCTGATGATGACTTTAAAGTGATACTAATCACATAGCTATGTTTTTCTCCAATCACACTTAGCTGACTAGATAGAGAAATGAAGTCAGCGATGAGCTGAAGTTTGCCACAAAACAGAAAAAGGACAGACAAAAAATTCCCATTAGTGTTACATTCTTGAGTTCCCTAAGTGACCTACAACCTTTCCAAAATGATTTGCTTTATTAGCCCCTACCTGTTAATCCAATTGGAAATAAAGCAATATCATACCTTGTTAGCAGCAACCAAGACTTTATCAAGAAATCGCAGCCATTCAAAGATAAAAACTGGTCTCTTTGCTTCAGTGATTTGAGCCAAAGCTTCTTCGTTTAGCAATAAACTGTGGGCTAACTCCATTACTGAAGTTTGTAATTCACACCTTAAATTAACAGATTAAAAATGCATGTAAGGATTTTTTAAATGTTAAAAATCAAGCTTAATGAATGCAACCACTGGAAGTATGGCTTTATTTCTTATTTCTGTTGGGGAAAAACATAACTTCTTTGACAGCACAACCAGAGAACCAACTTTGAAAGGACAAAGGTACGAACAAAATTTAAAAACGGTGCTTAATGAGGAAGAATGAAAAAGGGAGAGGGGGGAGAAAAATTAATCATTGCAAAAAAGGCATTACTCCAGAAGAACCCACAGATACTAGCTTCTATAAGAAAACGAAATCACCAGTATCAAGCACTGCGGCCAGCCTTACTACTCTACCAAGCCTTTTTTCCTGTCCACAGTTCGTGTACAGCGCCTTCACCCCTTCCCGCAGCACCTGTTCCAGCAAAAAGACCCCAAACAGCATGCTTCCCAAGCTTCCTACGAGAGTGGGGCGGGCGCGGGAAGGTAGGTCCCCGCGGCCCGAGCGTCCGTGACAACACCGGCGGCCCGTGAATGCAGCCGGCAGAGGCCTCGTGCGCTTGGGGTCTGGGTTCACCCGGCTGCTGGGAGGAGCGCAGCGCAGCGCCGGGCCTGGGGAAAATGCAAAACGACGTGCCAGGCTCCTCAAGCTGTCAACCCCGCGTCGCAGGGTTCCTGGAGCTGTCAACCCCTCGAGGCGGTGGCTCGGAACACAGCCCGGGCCAGAAGAGAAAACGTTCATTACGAACGGGAATTTCCTCTCCATTCCTCTGAAAACGTCTGGGGGCGAAGGGGTGTGTGTGCGTGTCAACGTGCATGCTTTGGCGGCGAGGGGTACGGCCTCACCTCCAAGTCTGGCAGAGGCCGCATCAGCTGAGCTCCCGGGGCTGAAGCAGTCGCCAAGGGACCCGGATGCCCCGCCTCCCGCTCTCTTGCCGGCAGGAAGCGAGGGGAGAGCGCGTGCGCGAGACACTGTTCCTGCGCACTCGCCACTTCCTCCTAGCCCCTCCTACAGCGGGTTTCCAATTCAGTCGGCCTAGGAACAGGTGGAGGCGGAGTCCCGCACGTCCTGCGCTAGCTGGTGGGCGCATGCGCAGCGCGGGCTCTCCCTGGGGCCGGGCAAAGTAGAGGTACCAGGTAAGGATCGGCGGAGGTCTGAGGGTATAGTAGAGGGCGATGCGCGCTAGCTAGGACTACCCATCCGAAGGTGAGCCAAGTTCCCACCCGCAGGTGGTCGCGGCTGTGGCACCTTCGGCCGGGAGGAATGCAGGAGAGAAGGGACCAAGCATTCCTGAGGGGCGTGTGTAGAAACGAGGGGTTTCTTGTTCTCCTTCTACACATCCCTATTTAGACCATCTCTCCCTTGGCTGTATAGTGGGATCCTCAGTTTGTGTGAAACAGCACTCTTGCTGTCAACTATCCACCCTGTCTGGAAAAAAAAAATGTTTTTTTAAAACGAAAAACAAACCTGCGCTTACAGCCTTCCCACTCAAAAAAATGTTAACTCTATTCTTGCAGGTATTCAGGCGAAAACTGGCATAAATCTTAAATCGTTCTTTCCACACCACCTCCAATTCATCAACAAATCCTGTACGCTCTACATTCAAATATATCCAGAATTCGACCCCTTCCACTGTTATCACTCCAAGCGATGGTCCAAGCCACCGTCTTCTCTGCCAGGATTATGGCCTTGTGAAGTTTATGCTTATGTTTGATGGGAGTGAGTAATGTTAAAGTATATTGTACAGGTAGAAAGGAAACTTTTAAGGAATCCTCATCCTCTATTCAGCCCTGCCTTGCACTTTATAACCAAATGGGTTTGTTAAAAATAATCTGATTCTGAATAGGGGATGTAGCTCAGTGGTAGAGCACTTGCCTAGCATGGGTTCAATCCCCAGCTCCTCCTCCTCCACCACCATCATCTAATCCTGTCTTCAGTAGCAAAAGCACTGAGACCTGAATTCTTTGTGGTTGTAAATAAGTCATTTAGCCATATTGAGCTTTAATTTCTCCAACTAGAAAATGGGAACTTTATTTCTACTTTATTAGGTAAATACTGATAATTATTTGTAAATTATTATCATGAGGAACCTGAGAGGCTTAGAGACAGAGGCTGAATTACCACAAATGCTATATACAATCATACACATGTTTAACTTAAAGTTTTAAAAATATAATGCTATATGATTTACATGTGGAAAATGAATCTATAAAGATTCCCATACAAGGTACAATAGTAACTGTTCCTCTCATTGAACAAGGAGTACATTTTGGTTGGGAAAAAAGTGGGCTCCAAAGTGACTGACTTACAAAGTTCTGTTTCCTTATGTGATGATGATTTGTATTATCTTTTGCAGTATAACAAATGATCCTGAAATTCAACAGCTTAAAAATAACTATAGTCATTTGTTGTATCTGTTTCTGTGGGTTAGAAATTTGTTAGCAGCTTAGCTTCGCTTGGACTTTCTTAAGAAGCAGTCCTCAAAGTGCCAACCCAATCTGAGTTATCTGAAGGCTTAACTGGAACCAAAGGATCCATTTCCAAAGTAGTTCACTAATGTGGCTCACAGGTTTGTGCTATTGACAGAAAAATTTGGTTCCTCCCATGTGGACTACTCCATAGAGCTTCCTGAATATCCTCATTATGTGACAGCTAACTTCCTTCAAATAAATCATCTAGCTAAAAGTTGTAGTGTCTACTATGACCAAAAAGTTACACTCCATCATTTCCATAAAATCTTATTGGTTACCCAGGTTAATCCCATCCACTGTGGGAGGAGATGTTGAAAGCGCAAGAGGCAAGAATCACAAGGGACCATCTTAAAAGATACCACATGGTTATAAGAGTGTTTGCCTTATAATACATTTGTTTTATGTAGTTTTCTGTATTTATGATATGTTTATTAAAACATTTTTAAAAGATGTGTTTACCTTGGGAAAAAAGTATTCTATTATTAGAAAATCTCAAATATTAAAGACATTTTTGTGCTTGTTGTAGCTAAAAATTTATTAAGAATTTATGATGTTTAGGACACAGTGGTAGGTAGTGAGGACATAAAGGACTTCTTGTATTTCCCAGCCTAGTTGGAAAGATAAATGTTAAAAGTATTCAGAGCCAGGACAGTGATAGTTTTTTCATCCAGTGTAACTGCTCAGACTCTTGGTTGCAGTTGACATAATCCCAACTCAGGCAAACTTAAATAATACAGAAAGTTGTTAGTCCATGTAGCTGGGAAGGATGCCACGTTATAGCATCAGAAAATGAGGACCTTAGGAACTAGAATTGGAGACTTATTGCTTTTAGGCTTATCTTTGCCCATTTTCTCTATCTGGCTTCATTCTGCAGACAGGTCCTCTTAATGTGGCCAAGAAGATGGCCATTCATAGTCTAGCTTCATATACTCCCAATTCAGAAAGCCCAGTGAAAACAACTTAAATCTCTACAATGCATATATTCATATTATACAAGGAAAGAAATACTTATTTTCCCTGGTTGTTATTCCTCCTCTCTTTCTGGGACACAGGGTACTATAATTGGTCATCTTTGTGCACAAGGGAATGAATATAGGGTGCTAACATTGCCACCTTCCTCTAGAACCACTTGGACAGCAGAGAGTGGGTTATTAGCAAAAAGAATAATAGGAAAAAAATAAGCATATGTGCCCTGCAACAAGTGACTGCACTTTTGTATCTAGGAGCAGCATTGACATTGCTTGGGAACCCATTAGATATGCGGAACCTTAGGTTCCAATCCCCAAATCAGATTCTGCATTTTAAGAAGATCCTGGGGCAATTCATGCACACATACAAACACATACACACAAAGTTTGAGAAGCACTTTAAGGGCTAATAATTACATGATGTTAACTACTTTGGTTGGAAACTCTTCCCCCAAAATATTTCCATATAAACAAGGTATTAATGTATCTGGATGAGCAACTTCCCCTAAAATAGTGCTTATAGACAGTGGCCTGGAATGGTCAAGACAGGTTTTTAAGAAGGAGGATAGCCATGACCTAGGTGGAAAGGATGTCTGTGCCTATATGCAGTGAAAAGCCCATGTGGCTTGAATAAAAAATCTTTAAGGTGGGTAATAAGTATATGAAGAATGACCCCATGCTTTGCTAATGTGATTGGTCTGCCACTGCTTGTATGGTCAAGTTTGTTGAAGGATTTGAAACAAGTAACCTGACCTAGCTTGTATTTAAAAAGGAAAAAGAAACAAACATTCTTTAGACTGTGAAGATGAGGCCAAAGGAAATAAAACCAATTAGGAAGCTATTATAAAATGATTCAGGTGAGGAAAAATTTGAACTAATGTGATCACAACTGTAGAGAAAAAAAATGTCTATGAGAAATATTACGGAGGGAGATAGGGGTGACAATGTGGAAACACAGGGCATGTTGTGAGGTTTTAGTAGAAAGATGAGTTGTTTGGACTATTGAGTTAGAGAATGCCACAAATAAGGCTGTCCAAAAGGCATTGGATATGTAGCAGAGTTCTGGAGAAAGCTCACCACTGGGAATACATAAAGGTGTATTCCCATTTGGTAAACCAAATATATATATATATATTTACTTTGTTTGATTTATAGATACTATCACCATATGAAGCTGAACATGGCAGAAGAAGAGGACTATATGTCTGATTCCTTCATTAATGTCCAGTAAGTAAATGTGCATACCGAATGCTATGAAACGTGTAGACTGTGAAGCAGTGTCACTCATTTTAAATGTGCGGTTGGAAAGTTATTCTTACTGCTTTATGGAAACATCTCACACAAAGGTATTAGTATCCCCTTCCTCCCTTTTAATGCTAACCATTTTATTTCTTCCCTAGATACTTGGGTTGCCCTCTTGTAAGGAAATGTACTCCTTTTCCTTTATTGCATCTTATTGTCTCTTCTAGCTTCTATTTGGCCTTGTTCTTTATTGTTGCTGACCTCCTAGGAAAAGTCATATTTACTATTAATAAGTTCTTAAACTCCATACTTTCTTTAGTTACCGTATGTAACCAGCCTTCATCATTTCTACTAAAATTGCTCTTCTTGGACATCACTGATTATGTTCTAATTGCCAGTGATAACAAAGATGATCATAGAGGCCATACTGAAATACTGAAATATTAACTAGTGTCAGGTGAGTAAATGGCAAAGTTATGAGAAAACATCATCTAAAATAATCATTTCCTTTATTGTTCAGAGAAGATGTCAGACCAGGATTGCCCATGCTGAGGCAAATCCGGGAAGCCCGTCGAAAAGAAGAAAAGCAACAAGAAGCTAATTTGAAAAATAGGCAGAAGAGTTTAAAGGAAGAAGAACAAGAAAGACGTGACATTGGGTTGAAGAATGCACTAGGCTCTGAAAACAAAGGCTTTGCTTTGCTCCAAAAAATGGGATATAAAAGTGGTCAGGCTCTTGGAAGGAGTGGTAAGTCACATTCAGAAATAGGTATTCCTACCCACCCAATTATGATGTATTTATGAGGAAAAGAGATAACACTTTAATTTTTATCCATCTACAAAAAAAAATTAAAACAACTTTAGCTTCTTAGTCTCTTATGTGCTAACAGTCCCTATAAAGAACTTTTATTTTCCGTTTTCAATAATACACATGCCATCACAAGCTGCTTATCAGTGCAGTGCAACCATGAAGGCACTAACAGCTGGAGTGGAGGTGGCTTACAGCAGAGGCAGCAAAGAAGGGTGACCCATGATGGTTTGAGAAGTGCAGTGGCCAAAGGACTATGAAAAGAATGGGAGAGGATGGCAAGTCTCTACCTGTGGCAGCTGAGTGCCCATTCAGTTGGAGAAGCTCTATTATCACTTTTTAGGAAGTGAAACTGATTATTAAGATGCAGAGGCTTTATATTTAGAGTAGCTTCCTTATGCTGTTTTTCTTTTCTTTCCTACTTTATTATAATTGCTTTGCAGTTGCAAGGCTTTGCTTTCTCTTAAGGACATCACTGGTTTTGAACCATAATATCAGCATTATTGTTTCTTAAAGTGGCATAAGAGGCTGTGAATTGCTGGTTGCAGTGGTGCACACCTGTAATCCCAGTGACTTGAGAGACTGAGGCAGGAGGATTGCATGTTTGAAGTCTGCCTTAGCAATTTAGCAATACCCTCAAAAACTTAGTGACAGCATAAACTAAAAACTATAAACTAAAAACTGTTGGGAGTGTAGTTCAGTGGTAAAGCATCCCTGAGCTCAGTCCTCAGCAGCAAAGGTGGGGAGAAGACTGTGAGTCAACCTTATTAATCAAAGGCAAGGAAGGTAATTGATTGTATAGAGAGTATTGATTTCAGATTTTAGTGATGAAAATCACTGAAATGGAGTGGATACATTGTAAAGTGGTATACTATACTGGCTTGAAGTTTGAGGTAGAATTTCTAAAGAGTTTGCGTTTTTTTATGTTTTTTTCTTTTATTTATTTATTTTTTTAATCATACATGACAGCAGAATGTATTTTGACATACAATACATACATGGTATGTACATACATCAATCATATTGTCTATTCTATTCTGCTGCCCTTCCTATCCTCCCTTCTCCTCCGCTCCTCTCCCATCCTTTCTCTCTATCCAATCTAATGTGACACACTTTTTTTTTCTTTTTCTCCTCACAACATCATACATGTATTCTGTATATCAATGAGGTTCTCCTTCCATCTTCTGTGCAACTCCCCTTCTCCCTCTTTTTCCCTCCCACTCTCTTCCCTATTTAGTGGTAGTCTTCTCATGCTCTTCCTCCCTATCCCATTTTGAGTCACCCCTCTTATATCAGAGAAGACATTTGGCATTTGTTTTTTAGGGATTGGCTAACTTCACTTAGCATAATCTGCTCTAATGCCATCCATTTGCCTGCAAATGCCATGATCTTGTTATTTTTTAGTGCTGAGTAATATTCCATTGTGTATACATGACAGATTTTTTAATCCATTCATCTATTGAAGGGCATCTAGGTTGGTTCCACATTCTAGCTATTGTGAATTGTGCTGCTATAAACATTGATGTGGCTGTGTTCCTGTAGTATGCTGTTTTTAGGTCTTTCGGGTATAGTCCAAGAAGGGGAATAGCTGGGTCAAATGATGATTCCATTCCCAGCTTTCTAAGGAATAACGTAGTTTGTGTTTTGTTCTCTTTTTTTAGGAGATGGTATTGTTGAACCAATTCCTCTCAATGTCAAAACAGGTACGTCATTATTTTTGAGCATATTTACCAGTAATAATAACTTATGCATAGATCAACCACAGATATTTGCTTAACACTGTCTTGTGATGGTACAGTTATAGTTCTTACTGCAGGAAACCCTTAGAAAAATGTTTGTTAGTTATACACCTTTTAGAAGGTTTTGTTTTCTAGGAAAAAAATAAGTAAAATTAAGGCTTAGTGAAACAGAAGTAAATTTTAGTGAGTAAAAATAAAATTTAAATCATAAAAATGTGGGGGAAATCATAATCCTTAAAACACAACAACACTTTTTTTTGATTGAAATGTCTTAAAAGTATTCTGAGATGGATATATCCACAAAATGTTTTGCCTAATACTGTGATCAAACTCAAAAAGAAAAAATATATGCATATATCTTATTTATCATATTTACATGAAAGTATGACAGTTTATACTATTACCCTAATGTTTAAAAATGTATATGGTATTACACTCTGAGAAGATGATAAAACATATAAACCCAGTGTTTTCTCCTGTCATTCCAGTGAAATGAGGTGGGGTGATTATACTGAAATGAAAATTGTATTTAATTCATAAATCTTAAATTGTCATGTTACGAAGTAAAGAATCAATAAGTTCTTCATCAGAACTTTATGTTTGTATAGGGAAAAGTGGCATTGGTCATGAAGCATTATTAAAACGGAAAGCAGAGGAAAAATTAGAAAGTTATAGAAGAAAGATTCACATGAAAAATCAAGCTGAAGAAAAAGCTGCAGAACAATTTAGGTAAAATTTTGCATTTGGGAGCTGGGATTGTGGCTCAGTAGCAGAGCACTTGTCTAGCATGTGTGAGACCCTGGATTTGATTCTCAGTACTGTGTATAAATACATAAAGGTCCATCAACAACTAAAAATGTATATATATATTTTTAAAAACTTTATGTTTGAGCAGGTTTTGGTTTCAAATCCTCTTTATCCTGGTATGTCTTCTGGAACTTAGGAATATAAAATGATAAAAGAGAACACAGACATTACTTTATAAATTTTTCTTTCAATTAGAATGCGACTTAAAAATAAGCAAGATGAAATGAAGCTAGAAGGAGACCTGAGAAGAAGCCAGAGAGCCTGTCAACAATTGGATACCCAGAAGGTAAACTGTTACTTGCTTTCAGTTTTGTATAGTGTCTTGGCACCCCATGTGATTTGCCACATTTTTACTTAAGAAAAAAGAGCTCCAAGCCTGGTTTATCTAGCTTTTTGCCCATTAAAGCTTTCATGCACTGTGCATTCTTGATCTGTGATAAAATAATGGCTTGTTTACTGCAGGAACCCAAGTTATTTTGATTATCTAAAAATGGATACAAAAACAATGCATTCTTTGTTGATTTGAATTTTGATTACTTAGAACTAGAATGTTTGGAAATTCTTTTCTCCATGTTTGATTAACCAAAATAGTCTATTTTCAGTCCATATTCAGTACCTTATATGTCTGTAGTAAAATGAAGCTGGAATGCTATTTCATATTTGAATGATTTTTTAAAAAATTCTTTGTTTTTAGTAGCTAAATATCATCAAAATAAAACTTCATTTAAAGTCTCAAAAATATTGGTAAAATTTCCAACATATCTAACTAGATTGCTGGTAGCAGTTCTTACTTTGCTGTTTCCATAGGACTTTATTTTTTAATGTATTTCCTGACACTTAAGATTTCCTATCTTATATGTATTATTTTATACCTGTAGATTATCTTTCCTGCTAGACTGTCAGCAGCAACTCTGAGACCATATCCCCATAGTTCATGTTATAGTAATATACTCTTAAAACAGCACTTAGTAAATATTTATTGAAAGATCAAATTCATATTGACCTGAACATATTTGTGGTAATCTTATGCTTAGCTGTGTTTCATGATAATAATTTTTGCATTTTTAGAATATTCAGGTTCCCAGAGAGGCATGGTACTGGTTGAGGCCTGAAGAGGAGACTGAAGAGGAAAAGGAAGAAAAAGAACAAGATGAAGATGAATATGAGAGTGATGATTTAACTGTATGTTTGGTGCCATTTACTTGATAGCAGGGCTTCTCAGGCTTAGCACTGTTAACACTTCAGGCTGGGTAACTCTTTGTTGTAGGCAGTTGTCCTGTGCACTGGAAGATGTTTGGCAGGGTCTCTGGCCTTTACATACCAATTTCACATCCCCTTATGACAATGAAAAACATCTCCAAGCATTGCTAAACATTCCCTGAGGGAAAAAATAATCCCTGTTTGATAACTATTGCTCTACAGGATTGTTTTATTAATCCCACATCAAAATTTCATATGGTTTTTCCATTTAGCTTCAATTTGCTCTCTCACCTCAGCTTCAGTTTGGATGAAGAATTTGCTACAAATGTAAATTCTTTTATACTTGTTTCCTATTAAGATGTGGGAATGATTTAATGTGTCCCTCTTTCCCCCACCAGTAAACAAAACAAAACAGAATATAGTCAAAAAGAAGTAGAGATTATTCAAAAAAGGAGAATACACATTACTGGTTAATTGTATGTAAAATTTCATAGAGCCCAGCATGGTGGCACTCATCTGTAATCCCACCTTCTTAGGAGTCTGAGGCAGGAAGATCACAAGTTCAAGGCCAGCATGGGCGACTTATTGAGGTCCTGTTTCAAAATAAAATAGGTTGGGGATGTAGCTCAGTGATAGATCACCCTGGAACTGAGGAAAAAAACAAGAATTTTGTAGAGAACATTCTCTAGAAAAGCCTCTGACTACTTTGCTGGAAGATTACTAATGAGAACTTTTATGACAAAAGCAGACAGTCCCACCTTCACCAATCTACTCAGGAATGGGGTAGCTGCGTTAAAACTAGGAGGGGGCTTTACGGATGCCAACTATCATAGAATCAGTCAAAAACTTTTCTAAATGCTAATCAGTGGTCTCTATTGTATCTAGCATAGTTGTGAAAAATCTCAGGTGGCTGGTATTCTGGGATATATTATATTAAGTCTGCCCGTGGCACCTCTAATAACTGTCGAAAAGTATAGCGGATGTTATAGCTTGGGGCAAATTGAGCATGATGTAAGACCTAGAAACCCAGGTTCTATTCAATATGAACTACTAATGTACTTGTGTCTGTATCTAGGTACTGGAAAAATTACAAATATTGACTAATTATTTAAGAGAAGAACATTTGTATTGTATTTGGTGTGGAACAGCCTATGAAGGTAAAAAGATATTTTATACTTCTTAAAAATATTGACTATGAATGCTCTTTGATTTTAATAAAAGTCACCTTTCCCATAGACAGTGAAAATTTCTTATTCCATTCAAATAGAAAGATAAGGCCAGTGTTTTAAAGAAACAGTGACTATTCAAATAATTGATTCCTTATTAGAATTCGTTTTAGCTTTTCAGTAACTGAATGTACAGGAGGGAATTTTTCAGTGTTTTGTTTCAAAAACAATTAGAATAACTTAAGGATGATGAATTTTTAAAGACTTATTCTTTAGCTACACATTTGAAAAATATTTAGATTAAATTTTTCAACAAATACATATTGTTAGGCAGAATATTGTTCCTAACCATAAAACTCAGATTGTTGAAATCTACCCCTTTTGTTTTTTTCTTTATGGGGGGATAAACATGCCCAGTACTGGTTCAGTCCCTAAAGCCAAGTGCCCAAGTTGATCTGGGTTATCGTTGTTTTTAACTTTTCCTTATTTGTTTAGCAGAGTAAATACCAAACAAAAGTCAAAAGTCATTGCTATATTGAAATTATTTCCTAGTGTCCTATAAAATTTGTATTAATTTATTATTCCCTCACATAAATTACAGATAAAGAAGACCTGTCTTCAAATTGCCCGGGACCAACTTCTGCAGATCATGACTAAGATTATTCCCAATAAAGTGGAAACTGTTTATACCACTAAGGAAAAGGAGCCTTTACTTAATGCTTTATTCTTTTGTGCTTTAGAAATACTTTGTACTTTAAAATATAATTGTTCACTGACTTGAAAAAAATAATGTAATACTACTCAGAACACAAATATCGTAGACATAGACAATTACAATTTATGGCTATATTGTGATGCTTGTGGCATTTAAGGACACTGACAGGTAATTTTCTTATTTCCCTCTTCACTTTTGAACAAACTAAGAAGTAAGATACAGGAGTCAGAGGGAGACCAAAATGTCAGCTTTATCAGCCATGAAACTGAAAGAGAGAACAAGGTTGGCTTTTTCTCTATGAGGCCTCCTAATTTTACTCCTTGGTTAGAGAGAACTGCAGTCCTCTTCTTGGTAGGGGCAGAGCTCACTTTGTGTTCTTTGACCAATTGGTTCCAACTGACCAACATGCTCAGTTCTTTATCCAGTATCACCTGTCAGATAAGACACTTCTCTTGTGGGAAGGGATGAATGAAGGTTCAGAGACCTTGTTTCCTTATTTCTCTCTCCCAAGGAACAAGAAGTTCTCTTCTCCAAACCAGGAGGAAAAGGAAGAGGGTAAGACTGGCAATCCTCCATTAGCACTACTAAATTCTGATAATTTTGGAGACAAAGTAGTTTTGTTGTTTCTGTTCAAGTGAGTTTTCATGGCAAGGGATATGCAATGCAAGTGATCTGTTGCAAGTGTTATCTAAAGAAACTTAAGAATTGGCAGGAACCTTAAATTTCATGTGTTCCGCCTACACTGAATTTGGAAACTCCTGGTCAGCATTCCCAGCAAGTGGTAATCCAATCTCTACCTTTATTCTACCAGCTATAGAGTACTCACTGCTTTAAAACCATTCCACTGAGCTGGGAATATGGCTCAAGTAGTAGCGCACTTGCTTGGCATGCGTGAGGCACTGGGTTCGATCCTCAGCACCACATAACAATAAAATAAAGATATTGTGTCCACCTGAAGCTAAAAAATAAATATTTTTTTAAAAAAACCATTCCATTGCTAGATAGGCTATAAATTATTTTTATGTTAATTTTTCTCTCCTAAATTAGAATCTGCCTCCCTATAAATTTAATATATATAAGGACATACTATATAGCATAGGTCTAAAGAGTCCCAGTGAGGGTCAGGCATCAAAATCATAAACATTTTTAAAAGTCCATATGCTCAGGTTCTCCCCAGTAATTCTGAATCAACTATGAAAGGGGAGCTCTTAGATGTCTATTTCCAAGTTCTAAGAATGAGTTGATAAGTAACCGAGGATAATAACTAGTGCTGTTGCTTAAATAAAGAGTCCCAGCTTCACTGTATATTTTTTTGATAACTGTGATTACACCTATGTGATTTTACAGCTTACTTTTCAGTTACCTTTAGTAAGAGATCAGTTTCTTCCTTTAATTAAAAACAGCATACACAAGAGAATAGCAAAAGCTAACCTACACTTGCATAGGGCAAGATAATCAACAGTATAACTTGTATGTATTAATCTCTGACATTATATGACCTAATTCATTTGTTTGCAGATTTTACATGGAGGACTTCAAGAAATAAATTTGCCTCCCTCCTCCCCACCCCAAGATTCTAATGTAATTGGCCACTCTGTCTAGGCAACATACCTTTGACTCAAGATGCAGCATAGCTTGAGAACCACTAATTTGGTTAAGTTATCGGTCTCAGTTCTTCAACCAAAAAAAGTAATAATTTGTATAAATGTACAGATATGAAACACCAATATTTAAGTGTACATTTGGGTACTATTAGTTAATATTTGCTCTTTGTCTAAATAGCAATAAAATTATATTAATAGCTAAAAAAAGGAGTACATCTTTCTAGAACTTGACTAAGCAGGAGGTATGCCTCCATTTTTGTGCACCTAATGTTAAAAATAGAGGCTTCAATAAGAGTGAAACATACTTTTAAGATGGGCTTGGTGGCACATATCTATAAGCCCAGCTACTCATGAGGCTGAGGAAAGAGAATCGGGCAACTTAGCAAGACCCTGTCTCAAAATTTAAAAAGATCTGAGGTGTGACTCAATGGTAGAGCACTTACCTAGCATGCTAGAGGCATTGGGTTCAATCCCAGGTACCACACACACATACAAAAAAAAAATTATGCAAATAGGCCTTTTGTGACCTCATAACCAGACAATGAAAACTGAGGGAACATTGAAAACAATTTAATTTGCTTTAGAACATTTACATGAAATTTTGAAACTTTAAAACAAAATAAGTTTTAACATGTTGTCACTATTAAATTTTTTATATAGTCATTACTTTTGTTTGTATTGTGCATTTGTTTTCAAAGTCCTCTCTAGAGTTTTTTAGTGTCTTCCTTAATTATAAATCCAAAATATGCAGCTTCTGACATTCAAAACAAATACTTTAAATGATCAAACTGATTTACCTTACACTTGTTTACTTCAAGTGTTATTTACCAAGCATTTAAGTGTTGGAATCTGATGGGGAACATTCTTATTAAATATTAGGCACATTTTGTAGGATCAAGCTTATGAAACTCTTTTATTCCACACCAATCACTAACAGAATTCCTGCTTTCTGCAAGGCACAGTACCCGCTGCCTTAGAGTATACAACAATGGGAGAACCTGCCTTTGGCTTTCCAAAAATTTACAGTATAACAAGGGAAACACGCAGGAATTACTGACTTTGGAAGCAAATGGTAACAATAAGGTACTAAACAAAGGGAATGCTAGGGGAAGATGACTGTGAGTGGGATATGGTAGGACACCAGGGAAGTAACACAATTTGGTTCTGAAAGATGGGCATAACTTTGATATGCAAAGTTGTGAGGCAGGAGTTACTATTATAACCCAGAATTTTATTCCTAGATATACATCAAAAAATAAAACATGTCTACATAAATCTTCCATGCATATGTTTGTGGTAGTATTATTCATAATAGCCAAAAAGTGGGAACAATTTGGGTCTGAGGTTGTAGCTCAGTGGTAGAGCATTTGCATGTGTGAGGCACTGGGTTTGATCCTTGGCACCACATAAAAGTAAATAAATAAAATAAAGGTATTGTGTCTATCTACAAATGAAAAAATATATTCTTTTTAAAAGATGGGAACAACTCAAATGTCCATTAACTAATAAAGAGATACATAAAATGTTATGTATTTGGCAACAAAAAGGAATGAATCACTCGTCAATGCTACAACATGGATGAAACTCAAAAGCAAAATACTAAATGAAGAAGACCACTGTCAAATAATTATTTTTATATGAAATGTCTGGACTGAGCAAATTTATAGAGATAAAATAGATCAGTGGTCTACTAACATTGGGAGAAGATGGTGAGTGTCCTTGGATATAGGATTTCTTTGGGGAGGGGGATAACAAAAATGTTTAAAAATGGGATGTAGTGATGGTTGCACAACTCTTTGAGTATGAGTATACTAAACACCAATAAATTGTATATTTTAAGTAAGTAAATTATATTGAATGTGAACTCAATAAAATCATTATTTTATTTTTTTAATTTGTTCTAATCAGTTATACATGACAGTAGAATGCACTTTGACACATCATACATAAATGGATTGTAACTTCTCATTCTTCTGATTGTACATGATGTAGGATCACATTGGTCATGTAATCATATATGCATGTAGGGTATTAATGTCCAATTCATTCTACTATCTTTCCTATCCCCATACCCCCTCCCCTCCCTTCAGTCCCCTCTGCCTAATCCAAAGTACCTCTATTTTTCCCCAGCCCCACACTTATTGTGAGTTAGCATCCACATATCAAGAGAAAATATTCAGTCTTTAGTTTGGGGGGATTGGCTTATTTCACTTAGTATGATATTCTTCAGCTCTGTCCATTTACCAACAAGTGCCATCATTTCATTCTTCTTTAGGCTGAGTAATATTCCATTGTGTATATATACCACATTTTCTTTATCCATTCATCTGTTGAAGGGCACCTAGATTGGTTCCACAGTTTGGCTATTGTGAGTTGAGCAGCTATATACATTGATCTGGCTGTGTCACTGTAGTATGCTGATTTTAAGACCTTTGGGTATGAACTAAGGAGTGGGGTAGCTGGGTCAAATGGTGGTTTCATTCCAAGTTTTCTGAGGAATCTCCATACTGCTTTCCAAAGTGGTTGCATCAATTTGCAGTTCCAACAGCAATATATGAGTGCACCTTTTCCCCCACATCCTCACCAACATTTATTTAAAACCATTATTTTAAAAAGTTACACGGACCTGGGCAGGGTGGTGCATGCCTGTAATCCTGGTGACTCTGGAGGCTGAGGCAGAAGGATCATAAGTTCCAAGACCAGCCTCAGCAACATAGTGAGACCTGTCTCAAAATTTAAAAAAAATAAGAAAGGTTTAGGGATGTGGTTAAGTGGTAAAGCACCCCTGTGTTTAATCCACAGAACAAAAAAAAAAAAGTTGCAGGATTTTCAGTAGAAATGATAGGAGAGGACAGACATGTGCATCTGGGTCTTTAATCCGGTAACAGAATGTGGGATGTGTAATGGGAGCCTCCAGGGAGCAGAGCCCTGCCAAAACTTCAGCCAAAAGAAACTCATTCTAGATTTCTGGCCTCCAGAACTATAATAAAATAAATATGTGTTGTTTGAAGTCACCAAATTTGTAGTAATCTGTTACTACAACCACAGAAATTAAAATAGGTCTTAACCAAATTAGTCCCCAAAAAATCTCACATATCTGAGAAGCACTTTATTTCCCTTACAATTTTGCTTATTTACAGTTTTTAAGTTAGAATTGAAGCCAGTAGTTATGTCACCATACATTTATTAATTGATCCCTTCATCTATGACCATTTTGGGGAAATGAAGGATTAGGATAAGGACTGGTCAAAATCACAGATACTGAACTGTAGCCAGTGACAACTGGACAGGCATTTATATGTAGCCAGTAAACATCTAAATACAAATGTTTCCTACCTGCACTTCTTGCAGTCTCTGCATCTTCCTCTTCTGGCAATGCCTTCAACTTGGATCTCCAAATGGGACTCAACATTTTACCTTCCAAACGTACCTCACCATATCGATGGATGGATGGATGGTGGCCCCACTACTGGCTTAAATTCCAAATTACTAAAAACTGTGTATTAGGTAAAGGTGAGACAAGTAAAATACCTCTCAAAGATATGTGATTCTTGGGTTTCATCGGGTTATATTTATTTAATGGCATCAGAATCCTGCCCCTCACCTGAACAAACCTGGAGATAATCTTTGACCTTGACCTTTTCCATAACCCTCACGTCTCCTGCTGTTCAAGCTTAGTCCTTCAGCCTTCTAACCTTTCAAATAGAGTCTCTTCCTGCTCTAACCCATTCTAAGCACATTATTTCCAAGTACTGGTTGGACCACACCCCTGTTTAAAAAAAATATTCATTTGTCACCTTTGGAGGTTGCTAGGCACTAACTCATTCTAAAAAAAATCAATAAACATTATCACGTGCTGGTTAGTACCTGCCTGTCAAAATATAGCTACACAGCTGCTCTGGAGACTAAAGCAGGAGGGTTCTCTATTATAGGCCAGACTGGACAACTTAGGGAAACCTTGTTAATATAGTATAAAAAGGGAGAAGCAGGGGGCTGGGGTTGTAACTCAGTAGTAGAGTGCTTGCCTAGTGTGTGTGGAGCACTGGGTTCAAGTCTCAGCATCACATATATGTAAATAAAAAATAAAGGTCCATTGACAACTAAAAAAAATATTTTTTTTAAAAAAGGGATAAGCATATGGTACAATCTAATGTAGTTGCTTGCCTCATGTGTACAAGGCCCTGGGTCCAAGCCCCAGTAACACAGAAAAATAAACTTGATAAATACTTATCCCTCTTTCCCATTCAGCTTTAGAGAAAGTTATCTATAGAAAAATCACAAATGATAAATGCAAGAAGTTTGGTAGAATCAGAAAATCAATATTTGGCAATCCCTAAAATGAAATAATGGACCTAGGTAACAATCATCAATGGCTTCTCAAACCATAAGGTAAAAGAATGATGGAAAGCCTTAAAGTGGATTACACCACTATAACCTACAGATCCATCTAAAAATCACTGAAAATGGAACAATCAGGCATCATGTTCCTCTTGAAGTATTGCAAAAATAAGGATACAGCATCGCCTACGAAGTACTCTTGAAGAAAAGTGAACCCGAATCAAATCAAGCTTCTAGATCTAACTAGACATCATGGGGATACCATAAGCCAAATCCTAAATGTAGGATGTTTACAGGACAAATGATCTAGGTCCTTCTTCAAATACATGGTGAAAGGAAAGAAAACAGAGGCAAATGTTATAGAGTACAAGAGACGTATAACCAAATGTACTATTGGATCCACACTTAAACAAGCAATAAAAAGATATTTTTGAGATAGCAAAACTGAATGCAGATTAATTATTGTATGCTATTAAAGAAATCTTATTAATTTTAAGTGACAATGATATAGTGGTTTTGCTAAAATCTAAAATACCTTATTTATTAGAGATTCATTTTTAAATATTTACAAGTGAAATGAATTTTAAAATTTTCTTCTCAGATACTCACATACATATGTACACACAGAGCTGGCTTCACAGACATGTGATCTGTGCACAAGACCATGCTCAGAAGTGTCCACCTTTAATGTTTTTAACAAGGGCCCTATATTTACACTTTGTAGTTGGTCCCACAAATTAGGTGGCTGGCCATACCCATACATGTATACACATACTTCACACATAAATATGAATATATGTGTGCATATTATATATGCTAAACATGTTTAACATAAATAATGTAAGCATGCATGCATGTTATGTATGTTTATGTTAAATAAACACACATATTTAACAAATAATATGCATGTTTAGCAATTAAAAATTAACGAGAAGGCCTGTTTCTAGTTAAGCAACTAGATCAAATGGCTCTTTCAAAACTATCTGCAAATAAGGTCCCTGGCTCTTGCCTCTCTCCTCTGATTAAGAAGATACTTTTTGTCTAGTATTTTTTTTTGAGGCTGAAAAGATATATATTCACAAATAAATAGCTGCTAAGAGATGCTATATTTTTTCATAAGAGTAGAAATATTGCACTAAGGTAAGGTTAAAAGGCTACATTCTCATGGCCACCTTGTTTAGTTTTTCTTTTTAAGTATATCCTCATTCATTGAAACCAGATATTACTAGTTTAAAAAAAAAAAAAACAGAGAGAAATTCTATCTACCCATAAATCTTTCAAACCTACAGAAAAGTTGATATAGTAGTACAATCTATTTACCAATTTTCCGACAGTTAACATTTTATCATATTTCATTCTCTCTCTTCATCTCTTTTCTTCTCCATATATGCATCAATTCTTGCTGACCAGTTGAAAGTCGCAAACATCATGACCCTTTACCCCTAAATATTCCTGCATACATTACCTAAGAATAAAAGATTCTCCTTGACCACAAAACTATTGTCACACCTGAGAAAATTAACAATTACATTGTTACCTACTATGCAGTCTACACTCCAAAAGTTCTCAATTTGTCCCCAAAATGTCTTTTGTGGCTGTTTGCTGGGATTTTTTTTTAATGTACAGAATACAATAAAGATTCAAGCATTGCATTTGATCATTAGATCTCTCTTGTCTCTATTTAGAATAGTTCCCCTACATTTTTTTTTCATGACATTTGACTTTTTGAAGACTAAGTCAATTATCTTGTAGAATGACTACATTGATTACATTCAGGATTTAATAATTTCCTCATGACTGAATTCTAGTCAGACCCTCTGGGCAAGAGAGCTAGATGCTATTGTATAATTTTTCTATCATGTCAGGAGGGGCATAATGTTAGGTTGTTCCACCTTGTATGATACTAGGTTGAATGACTTGGTTATTGTAGTGACCACAGATCTCTCCATTGAAAAAGGCCACTTTCCTCTTTGTAATATATCATCTGTGGGATAACACTTAAATCCTTTTGAATATTCTGTTTCCCAACATCTTTTCACCCAATTGTTTTAGCATCCATTGATGAACTTTGCCTTCATCAAATACTGCACTGGGAGCTGAACACATATTAAGCATTTTTTATGAATACTTTTAAAATAGGTATAAACCTTGATATAAGTATTTTCTCTTACTCTGCTTAGCCAAAATTTGGCTAGTTTTTTGTTGTTGTTGTTGTTTGTTTGTTTGTTTCCTGGTACTGGGGATTGAGCCCAGGGATGCTTTATCACTGAGCTACATCATCAACACCCCCCCCCCACACACACACACTTTTTTTTAAATTTTGAAACAAGGTGTCACTAAGTTGCTTAGGGCCTCATAAAATTGCTATGGCCAGCTTGATCCTCCTGCCTCAGCCTCCCAAGCCACTGAGATTACTTGATTCACTTTTAAAAGTTGTAAAATTGCATGACAGCTTTAGAATGATACTTGATTGCTCTGAAGATTCAATTAACCCTCAAGGTCTTCCAAGATGCAATTCAAATTATCTTCCAGCATTTTCTACAAAATTAGGACAGGTCTCATTGGCATGTTACTTCTAAGCCTGAGGTTGGTTGAAAGCTCCCCCCTTCTATTCTTAACTACTGCTGTTCAGCTAGCACAGTTATCTTTTCTTCAAAGCATTTGTTATAACAGACATAATAAATACTTAAGATAAATAGAAAATGTATAGTGGACTCAACAGTCAGTTTCAGAGAAAGAATTATAATTTCTCTGAAGTCCTCCTCTCCACTCACATTATCTCCCTCCCTTCTGAGATAACCACTATCCAGAATTTAATATTTCTCATTCCTTTCCTTCCCTTTATTTTATTACATTTCTTGGGAATCCTAAAAAAATATTTAGTATTGCATGATTTATAATAGTATGTAAATGGAGTTTGCTGTGTATATTTTCTGAAATCTATTTTGCTCTCCTAACCTTAACATTCCTGGGAGATAAATTTTATTGGTATTCATTTCATTGTAATGCATTCATTTTTAATGCACTCCAATATGTGAATTTTTTTTATAGTTTTTTTCTTTTAATACTAGGGATTGAACACAGGGCCACTCTACCACTAAGACAGGTCTCCCTAAGTTGCTTAGGGCCTCAATAAGTTGCCCAGTTTGGCCTTGTACTTTTGCTTCTCCTGCCTCAGCCTCCTGAGTCACTGGGATTACAAGTGTGCACCACCACACCCAACTGTAAACATAATTGTCTTCTTCATTCTTCTTTTGATGAGCATTATGGTTGTTTCCAGTTCTTTTGACTCCTTTATAAACAGGGTTTTTATAAACATTCCTGTAAGCATGTATATAGGAATAGAGCTGACTGCTTTGAAGGTAAATATAGCTTCAAATTTATTAGATAATGTCAAATTGATTTCCAAAGTGATGGTATATCATTTGACTTTTTATAGATACCATACTTCCTCAACTGGCTTGTAAGCTATTCAAGGCAAGGAAAGATCTTTTTTTTTTTTTTGAGGGAAGGAGCATCTAGAAACATTCATCTTTTAATAACCATATTAATTGGTCCATTCACTAATTGGTATAAAAAGAAAATATTTTCTCTTACAGAATAAAGAGATAAGATAGAATAGAAAAAAACAAGTGTAAAAATGTTTTTGAAGTTTTTTTTTAAAAAAGAAAAATCTGGGTGTGGTGACTCACACCAGTAATCCCAGCAACTTTGGAGGCTAAGGCAAGAAGATCACAAGTTTGAGGCCAGCCTCAGCAACTCTGTGAGACCCTCAGCAAGTTAGTGAGAAATAAAATAAAATAAAATAAAGGGCTGGGGATGTAGCTCAGTGCTAAAGTGCCCCTGGGTTCAATTCCCAGTACCAAAAAAAGAAAAAGAAAACCTGCATTCAAAAGCAGTAAAAAAAAAATTAAGGAAAGAAAAATTAAAATAAACAGTAAATATCCATCAATATCCCCTAGTAGATTTTAGATAATTAAAAGAAAACACACACCAGAAGCTGAATATTTTTTTAGAGAGCCCTAATATGTGTTTCTTTTTCTCTCTGAGACATCCTTCCACTTGGCCAAGGTCTTCAGTATTTTAGACGTGTCAGGTCGTTTCTGAGGTTCCTTTGAGAGTAATTTCTGTAGAAGACTTTTCTGTAATAATAGTAAGAGTTAATACTAAGAAAAGAAACATTGGAATAAATAGAATTCTGATTAGTGTCAAGCACTTACTTCTTTGATGTCAAATACATCAGGGAAGATGCCATTTCTTAGATCTTCAAAAATCTGGTGGTAAAACATAAATACATATATACATATATATGTATATATATTTACTTATTAGGAAATCATTTTCTTGGGAGGAAAAATAAACAGGATGCACTAAAAGCAGAGATTACCCTAAATCCAGGATAGTTCCAGATCTTTGGAAAAGTCTCTTTAGCCAGGAAGCAAATAGAACTCTCTTCCCCATACCCTACCCCAATCTAGTAACCATCCTTAGCATTCTATGTTTGGAAGCATTAGGTGCATGACATTCACGCCTCCCTTCATCCTTGCTGGAACTCTATGTGACAGGTACTTTCAATGTCCCTTTTTACAGAGGAGAAGGCTGTGGCTGCAAGGCAAGTCCCATTCCTGAGCTTGAGACTAGGATATGCAGTTGTCTACTGCTCACTTCAGTGATTCCCCGCTGTCCACACAAGAAAGTCCATATTCTTTCATTGATTTAGTCACCACTTGTCTTTCCAGCCCCATCAACCACAACTCCTTGTTGCTTACATACTCCAGTAAAACTGCACTGCCTGCTGTTCTCAAATACACTGCACATTTCTATCTCCATGCTGGGACTGCCTACTTTCTATTTTAGACTATTAGAAACAACCAACCCTTCTGGGTCCAGCTTACATACCTCCAATGAAATCTTAACTGCTACCGATAGAGAAAGATCTCCCTCCTAGTTGTTTCCACAGACTTCTCCTAAAACACCTACATTGTTCTCTTGCATTCTCTTTCTTCTTAGGAAATTAACTTCCAGAGAATAGGCTTGCTCATTTTTATAACCCTCATGACACTTAGCACAGTGTCTGCCTTCAAGAAGGCACTGATGAAATTTTGCTGACTGGCTCCAGTTTGAGTCTCATGAGATGTAAACACCTTCCAAAGGTCAATGGTTTGGGTCTATAACAAAAATGGTTGTCAAAACTTGCAAGAGAAAATACATATTTTACTTACAATCATACACTAATACTTCAAGACCACCCTCACATGAGGACAATACCTATTTGCAGCAGTGCAGCAAAGATGACAGCCAATCATTTGTGTTGTTTAATATTTTCTTTGAGATTATTTACCTTGAGTGTTTCTGAAACTGTGGGACATATGTAAAGAAGTTCAGCAAGAATTAGCCCCAAAGCAAAGATGTCTACTTCCTTTCCGTATTCTTCTGAAGAAATCTGAAGAGACCAAAAATATATTTGCCTTCATTACTCACCTGATATAAATATATCTTCTGATGCCAAAAAACTATTGACCACATTTTTTATATCACACAACAAAGTCTGTTTATTAACATAGCAAGATTTGTGAGTGTGACTGCCAAGGGTTTAACTTTTTACCATTGAATAGCAGAACAACCTGTATTAATTAACTACTCCCATAGGAATAATCTCAACTGTAAAATGGGGCCAATAAATAATACTGACCTCAGTTTCGAGTGTGGAGTTAAATCAGATATAGCAGGTAAAGCAATGAAAATAGTTCATAGTAAGTGATTTGCATGCAAATATTCATAGCATATTTATTTATTATTTTTTTAATTTCTAAAAAATTTTTTAGTTGTTGATGACCTTTATTTTATTTATTTTTAAATATTTTTTAGTTATACATGGACACAATATCTTTATTTTGTTTATTTATTTTTATGTGGTGCTGAGGGTCGAACCCAGGGTCTCACACGAGAGAGGCAAGCACTCTAAGGCTGGGCCAGATTCCCAGCCCCAGCCTTTATTTATTTATATGTGGTGCTGAGAATCGAACCCAGGGCCTCACACATGCCAGGCAAGTGCTCTCTCACTGAGCCACAGCCCAGGCCCACATAGCAGATTTATTTATAATATTCTATAATTAGAAATGATATAAATATCCATCAAAGGAGAAACATGTTACACATACAACAGAATACTACTCAGCAATAAAAAGGAATTAGCTACTGGTACAAATAACAACTAAAGTTTCTCCAATACCTATTACCTTGAATAAAGAAATTAAGTACAAAAAAATATGTATTATGTGATTCCACTCATATGAAGTTCAAAAACAGGAAAACCTAAAATATAATCACAGAAACGAAAGCACTGGTTGCCTATGGGCAATAAGGAGGAAGGACTGACTGGACAGGGGCTTGAGGGAATTTTCTTGAGTAGGAAGAAAGTCCTACATCTTCATGGGCTTATAGGTTACACAGGAGTATGCATTTGTCAAAACTAATACAGGTAAAATTAAGATATGTGCATTTTATGGTAGATAAATTATTCTCAATGAAATGTACTTAAATTTAAAAATTACCTAAGAAAAATAAAAGCACTATGACGAATGCCTTTTTAATATTCTGAGGGTGACAATGTAGGATGCAGGAGATAGTTAATAAAGCCATTAGCTTCCTATTGTGTTCTACTTTCACAGTGAGTGCTCTCTCCATTCTACATTGTCAAGCTACCAGCTAGTTCTTTTTAAAGAGAGAGTGAGAGAGGAGAGAGAGAGGGAGAGAGAGAATTTTTTAATATTTATTTTTTAGTTTTCGGCAGACACAACATCTTTGTTTGTATGTGGTGCTGAGGATCGAACCCGGGCCGCACACATGCCAGGCGAGTGTTCTATCGCTTGAGTCACATCCCCAGCCCCAGACTTATTCTTTTTTAGTATTATTATTTTTAGTTGTTGATGAATGTTTATTTTATTTATATATATTTATCGTGCTGAGAAATCAAACCCAGTTCCTCCTACATGTGAGGCAAGTGCTCTACCACTGAGCCACAACCACAGCCCTCAGTAGACTTATTCTTCAATGACAGAATAGTGTGAGTATTTTGAAAGATAAATCAGTAAAATCATCTTAAAAGAGGACTTAAAAACCAAAATGGACAATAAGATGAAGAATCTAAAAGACAAAAATAGATAAGAAGCAATCAACCAAAATAAAAAAAGTATGAGTATAAGAAGTCTATATGTGAAATACAATATTCAGGGAGGGATGTGCCTGCAGCTCAGTTGGCAAAGTGCTTGCCTGGCATGTGTGACGTACTGGATTTGATCCTCAGCACCACATAAAAATAAATAAATGTATACATCTACAACTAAAAAAACTTTTTTAAAAGATACAATATTCAAATACCAATAGCTGTACAACCATATTAATAAGCAGCATTAATCACAATAGCTTCCAAAAGATGGAAGCAACCCAGGTGCACACTGAAGGGTACATGGATAAACAAAGTGCGGCGGCCATATAATGGAATAATCTTCAGCCTTAAAAAGAAAGGAAATTCTGGCACATGCTACAATTTGGGTAAGCCTTGAGGACATTAGACATAGTGAAATAAATCATAAAAGGACAAATACTACATGGCTCCATTTATATGTAATATGTAGACAAATCAAATTTGTAGACACAGAAAGCAGAATGGTCGTTGTCAAGGTTTGGAGGGAGGGGAAAATAAAGTTAACTAAGGGGTACAGAATTTCTGTAAAAATGTAGAGTTTTATAGATTTATGGTGGTGATGGTTACATAACAACATGAATGTACTTGAGGCCACCATTAAAAATGATTCTTGGGGCTGGGGATATAGCTCAGTTGGTAGAGTGCTTGCCTCTCATTGCACAAGGGCCTGGGTTCAATTCTTAGCACCACACCAAAAAAAAAAAAAAAAAAAAAAGGCTCTTGAGATGGTCATTTTCTGTTATGTGTATTTTACCACAATAAAAAAGAAAGAAATATATTTTTAAAGATCAATGCCCTAACAACCAAATTTATATAAGTAATCCCATTTTAATAGCAGAACACAATATGTTTCAGGGAAAGGCTTTAAGAAGTATGAATAACCTTCATTTACAAGTGTTTTCACTTCATTGAATATTATAAAACTGACCTTAAGGTAGATTGTACTAGTGCTCTCAACTGTGTACTGGCTTCCCAGGGAGAGGATTCCACATCCCACCCCCATTGCCCCAAACTGAGCCAAGCAATCTGTTCTGGGCAACAAAGTGTGGCATGTATGTGCCACTGATGAACAGAACTTGTAAAAGCCACCACAAGGTTCCACTATTGCTTCCTGTTACAAAGGCAGTGACACCCAGATTGATTCTACTTTCAGCCTAAAGGAAACAGGGGAGCAAAACTGCCAGCGTTGCTGGCCTAGCACATGAGAGAGAAATAAACTCTAGGTGCTTTGTGTGTCATCAGAAATCCAGGGTTTATTTGTTACTGTAGATAGCCTGGCAAAAGCCAATTGATGGAGGACTTGAACAAACGCCATGACGTACCAATCTCCTCGAGACAAAAAGGTCAGTTCTCAACCAAATCTTTCAATGTAATGCAACAGCTATCAAAACCCCTGAAACCAGTCATAGAACACGACACTCTGCTGCTGGAGCTCACTCGGAATTATAAATCTGAACCGCTAAGGATGGTTTAAAACTGAAAAATTACGAGCAGAGAGGTCCTATTGTTCAAATACAAAAATCTATTTTATAATGCCTCAATAATTAAAACAGAATAATGTTAAAGAGAAAAAAAAATGGAACAGAGTCCAGAAATAGATTCACAAGTGTGTAGGAATTTTACATATGATGAAACAGCACTTTTTAAATTGTAATAAAGTCTAACATAACATAAAATTTACCTATTTTAACCATTTTTATGTGAACAATGAGTGGCATTCAGCACCTTTACAATATTGCATAACCATCACCACCATTTATTATGGAACTTTTCATCCTCCCAAACAGAAATGATAACTACTAAGTAATTAACTTCCTATTCCTCCCTCCTTCCATGACCATGAATTTTCCTTATAGTATTTTAAATCATAAACTATTTCTCCATCTACATGATGATGGAGAAATTGCATGTTCATGTGGGTTAAATCAAGTTAGATTCCTTCCACATCCACAAAAATTAATTCAAGTTAAAGCAAATTATTAGCAAAAAGTCAAAATATTTTAAACTCTCGTGATGTAAATGGCCTATAAAATAAAAATGACAAATCCAGGAATGATAAAGAAAATACTGATAAATATGATAACTTAAAAACTCTGTACCACAAAAGGCATGATAAACAAAGTAACAAGGAGAAAAGACTTTAATATAGGTTACAGATACAAGATCAATATCCAAAATATGTAGATTCCTTCCACATACATTAGAAAAAGACAACCTAACTATGAAAAATGGGGAAAAGCATGAATAGAGAATTTACAGGAAAAAAACATAAGTAAATTTGTAAAAAGATAGCATAGCTTACTAAAAAATCTAGAAAAATGCAAATAAAAATAGCAAGGCATCCTCATTCATCACACTGGTCATACTGAAGACTGATAGTACACCAGTTTGATCAAGAGTATAAGAAAACGGCATTCTCATCTTTATTGGAAGATTATTGTTAGAACCCCACTTTTATTCTCTGTTTGTTTTCTTTCTTTCTTTTTTTTTTTTTGGTATCAGAGATTGAACCCAGAAGCCTTTACCACTGAGCTACAACCCAGTCCTTTTTATTTTTTTATTTGAGACAGGGTCTTACTAAGTTGCTGAGGCTGTCTTCAAACTTGCAATTTTCCTGCCTCAGACTGCAGAGTTGTTGGGAGGGTACACCACCACACCTGACTAGACTCTCTTATTTAACAACAACTGGGCAGAATTTATCAGTGTAAAATGCACTTATCATTCTATTCAGTCATTTGACTTTGAGGAATCTACCAGATTATCATAGAAATACAGGTGGCCCCCTATCAATGGCTTCTCTAACTGACAATTCAACCAACTGCAGATTAATCTTGAAAAAACTCTGCATCTGTATTGAACATGTAAAGACTCTTTTTCCTATTGTTTAAGCATTATTCCTTGAGCAATGTACAATATAATAGCTTTGCATGTGGCATTTTCATTGGGTATCGTCAGTAATGTAGAGATGATTTAAAACATATGGGAGGATGTATATGTAGTATTTGCTGTATGCAAATACTGTACCATTTCATAGAAGGGCTTAACATCCATGGATTTGGAATCTGTGGGGTGGGAGGAGGTGTCCCAGAACCCAAACCCACAGTTGAGGGGAGTATTTCTCTACTTCCTGATTGTCACATGTCCTGAACTGCTTTACTCCATCACACCCTTCTGCCCTGATGTTCTATCTCATCTCCAACACAGGGAGCAATAGAGTCAGCCATCTATGCCTGAGATCTCTGAAACCATAAGTGAATAAATAAACTTTTCCTCCTCTAAAATTGTTCTTGTCAGGTCTTTTTATCACAGCAGGGAAAAAAACTGACTGATACAAAGGGAATTTTCGATTCTTATTCTATATACTTCTCTAAAGCTTCAATTTTTTTATGAGAAGGGTCTAATATTTTTATAATTTTAAAAAATTAAAGAAGCAACATATATAAGAGCAGAGAGGAAAGGGAACTTACCTGTTCTGGGCTCATATATCGCCGAGTTCCCTTTTCTCTTGTTCGCAGTTCATCATTCTTCAGGGTTGTTACAAGTCCAAAGTCTCCAATCTTTATTTGTTTTTCACCTACTAAAAATATATTACTTGGCTATGGGAAAAAAAACAAACAATTTTTAGTTTATATGTACCAATTTGACAGAGTAATACCACATGTCCAAATTATCTTAGCAAAGGCTACTTCTGTATTTACTTTTATGGCATTTACCCTTATCCAGGTAGTCAAAATCAGAGAATTTAATATCACAGTCTCTACAAGGCCAGTTGAAAGAAAGACTTTTTAGCCAACAGCAGAGGTAGCTTGGGGTATAGGCGCTTCCAAGTATCTCAACAGCTGTCAGTGAAAAGTAGACTCATTCTGAAGGGATCCAGGGATGGATCCTGGTCTACAGGGTAGACATGACCTGAAGGTTTGCTTTAATATATTCTAATACACTGATATACTGATTATGTGGCTCAAAGAGTGAAAGAGTTCCGCATCCCAGGATGGAGTTAGACATCTACCAGAGGAAATATCACAAATATGAGTTCAGGATCAGATGAGGATTGAAGCAAACACCCTTAAGACCCCCATCCAATTTTGAGATTCTCTAAATGGATCCATTCTTACTAATGCTCCAGAATGTCCTGTGCAGAATTTCTCCAAGGAGCTTCCTTTATGTCAACTTTTCCAGGGCTCTATCAACTTCTTACAAACACATGCCCTTCATGTTGAAAGAATTCTAAGCTACCTGGGAGCTGACAACTAGCACAAATTATTTTTCCTAAGTAATCCTTTAAGCCAATTAAAAAAAAAAAAAAAAAAAAAAAACAAAGAAGTACAGAATGAAGAGTGACCAGCCCCATTACACAGTTTTGTAGAAGGTATTGACCAATATCCCACAGACCATGAAAACAGGAAGGTTGTTGATGTGGAAATTAATATTTTGCTATTCCTGCAAAGGCTAGACTTTAAACACAACGTTGGGCTCTACACACACATACCTTGTGGAGTAACATTTATGAGAGAGCCTAGTAAAAGAACTGAGAAGGAAAAGACTAGGGAAGGATACAAGGAGCTTCTGAAAAGCCAGCCTGACAGGCCCTGGGCAGAAATTAGCAATCAGATTAGAATTCAATTAACAGATAAACAATTGCTTAACTGCTTACTTCACTGTATGACTGATCCCAAACTAATACAGTCAATTTCTTCTTTTGAACATGGTCCATCTAATGTTCTCACTTCTGAAATCACTCTTAGATAGCGTTAACGTTAACTATTAGAACCAGGTGGGCTCACACGTCAAAGTATCAGACATCCAGCCCTAGGGAAGACCCAAGCAGTATTCTATGAGGGACACTGAATCCTAGCTAGGTCAAGCCAACAACTCTACACATGGGGCACTTATTTTCCTCAGAAACCGCTTTGCTCCTTTCCTTTTCCTGGCTGCATTAGACAGGTAGAGTAAGCAGACAGCCAAGATCCACATGGATGAGGGACTTCCAGCACAGTGATCAGGGAAGGCTGAGTAAAGGAGTTGGGACTAAAGGAAACAGGCAGAAGAGTGTCTGTGAGACAAGAACATGAGCAAAGGCTCAGAGGTAGGATTTAGCCTACATCATTTGTGAGGAAGGGGAAAAGAGTATGGAGGAGAAACTAGAAGACTGCCTCTTTGTCTTTCATTTTGATGAGAAAGAAACATGGGAACATTGCTTGTTCAGATCATAAAAACCAAAGGAAAACAAAAATACTAAGGAATGATACATGCTCCAAGTTTTGGATTACTGCAGTTTACCAATCCTGGGCCAAACTTCAAAGCCTAACCAAAAAAAAAAAAATAGTAGACTCTGGACCCCGCAACCCTTACCCACTCTCCTCGGGGTAAGGACTAAGGGAATAGGGAACCATGACATTTGAACAAGCCTGAGTAGTAGCAGCCACAATTATTTGTACAGAAATGTTCCGTTTAGGAAAGTTAGTCTTTCAACTGGGGTCTGACTATCAGCCAAATAGGACTGGATGTGAATGAGCAGTCTTATTTGGCTGATAGTCAGACTGTCCCCAGTTCACCAGCCCTGGAGATCTTCTGAGTATCTGCACAGAATGGTAACTGAGGCATGCTCTAGATCCCTTCTAACTTCAAAGGATCAGAGATAGTATTTTGCCATGGCTATTGATCAATCATAATTCTAAAACCAGAGAAGATAAAATTTTCATTACTAAGTTACAGTCACCGACTTATGAAGTACATTTCCCACTTACTTTGAGGTCTCTATGAATTAAATCTTTTGAATGTATATAATGCACTCCTTCTGCTATCTGTTCAAATAATTCCAAAGCCAAAGCTTTGTCTGGTACTTTTTGTCTTCTATTTTCAATCCATTCATTCAATGTCCCTTTATCACACAATTCCATTTGGATAAAAAGGCACTTGGTCTTTATTCTGGATATAAAATTCACAGAATGTTAAAAGCAATAAAAATAAATTTCTAAAAATATTTTAAATTATAGCTTCTATGTACATCCAAACATACCTCAAAACAGAAATCTAAATATAATAAATTTAAATCAAAATATCATAAGCCATTTTCTATTTAAATCATAGGTTTCCAAGTATCTAGATTTTTGTTTTGCTCATTTACAAAATATAAGCCAGCTCATTATTTAAAGCTAAAGACCCTTGATCATTTTTGCTAATAGACAGGAACAAGACCATTAATGGTAGAAAACCAGATTCCATTATTATATAATTTTGAAACATGTTAATTCACATCAATCAATTGAGCATCTACTTTGTGAAAGGCACAAAACAGGCACCTAGAAATGAGAAAATGAATAGGCACTATCCTTATCCTTATAGGAACTGTAGCCTAATAGGAGAGAGGCTGAGGAAAAACAAACCTAACACAACTATATAGGACAGAAACTCTAGGATAAGTGGCAATAAATTGCTTACTATGAGATAAAAGTTAGAGGACTGGTTTATTTTATTTATTTTATTTTTATTCTTTGGTACTGGCCATTGAACCCAGAGATGCTTAACCATTGAGCCACAACTCCAGCCCTTTTTATTTTTTATTTTGAAACAGGGTCTCACTAAGTTTCTTAGGACCTTGCTGAGTGCTAAGGTGGGGGCAGAGCTATATATTAAACAGTGGAGTTAAGAAAGCTAAATCTAAAATTTTGAAAACAGCTGAGGACATAAAAGAAGGTATTAATTAATTAACTGTAGTAGGGGGGATTGAAATCACAGGCTCTTTAGCACTGAGTTACAACCTCAGCCTTTTTTAATTTTTTTTATTTTGAAGCAGGGTCTTGCTAAGTTGCTAAGGCTGGCTTTAAATTTGCAGTCTTCCTGCCTCAGTCTCCTGAGTTACTGGGGTTACAGGAATGCCTTACCACACCCAGCTAAAACATTTTAAAAATGTTTTCTTATTATTAGAGCTTTATAGTTATACATACTAGTAGGGCTCATGGAAATTGATTTCAGTTCATGATCCTTCCTCTTCCTTCCCCCTTTTCCTTCTCTTCCTCCCTCCCCTCTCCCGTTCTTCTTCTACTCTACCAGACTTAACAGAAGGCTTTTAAAAGCAACTTGGAGCAAGGCTAGGAGGAGCACAACAGCATCTGTCAGAACTGGTTGTGATTATTAATTGTGATGATTAATGGTCTCAGTTTCCTTCCACCTTGTTACATCTATGAGAACTTCTTTTTACCTACCTTGCGCTGCTTTCAGGATCCTCATAAAAATCATCTCCTTCCCAACAACTGCAGTAATGAACAATGTTGGGATGTTTAAATGTGGCCAGTGCTTGTACTTCACGCTCTACCTTCCTGTTAAAAGGAACAGGAACACAAATGTGTCACTATACATCCCTGATAAATACAAAACATTCAAATAGCAGAAAACAACTGTCCACACAGTTAATAAACAGTCATTGTGGTTCCTACATCAAGTTTTAGAATGGGATCCAGGAGGAAAAATTGAATATATAGGGGGAAAAAAAAACAGTATTTCTCACTCTCAACGTAAAAGAAAATGCAGTGAGTTAAGTGCTTCAATTTAAAAGTCATTTGCAGTTAGTTTTTGAAATGCTAGTGACACAACATGATAATTAAATCATATACCATGTTTTGTTTGGACAAAATCTTGGGATTTCACAAGCAAACTCCATTTGGACAATAAGGGCAGGTAACCCAAGCAACACGCAAAACCTCATTCAGAATTTTCTTTTTCATTTTTTTAAAATATTTTTTTAGTTAGAGTTGGACACAATGTCTTTATTTTATTTATTTATTTTTATGCAGTGCTGAGGATTGAACCCAGTGTCTCGCACATGCTAGGTGAGCCCTCTTCTGCTGAGCCACAACCCCAGCCCCTTATTCAGAATTTTCAAAGTGTGACAAAAACATACCAAAATGGTAATTTATGCAGAGAAGCAGAAACTTCACTACATACTACAGGAGCTTTATATGGGTTTTAGCAAAAGCTCTGACATATCCATGCTAAATAGAGTGAAAAGAATTGAGTTTCCAAAGATACATAAGCATTTTACAATTTTATTTTTAAGAAGTTCTATGTGACATAAAATTTGTAAAACTAAAGAAAAAATTACTGATGCTTCAATAATCTCCCCCAAATCAGTTATTATTTAAGATTATTTCTGATAGTGTCTCTTCATATACATGCTTTATATTTGTAATTATACTATATAATTATATATTTTTTTCATGTGACATGCTATCTTTATAGTTTTCCTTGTAACAAAATTTGTATAGGGCTGGGGTTGTGGCTCAGTGGTAGAGTGCTTGCCTAGCACGTGCGAGGCCCTGGGTTCGATCCTCAGCACCACATAAAAATAAGTAAATAAAGGTATTGAGTCCAACTACAATTTAAAAATAAATAAATACTTTTTTTAAAAAACTTGTATAAGCATCAACTTATAAAGTTGCTTTTTTTCCCTCAGTACTAAGGATTAAACTCAGGGGTGCTTTGCCACTAACTTATATCCTCAGCCCTTTTTACTTTTTATTTTGAAACAGGATCTCACAGAGTTGCCCAGGCCGGTCTAAAACTTGTGATCCTCCTGTCTCAGTTTCCTAGTAACTGGAATTACAGGTATGTACAATGGCACCTGGCTTCAAATATAAAGTTTTTGATATAAAATTTTAGAAACACACAAAAAATAGAGCAAATAGTATAACAAACACCTGCCAAGTCATCACCCAAGTGAAACAGTTGTCAACTCCTGGCTGATCTCATTTTGTTTGTTCTCTCACCCACTTCCTCCTCCTCCCCTGGATTATTGTGAAGCTATTTCCAGCATCATATCATTTCATGAGTAAATACTGCAGTCTATGTTCCTCATTTTCAATGGCTGCAAAACAGCTATTGCTTAGGGGAAAAAACAAAACCTATTTAATCATTTCTTTTTTTAAAATATTTTTTATAGTTGTGGATGGACAGAATGCCTTTATTTTATTTGTTTATTTTTATGTGGTGCTGAGGATCCAACCCAGTGCCTCACGCATGCTAGGCAAGCGCTCTGCCACTGAGCTACAGCCCCAGCCCCTAACCATTTCTTTATTGCTGCATATTTTTCTTTGTTTTAATTTTCCACTGTTAATAGACTGTGACTGATATCTCCTTGCATATAGCCACAATTTGGATAATACTGTCAGAAGAAGTTGCAAAAAGGAAATTGCTGGGTCAAAGCACGTAAACATTTTCATGGCTCTAGATTAATATTTCCAAGTATGTTTTGAACATGTTGAAAATTCATAAAGCACTGGAAATACCTAAGATTTTCAATCCTTATCAACATTATCACCATTTTTAAAAATAGTTATCTAATAGAAGAAAAATACTACTTCCTGTATAAGACAGGAAGGGAAAAACCTTGTTTTGATGCTGAGTAGGTCTGAGAGAGAGGAAGTAGGTTTGTTTGGGGTGAAAAGCATCTAGGATTCCATGTCTGTTTCTCCTATGCTCATGTCATTTTCCTTAGCCCAGAACTTTTTTCCACCTCCTTTCCCTGTCCTTGAGAGATCAGTGGGGCCAAATTACTCAAAGTCACAACAGCCAGAGAACAACTACCAAGACTGGTGAACTGGACAACATGGGATTTAAGACCTTTTTTGGATTGTGAGCATAGCTCAGTTGATGGATGCTTGCCTACCATGTGCAAAGCCCTGAGTTCAACCACCAGCACCACAAAAAAATAAAATAACAACAACAAAAGCCCTTTCCCATGTGTTTTCCTTCCTGAACTATTTAGTGAGGGAGGGGGCAGATTATACATATAAACAAACACAGGAAGCAATGGTTCATTCCAGAAGATGAGTTCTAAATCTCTAACTCATTACACAGTAGATATTGTCCAATGATTATCCCAATTCCTTCCCTTCCCATACACATACCTGGAATTAAGAGGTAGTCTATTTATGCTCTCTGGAGGCTGAGCTGGTGTTGGTGACTTGTTTAACCAATATATTGTGGTAGAAATGATACTCTGGAACTTTTAAGACTAATTCAAAAGAAGGCTTACCACCTCCTCCTGATCACTTGGACAACTCCTTCTGCAACAATTCTTCTTGAAAGCCCGCCTCTCAGTTGTGAGAAACCCAGGTCACTCAAGGAAGCTATGTGAAGGTGCCATGACTGACAGTCCCAGCTGAATATCCAGCCCACAGTTAGCCTCACCTGCTGTCCATCTCAGCCGTCCAGCCTGATCAAGCTTTCAAATAACTCCCAACTGAGAATGTTGGGAGAGTCCGACCGACATTGCCCCGCTGAGAACTATCAACACACAGTACCATGACAGGAAACAGTAATTTTTTTTTTTTTTTTACTGTTTTGCATTTTGGAGCAGTATACTATGCAATAATAGATAACCAGAATAAGTATCAAGAAGCTTTAACCTCAGATAAATTAGTTCACATCTTTGGACTTTACATTCCTCATCTATAAAGTAAGGAAATGAGACTAGAAAACCTCAAAGATCACCTTAAACCAAATGATTCTATAGCATCAGTTTTCAAGACTGCCTGAAAAGAATGATCAGTGGATAACCCCCCCTTTTAACTAAAATAACCACAGTAAAATGAGATGATTTCAGATTAAGCCAAGCTCTAGGTAGAATAAAATGTTTAAGGAGGACCAGAAAGAAGTAAATGATATGCTAACAAAAAAAGAGAAACATGAAAAAAAAAAAAAAAAACAGTGCAGGTTCAACAAGCACCTCATTTAAAAAAATAAAACATTTACTACTTACTTGTTATTATACATGACACGTTTAACAACGTAAGTATTTCCATCTATTTTGTGTTTTGCTTTGAAAACTTGGCCAAATCCACCTTTGCCAATTGGTTCTATATCTTTAAAATCCTTGGCAAACCTTAAAGATAAATACGATTGTTATTCTGAGGTTTGGTTTTTGCTCCCTTCCCCCACCTCCCTTCACAGTGAAAAGGGCTGAATCATCAACATGATTCTCCCCTTCTGGTTATTAAAAGTCTAGTTTTGCAGACTCTTTGCTCACAAAGGGTGGTCCCTTCTGCTCCTCCTCCTTCCATAGAGAATCCAACCCCTCGCCCCTAGGGGTCACGGTCGACTTCTAACTGTACATAAGCCAAAGAAATCCTTCCACAAGTATAAAACTTTAAGGAAGCATTCTGTTGTGCTCCACAGCTTCTACTCTGTTAGAAAAATGAGCAGATACTCTGAACCTGCCTCGATTTATAATAACCTATTTTTCTCCTCCCCCTCAAACCCCACGTTCCATCCAGCCAATTCTTTCTAATCATAATCCACCTCCAGTGTCTTCATCCCAGGCCACGCGCCCATCAAGTTTCCTGCAGTAGCTCACCTACTGGACATGCACTTCTTCTTCTGCCCCAGTCCAGTCCATGATCAAAGAACAACCAGAATGCTGAAAACTCAATGTGATCATGTTTCCCTCCTGCTAAACCTCCACTAGTCTATCTTTGCATTTGGCAAAAAACAGAAAGCCCTTAAAGGGCCCAGGGAGTGTCATAGGATCTTCCTCCCACTTCCTTCTCGGGTGTTACCCCGTGGTACTCAGCCCTCCTCGCTGCTCTTCCAGCACACAGCCTGTCTGCTTTTCAAATGCACATCACCTTTTCCACCTTCACCTTCTCACTCACTCTTCCTTCTACACCATCTCTTTGTGCTAACACATCCTCAGGTCTCCCCACAAATGTGACCTCAGGGAAGTCTTGTCTCACCCTTAATACTAAATTCAAATTTGCACTTCTCACCATGCTATTTCTTTGGGAGCTTCGACCACATTTAGTAATTACTGCTGTTTTTATGTAAATACATATTTAATGTTGGTCATCCCCTCCAAACTGCATGAGAGGAGAAAATGGTTATTTTTGGTCCTATAATAAACCCAATACCCAGTATAGTGCCAGATATATATCAGGGGCTTAATAACTATGTATAGGTTCTTCATTGCTTTTTAAAACTTGTATTCAATGCCCTACTTTTGCGAACAGACCTCTATCATTTCAGATGCTTATTATTTTTTTTTAACCAGAGGCACTTAACTGAGCCACATTCCCAGCCTATTTTTTATATTTTATTATTTTATTTAGAGACAGGGTCTCGTTGAGTTGCTTAGGGCCTTGCTAAGTTGCTGAGCCTGGCTTTGAACTTGTGATTCTCCTGCCTCAGTCTCCCAAGCTGCTAGAATTACAGACATGGGCCACCATGCCTGGCATTCGATGCTTAATTTAAACCCAAACATATCATCTACCATAGAGGAACAACTTTTTTCAAGTGAAATCTGATATGAAACTAGAAAACAGATAACAGAGCCAAATGGATCTATTCTGATTCCTACAGGCATACTTGTTGCTTAATCACACACAGGCTTACAGGAGTATTTGCTTTCAATATCAATAACATCCATGGATATCAGAAAAACTCATGAGCATCACAGAGATCTATATTTACCACATTTCATTTAGATTTATCTAAACCTTACTTCTCCAAGAGACAATGATCCTTTGTGGGTCTGACTGGGCTACAACTATAAAACTGTTTGGGTGGGAGTAACTGGCCCTTAAGAAACTTTTGTTGAATGAACAAATATATCTTTAAACAAATTCTATTGAAAATTTCCCTCTTACCTGTGGTCCACAGTATACTGGTTTTCTTCTACGTTATAAGAGTCAAATTTAGCTGCCAAACTTCTAAAAATTAAGACAAGAATATAAAATTCAAATACAACTTGTTTATAGCAGGTTTTATGTCTTGCACTAGGGTTTGCATAATTTGCATCAACTATTAGAAAAGCAGGGTAGCAAGTGTTAACCTTTTGCTTTATAAACCGATAGACTATGATTCTCTGCCCTCCAATAATTGTTCATCCCTTTCCTGACTCTCTTTTTCGCTTTTATTGTTGGCATGCCACTTGCCTCTCCTTTTCTTTCTCCAGACTCAAAACTTCAGGAAGTATATCTCCTGGCACCTTCTCTGGCCATCATTCCTCACTGGTGATAAGCCTTCTGTGATTGGAAATCCAGTCACCCGAAATTAAGCATATCCCAATTGCTTTCTTCCCCCTGGGCCCTCCAGTCTTCCTTAGCATTAGCAGTGGCATGATTCTCGTCTGCAGCCTGTTCAAAGTGGAGCAATGTTCATATGCTTTCTCCTTTCCTTCTTCTGCACCCTCTCACCTGGCTACTACATGCTATCTCCTCAAGTCAGGCCGACCCTTCCTTGACAAATTCTCCTGCCTCAATAACCATGGCCACAGGCCCAATGCAGTCTCATTTCTCTCCCTCCATTCACGTCAGGAATCATCTTTTTTCAACATGTCTATCTACTGTTGAGAATATTGGTGGGTCATTATGGCTCCATCTGTCCTCTCTCGTTTCTGACTATATTTGCCTCTTTGCTATTCTCTTCAGTTAAAGAAAACAATTCACTATAACTTACATAATATTTGGTCTTTTTTACAACTCAAGCTATTACATTATCTTTACCCTACCTGTCTGTAAACTAATGCACTTCCCTTGAAAACACCTCTCTAAGCCCAATTCTTCATAGCCTCATCCAAAATAATGCCATTAACTAATTAATCTAGCAATCACCATAGGGCTTTATGTCTACAGTACAGCATGTGTATATGTATTTATGCTGTATTATACACATAATACATGTATATATGTATATATGTATACACACACACACATATATTCAAAGATTTCCCTACATATGAAAATTATTTATAGATTTCAAGCTTTTACATCTTCTGAAACTCCACTCAAATAAACATGTATAATACTCTATGAATACTGAAGATAATAAATAAGACTGACAAACTAAATCTGAAATAAAACCTTAGTCCAAAATATGTTTGATGTGTAATAATACTCACATTTTTTTCTTCTTTTTATTACTACTGAGACCATTCTACAAAAAAAAAAAGTGGGAAATAGTTTAAGATGTTTCAGTTAGGATAATTTAAGATGATTAAGTCTTAAATCGTCTTGGTTGGCTTCCCCCTATGTTTTCCCCCCATGCTAGGGATTGAACTCAGACGTGCTCTACCACTGAGCTACATCCCCGGGTCCTTTATTTTTAAAATTTTTTTCTTTCTTTTTTTTTTTAAAGAGAGAGAGAGAGAAGGAGAGAGAGAGAGAGAATTTTTTAATTTTTTTTTTTTTTTTAGTTATTGGCGGACACAACATCTTTGTTGGTATGTGGTGCTGAGGATCGAACCCGAGCCGCACGCACGCCAGGCGAGTGTGCTACCGCTTGAGCCACATCCCCAGTCCCTTTATTTTTTAATTTTAAGACAGAGTCTCACTAAGTTAACAAAGTTGACCTTGTACTTAGTGATTCTCCTTCTTCAGCCTAAGTAGCTAGGATTACAGGTGTGCACCAGCACACCTGGCTTTCGTCTTGTTTCTTTAAGTGTCTCCTTGACCACATTTCTAAGTCTATAAGATACACAGCTTCACACATGTTCACACTCTTGTTAAGCCGTAGACCAACTTAGTATTGCAAGACTTGAATTTTGTCACTCATACAGGGATATAAATAGCATCTAATTGTTTTTTAGATTTGCATTTTCCTAAAATCTAGTAAAATATAGCATCTTTTCACATTTGTTGCCCATTTGGGTGTCTCACCTCAAAAATATCTACTCAGATACATATTTCTCCTGAGTTGTTTGGTTTTTGTTATTGATTTGTATTTCCTTATAAAAAGAATGCTTTGTAAAAAATTATCTGATTTTTTTAAGTTTAGTTCTGAGTTTTTTAAACAGAAGTAGAACTATATCAATGAGCCTTCATATATTGTCCAATTAATGGGAGGAAAAAAAATAAGATCACAGGAATGTTTAAAAACACAAGTTGAGTAGGAAGAATGGGAGTGAAATGTGAAAGAATTTTCCATGTGAGGAGTGAAGGTTAATAAAAAAATAAAATATTTTTAAAAACAATATAAAATAATATTTTTAAAAAAATTTTTTAGTTGTAGATGGACACAATACCTTTATTTATCTTTATGTGGTGCTAAGGATTGAATCTAGTGCCTCACCCATGCTAGGTGAGTGCTCTACCACTGAGCCACAACTCAGCCCCAGTAATAAAATCATATTAAAATAATAATAAAAAAATAATCAAAAGGCTGCTAAATAGTATTATTTAGCATGAGAACTTGAGACAAAAACATAAAAATTTTGTGGCACAGTGAAGGTCATTTTTTAAAATATTTATTTTTTAGTTGTAGTCGAACACAATACCTTTCTTTTTATTTATTTTTGTGTGGTGCTGAGGATCGAACCCAGGGCCTCACATGTGCTAGGCGGCAAGCACTATGCCGCTGAGCCACAACCCCAGGCATGAAGGTCATTTTTTTTCTCTTTCCATATTTTTTTATTGGTGCATTATGCTTGTACAGAATGATGGGATTTTTTGTTACACATTCGTATATGCACACAATATAACTACATAATTTTGTCAGATTCACTCCCCAGCACTCTCTCCCACCATTCCCTCCACCCGCACCCTGTCCCTTTGATTTTCATGAGATCCGCCTCCCCACCTTTCTTTTCCTTTCTCCTTCCTATCTCCATGTATGAAAGAAAACATATGAATCCTTCACTTTCAATTGAGGAAACATACAAGAAAAAAATATTAGAGACTAATACTATACCATAGAAGAAGATCCAGAACTGTCTAAATTCTCACTGCTCTGAACATTTGTCCAGTCATCTGATGAGGAGTCCTTTTCAGAGAGTGGCTCAGACAAACTAAAAGAAAAGAGTAACTATTAGTTTGTGAATTCTTTTTTTTTTTTTTTGGTACCAGAATTGAACTCAGGGGCACTCAACCACTGAGCCACATCCCCAGCCCTATTTTGTATTTTATTTAGAGAGAGGGTCACCCTGGGTTGCTTAGCGCCTTGCCATTGCTAAAACTGGTTTTGAACTCATAATCCCCATCGGCTGGGATTACAGGTGTGGGCCACCCCCGGGGGCCGAATTCCTCTTTTTTAACCAGTCACCTCTTTCTGTAAATTTCCCTTAAACATTAAAAAGTTTTCATAAGGGCTGGGGTTATGTCTCAGTGGTAGAGCGCTCACCTAACATGCATGAGGAACTGGGTTCCATCCCCAGCACCACATAAAAATAAACAAATAAAATAAAGGTATTGTGTTCATCAACAACTAAAATAAATATTTTTAAAAATATTTTTCATAAAAAAATTGCTCTTTCAAGCAGCAATTTCTTTTTCTTTTTCTTTTTTTTTTTTTGGCAGTGCTGGGGATGGAACCCAAGTCCTTGAACGTGCTGTTCCGCACTTTACCAACTGAGCTACAGCCCCAGCTCTTACACAGCAATTTGAATATGCAAATATCACCGTTTATTTGCCCAAACTTACGATGAACTCATTGTGCTTCCTGTGCTTCCGCAGTTATTGACATTACCAGGACTGACAAAAGCGGCAGAGGGTACTAGGTCAGTTTTCTGAAAGAAGAAGCAGCGTTTAATTTAAATACAACTAACTTCCTTCTCCCCAGTAACTAGCCTCAGCTTACAACTATTACCCCAGTAACTCAGCCTCAGGGTACAAATATTACCTGCATTTCTCCCAGGTTCACCAAATCCACAGGCATAAATAATTATAAGAGAAATATAATTTTATGCATGTTTGATCTGGATTTAAAAAACAACCCTGAGTTGCTCCCAGAACTTTTATCCCTTAGGGCCTCGCGTGGCCCCTGTGGTGGGACACAGAACCGAGGAATCAATTACTATGCAACTGGCTATGTTGGCATTCTGTAAATACAATCCAACCTCAACCTCAGAAGAAATTTTAAAACATAAAAAATTAAATTAATGGCAGTACATACCATTGGGCTTTCTTCTGATAGTTTCTGAAGTGCACATTTAGCAGCCAATTGTTTTGCTTCTTGCTTAGTGGAACCTATACCGATACCATATACTTTCTTCCCAATTTTGCATTTATACTTAAATCTAGGAGAAATGATAGAGTATTCATCCAAATATCCAAAAAACAGTAAATTGAACTTACTATTTGAAAAAAAGAATCACATAGTAAGATAATACTAATTTATTTGCTAGATTTATATTTCCTATCTTATATAATTAAACCTTCGGTAAGATGGCTGGTCACTTTGTCTGAATAACCAGTACTGGCTGACATCTCAGCTCACATTTTCCAAGCAACTTCTAATTCTTTGTTGCTTCATTGAAAGATCTTACACAAAGGTACCAAGTGATGATTTCTAAAAGTTCCTCAAAGGCCCAAAGATTTAGGAAAGAAAAAGCAGTAAACAAAAGGGGATTTCTACAAGGGGAAGATCTGAGGTCCCCGTGCTATAGCAGCCTGTGGGAGGATGAACAGAACATAGATCTTGTGCTAACATCAGCATTTTATGCTACCTGCTGATTTGCACAAAAATGAAAATCCCCCATGGTGCAGATCCTTTTAATACCAAAATCCACACTCCCCTCATATTAGATGCAAAGACATTTGTGGTGTCAGGCATGGTGGCGCATGCCTGTAATCTTAGCATCTTGGGCTCAGGAGGTTGCAGGAGGAACACAGGTTTGAAGCCCACTTAGTGAGGTTGTAAGCAACCTAGTGAGATCCTGTCTTGAAATAAAAAAAATAAATAAAAAGGGCTGGTGATGTGGTTAAGTGCCTTTGGATTCAATCCCTGGTACCAAAAAAAAAAAAAAATGTGAACAATGATAAATATTTTTTAATTTTTTTGATCTTTTTAGATATATATGACAGTAGATTGTATTTTGTTATAGTTTTTAGTCGTCCGTGGACATATATTTTATTTATTTATTTATTTATTTATTATTTGTATGTGGTGCTGCAAATCAAGCCAAGTGCCTCATACATGCTAGGCAAGCACTCTACCATTGAGCTACAACCCCAGCCCAGTAGAGTGTATTTTGACATATTTTACATACATGGAGTATAACTTATTCTAATTAGGATCCCATTCCTGTGATTCTACATGATGTAGAGTTTCACCAGTCGTGTATTCATATATGAACACAGGAAAGTTATGTCTGACTCATTCTACTGTCTTTCCTATTTTCATCCCCAATCCCTTCCCTTCATTCCCTTTTGTCTAATCCAATGAACTTCTATTCCACCCTCCACCCCAATATTGCGTGTTAGCAACCATGTATCAGAGAGAACATTTGGCCTTTGTTTTTTTGGGACTGGCTTATTTCACTTAGCATGATAGTTTTCAGTTCTATCCATTTACCAGAAAATGCCATAATTTCATTCTTCTTTATGGCTGAGTAACATTCCATTGTGTATGTAGACAGTATTTTCTTTATCCATTCATCTGCTGAACAGCACCCAGGTTGCTTCAATAGCTTAGCTATCGTGAATTGAGCTGCTGTAAGCATTGATGTGGCTGTATCACTGTAGTATGCTGATTTTAAGTCCTTTGGGTATATACCAAGGAGTGGGATAACTGGGTCAAATGGTGGTTGCATTCCAAGTTTTAAGAACTATTTTTAAAGGCAAAGCAATGAACATAGCACTACATATCATGGAGTTACTTTATATATTACTATAAAATTATTCCAGTATTTGCATTTTTTTAACTTTTTATTTCAACTGAAGGATGTAGAAGGAAACACACCCAACCAGGATGAGTCATCCCACTACACCCTGAATTAAAGAGCTGGGCTGAGTGATGGGATCATTTCTATAGTTCCCGTCTCATCCAGTACCCCCCCCCCCATAGACTTCTCTCTTTTGGTACCTGGTGTTGGAGTGCTTAACTGGAAGAAAGTGAAAAGGCAAACTACACAAAAATAGTCACAATTATTGAGATTGACCCACCTAATTCACTTTTGCCTATTTCATCCCAATAATACTACTGAGTTTTTCTTTTTCTATTTCTGGTCTGAAATTCTTCAGAGTAAAAAGCAAACAGTGGAGTCACTTCATAGGACAGTATCCTGAGTGATAGTTTGGACTATTTGCCTCTTGGGTTCTCTTCTCTTTCATTTAACTAGTTGGCTGCAGTTGAGGTACAATCGCCCTATATACATTTACTTTCTACTCTTTCAGTTCCAATCCATCCTTTATCCCCACTTCCACAGGTCTGAGCTCACTGGTGATGTTCTTAGTAACTCTCAGTCTCTAATCCATTTGTTCATTCAGCATATCCCTCAAATCTGTTCCCTTCAAGTCTAAGGCTAAAACCATTCCTTCTGATACATGGTATTTGACCATTTAATCAAATTTTAGGGACAAACACCTAGACAAATAGCTCCCTGATCTGACAATGTTGAAAAGTCATTCTAGACATGTGACAGAGCAATTTTCACATAGCTACTGTCACCATGATTTCGGGGATGGGAAGAACCCCACATGGCTCAAGCAGGGGCACCCTGTACTCTTGAGTTGTATAACAGACTAACTGTTCAGATACATCTCAGAAATACAGTAGTCCCCTCTTAGCCATGGAAGATACGTTCCAAAAACTCCAGTAGATGCCTAAAACCACAAACAATACCACACCCTGTGTGTGTATGTGTGTGTGTGTGTGTGTGTGTGTTACCAATCTGGGTAACAAGGTGAGAAAGGGTCTCAAAAAAAAAAAAAAAGATATCCAGTTGCTTATTGAACCCTTCCATGCAGAAGTACAAACATTTCTGAAAATTATATAAGAACAAATATTTTTGAAAATTATAGAAGAAAATAAACCCACTATATGCTGAAATACAATGAAATAAAAGGAAAAACCAAACTACAGCTTACTTTTTGGGATCCTGCTCCCCCAATTCACATTCTTCATAATTTACATTTAGTCTTTCCTTCTGGGAAATCCTATTGACAAGTCCTATATAATTCCCAGGGGGTGATCCTTCTGAAGTATCTGTTGTCGCCAAGGATAAAGGACTAACTGTCTGGAAAAAAAAAAAAAAACTTGTCTCATATAAATTATAACAAAGATTTTACCCTTTATTTTACCCTTCAATTACTAAGTGCACAATCTGAAAGACATCTTAGATGGTATTAATGATATCCCCTTGTTAAAGATAGAGGTAACTATATACCTCTACCCCCCAAAAAAGGCTTTTTAAATTAAAGAATGAATAGACAAACAAAAATTATATATATGCATGGTATACAACATGACATTTTGAAATGTATACTTATCTGGTTTTTGTGGTTGGAGCACTTAAAATCTACTCTCTCAGTAATTTTAAGGTAGGTAATATATGAATTCACCCATTTTCCTTTTACAATGCCATTAAGAAAAAAACAAAATCTTGAAAATTTTCTTGTTTAATCAGGCAATGTACTCTAACACTCTCTATCTCACTTATCTTTTCTAAATCTTAAAAAACAGGGTAACATATTAAAGTAAAGATATATCCTGGATCACACCTTAATGGAAATGATTAAGATGATAGCATCATTCCCACTATTGTTATCTGAACCTTATTCTTTTCTTTTTTTTTAATCAATCTGACCAGGTCAGGTCAAAGTTTTTCTACTTTAATAATCTTAGCAAAGGTAGGGTAGTCTATTTCTAAACTTCTTGACTCAGTTTTCAGCTTATTAATAATTTCAGCTTATTAATAACAATTTCAGCTTATTAATAATAATTTCAGCTTATTAATAATAATTTTTGCTTAGTTATTTTCAATTTTGATTAAAAGGCTGACATCTTCAAGTAAGAATTTTTTCAAGAAAGCTAAATTTTCCCAATATTTTTAGTATATGAAAATGATCCTCTGTTGTCTCACATGTGAATGACTTCATGTCTCATTTTACAACCATTGCTCCATTGTCTCCTGGTGGACATCACCAAAATTCTTTTCATTTTTACACTTTGTTATTTTTCTTCTTCTGTGTATTTTTAACTTCTTCCTTCCTCCCTAGAGTTCAGTACATTTGTCAGGATCACTGTTGTTCTTAGTGGCCTGGTATTTTCCTATGTTTTAGTCAGTTTTTTCGCTGCTGTAACTAAAAGACAAGGCCAGAACAATTGTAGAGAAGGAAAAGTTTATTTAGGGGCTCAGAGTTTCAGAGGTCTCAGTCCACAGACAGCAGGTTCCATTCCTCAGGGCTCAAGGAGAGGCTGAACATCATGGCTGAAGAGTGTGGCAGAGGGAAGCCTCTCACAGGGTGATCAGGAAGCAGAGAGAGATGTCTCCACTTGCCAGATATAAATATGTACCCAAAGCCACACCCTCAATTCCCACCTCCCCCAGCCACACCCCACCATTTCAGTTACCACTCAGTTAATTCCTATCAGGGGATTAATTCACTGATTGGGTTAAGACTCTCCCACCCCAAATTTATCTTCTGAACCTTCTTGCATGGTCTCACACGTGAACTTTTGGGGGACACCTCACATCCAAACCATAACATCCTATATCCAGTGAGTTATTTTAATCTGTAGTCACATCTTTCTTTCCTGAGAAATGAAAGATTTCATGCTGAAATCTCTTTAGATGGTTTTGTTTGTTTGTTGGGTGTTGGGGATTGAACCCAGAGCCTTGCATATGCTCAGCATGCTCTCTACCCCTGAGCTACCCTTCCAGCCCCAACAGTTGTTTTTTTTTTTTTTTTCCTGTTCTATTTACTCTGTTTGCATTTTCAGGGACATCAATTATATTTATGCTGGTTCTCCATTATCTGCCCTCCATGTACATCATTCTCCTTACAAGCACTTCATCTCTTCTTTCCTTTCTATGTCCCCCAATGAGTTGGAGGGGACTCTTCCCACAACCTGTCAGTTCATTTCTGCCTGACCACGTCTCAGCTTTACACATTTGCCCAACTTCTGAGTACTGGATTGCTGCTAGCACTCTAACTGGGCATTATCCAGCTTAGCCCACTCTTTCCCAGATGTATTTCCCAGGGTTTTACAAAGAAGAAGACAGAGAAAGACTGAACTAAAATGTAAAGAAAATTGTGAATGGTTTTACCATGTATGTAGGTATTTTTTTTCACAGAGAGAAATACTAAATATTTGTTAAGTTCCCTTTTACTAGGAGAAATAAAAGAGCAATTTCCTACCTTGTTTTCTTTATTAAGTATATCAACAGCTATTTTGGCTGCAGCATTTTTTGCTTCCTGCTTTGATTTGCCTTCAGCTTCTGGAAATTTTCTCTCATCTATTATAACTTGAAACGTAAACCTAATTACAAAGAGAATATTCACATACAACTCATGCATGTGTAAGAACAAGTGGTCCAATCACCAGGCTTCCTGTGACTATCTTTAAGGGTGTGAACTTATCTTCTATTTAGAATGTAAGCAGCCACCCCAAACAGTAGAACAACACACCTTCTTGAAGCTCACAAAAGCTATACCCTCTTTTTTTTTCCCAGAGTCATCTGAGGTCACCAGTTTAGGTCAAGAGGATTCTCATAGAACTCTTTGACAACTTTGCTACAGAACTAAATTATTGACCTCAAAATTACACCAGAGCAGCCAGTGTCCTAATTTACATTTACAAGGATATATCCTTTTCTGGATGTATGCTGTAGGTATCGAACCTAGTATCGAACTCATGCTAAGCACAAGCTCTACCACTAAACTACACCCCCACCCAAGCCCTTAGGACTTCTCTTGTTTGATAGCAACTTGCCTTAAATCATGGGGAGGTCCTGTTGTAGCCAGTTCTTGGTACTTAAGAACTACTTGATACTTCTGACGGTACTTATTAAGTTCTTCTATGAAGAAACCTCGTGAGATAATGTTTGCCATTTCTTCTCCCAGTAACCTACAATGGAAGAGATGTTTCAGTAAGTGACACTCACAGAACATATATTTTTTAAATATTTATTTTTTAGTTGAAGGTGGACGCAATATCTTCATTTCATTTTTATGTGGTGCTGAGAATAGAACTCAGTGCTTCATGCATGCTAGGTGAGCACTCTACCACTAACTCCAGCCCTCACAGAACATATTTAATCTGATTTTCCCAGTGCAATTTAGAACAAACTCTCCTCAGTATGACTCACAGGGGTCCCGCAGAAATTCAGAGAACTTTCTTTTGAAATCTTTCTTTCTCTCCTATGGACTACACAATCAAGCTAATCTGTCCAAAAACTCTACTTTCAAAACTCAGCGGGGGGCTGGGGATATAGCTCAGTTGGTAGAGTGCTTGCCTAGCATGCACAAGGCCCTGGGTTCAATCCCCAGCACTACCAAAAAAAACAACAACAAACAACAACAACAACAACAAAGAAAAACACCCAGATGGCTAAGAAAGAAGAGAGCCCTCCTTCTTTACACTACTCTGTGCTCCTACTGAGTGTCAAATGCAAACCTGTATAGCTGCTCATGAAGCTAAAAAGGGAACAGGTAAAATTTGAATTTTTGATGTTGAGAGCAAGGTTTAGTGTATACAGAATAAGTAAGCTTATACAATCATGAAAGATTTGGTTGTATAGAAATAGATTCTCTTATGAAATTGCAAAAACTCCTCCTTTGAAATCTGCAGAAATCAATTTTAGGACAATTCACCCAATGGGTAAATTAAGATCCAGGTTTACAGGTCTCAGTAGACCAAAATGATAACATGATTTAAATTATAAACAAAATTTAAAAGACTTATAATTTATACATAGAAAGCCAAAACTATAAAACTCTCAGAAAAACACATAGATGTGAATCTTCATGAACCTGGATTTGACAAGAGAATCTTAGTTATGACAGCAGAAGTATGAGGAATCAAAGAAAACACAGAAAAATTGGGCTTCATCAAAATGAATAACTTCTGTGTAACAAGGACACCATGAGGCAAATAAAAAGACAATCTTCAGAATAGAATATTTTAAATTTATATATATGGTAAGGATCTGGTAACCAGAATATATAAAGAATTCTTGTAATTCAACATTAAAAAATCAACCCAAGGGCTGGGGATATAGCTCAGTTGGTAGAGTGCTTGCTTAGCATGCACAAGGCCCTGGGTTCAATCCCCAGTACCACAAAAATAAATAAACAAACAAACAATAAACAAATCCATAGAAAATAGGAAAAGGATTAGAACAGCTATTTCTCCAAAGGAGACATATAAATGTCCATGAAGTACATGAAAAGATGCTCAACATCACAACTACATACTACTTCACATCCACCTCAATACTGATAACAATCAGAGAATGAAAATGTTGGTAAGGATGTGGAAAAATTGAAACCTTCATACATTGTTGAACAGAATGTAAAAGATACAAGTGCTAAGGAACACAGTTTGGTGTTCTCTGAAAAAGTTAAGCTAATAAGGGGACGTTGACCAATGTGGCCTAATTTTTAGTTAGAAGGGAGAAGTTCTGGAGTTCTTTTACACAGTAGGGTGACTATAGGTAATGACAATGTAACTGTATATTTCAAAAAAGCTAGGAAAAAGCAATTTGAATGTTTTCTCCATAAAGAAATGAATAAAGTTTCAGATTGCTATGTTTAACCTGCATAATGCATACATGTATCAAAACATTACTTGGCATATAATAAACATGCACAATTTTTATGTTTTTATGTATCACCTAAAAATTAATTGAAATGCTTTAAGAAGTGAAGCTGCTAACTAAATTCCACTCCTAGGTATATCAAAGAATTGAGGAATAGATTTCAAACACATCCTTACATAGGAATGTTCATAGTAGGACTGTTCACAATAGCTAAAATGTGTAAACAAACCAAGTATCCATCAACTAATGAAAGGTAAACAAACTGTAGTATATCCACACAATGGAACATTATTTGGTCACAAAAAGGAATGAAGTACTGGTATATGCTATAGCATGGATGAACTTCAAGAACGTGCTAAATGAAAAAAGCCAGATGAGAAAGGTCATGTAATATGATTCTATTTATATGAAACCACCAGAATAAGTATGTACACCTATAGAGACTGCAAGGCAACCCTGCTAAACTCTTACTTCTCACTCTCTTGTGATTCTCCTTCTTCCATGGGTAACACTTCTTAATTTCATAGGCCCCAAATGCTGACACGGTCTGAAGACCCTATTCCTGCCAGATGCAGCAGCACATGCTGGTAATCCCAGCAGTTTGGGAGACTAAGACAAGAGAATCATAAGTTCAAGACCAGCCTCAGCAAGTTAGCAAGATCCTAATCAACTTAGTGAGATCCTATCTCAAAATAAAAAATAGAAAAGGCTAGGGATACTGCTCAGTAGCAGATCCCCTCTGGGTTAAATCCCCAGTACCAAAAACAAAAACAAAAAAAGCAAGCAAACAAATAAACAAACAAACAAAAATCTGTTCTCTTCATTTTTTTTTGCATGTCCATAATTTCAACAATTATTTGTATGTTATTAACTCTAAACTTTATATATCTCTCATAAACATCTCTGTGAGTTTCAGGTCTCTCTATCCAACAACTCTATTTGAATACCTTAAATGAACTTTAAACTCAAAATATTCAACAAACTGCCTTTATGATCTTCCCTGTCACCAAAATCATTTCTCCTTCTCAAAGATGTCTACAGGCACTGTCCTGATTCAAGCTCTCTTTACCTAACTTCCTAAGTGACAGCAGATAGTATACCCTCCAGTTTCCATCTTGCAAGGCATTCTTTTTTTATATTTGGTGAGGGGTACTAGAGGTTGAACTCAGGGGCACTCAACCACATCCCCAGCGCTATTTTGTATTTTATTTAGAGACAGGTTCTTTCTGAGTTGCTTAGCGCCTTGCCATTGCTGAGCCTGGCTTTGAGCAGAGTATCTTTCTACCTCAGTCTCCCGAACCCCGCTGGTATTACAGATGTGCGCCACCGCCCCCGGTTTAGCAAGGCCTTCTTTCTTGAGTACTAAAGAAAGCATGAGCCATATGAAGTTTCATGATTCTGGAATTCAACCGAGAATTCATGAATCACCATTCAAGTAACATTTCATAAGCACATATTCTATACTATGTGCTGGGGTCAGAGCCCTGAATAAAATCTGCTCTTGTGAATTTCCTAGTGGAAAAAATGACAGACAAACCCATCTTTTTTTTTTTTTTTTTAAGTCGCAGGTTGGTAAGCACTCTATTGAAAACTGGAGGGGGCAGCCCGGGTGGAGGGACGTCTCTCTTATGCACAAGCTGTTTCTAGAGGGTCGCCTGGTGAAGCTGGTACTGGAAGAAGGTAAGATAGAGCCAGGAACTGGCCCATGCAAGTATCTTGTGGGAAGAGCTTTTCAGGAAAAAGAAACTGAAACAGCAAGGAAGTCAGTGTAGCTAGAAAGGGGCACCTGAGGGGCCTTGCCTTGGGGCCTTGATTACCGGGTTCTGAGGAGAAGGACTGGGCCAGAGCAGGTGAGTGTGGCCTTGTGACACAGGGAACACTCGCTTGCTGCGGTGTGCGGGGAGTGGGTTAGAGCGGGCTGTTGCGGGGCAATTTGGGAAATCATTGCAACTCTCCAAGCAGGAGCTATTTAGCCAGCGATTATTTCGCCAACCTGTAGGTAATCCAGGACTCCAAACTGCCCAGCTGTCCGTGGGGTCCTGGGGCCAGTCGGTTTTCCACCGGATCGCCTCCACTCCACCCCCGACATCCGCTGCCTGGGAGAGGTCTCTTACCTTCTCTGATATTCTTCGCGGGAAGGAAACGGCCTCTGGGTCCCGCTGCGTCCCACGATCCTTTCTCCAGATCCGGGTGGGGTCCCCGCACGTAGGCTGCAGGACTCCCGCCTCTCCGGGTCCGGGCTCGTACCCGCGTCCCGACTGGACCTCGGTTTGCCCGCCGGCGCGCTGCCCCGCGCCGCCGCAGTCAGGCGCAGCCGGCCCGCTTCCCGGCCATCGACTCTCGGTTTCTTTTTCCCAGGCGGACTCCGCCTTCAGCGCTGTCAGCCCTCGCACAAGCGCACAGCGGCTGCAGGGGGTCTGACCACCGACCTGGGTCCCGAGCGTGCGCGGAGCGTCGCGGGGCGGGCTTGGCACCCGGGTCTGCTGCTGCGGCGCCCCGCACCCCTCCCGGGCTTCGGGCAGATTCCTGGCCCCACGTGCTGCAGCACCCGAGGCGTGCTAGGTGCTCCCTGGGCTCTGGGATGGATGGTCCTGTTTACTCTTTAAAAAAACAACCTTTGAGATGGGGCCAGGGAGTTGAATAGTAAGGGATCCAGTTTACAAGAGGAGAAATTGAGTAACTCACTCTGGGTCCTAACTCTGGTAGGCGGCAAAGCCAGGATTCAGTTCAAGCTCAGGCCTGTAGCCATCGAAGTATCCCTCTTCCTTGTCCACACTATAGACTGTGACTTTCTTAGAGTCACACTCGCTCCTTGACACCGCTTAAAGGGTGTTGAGGATTTACCTTGTGTCAAACACTGGTGCACATATCCTCACACCAGGACCCCAAGCTAAGTGCCCTTACTACTCCCATTGAACAGTTGAGGAAATGTGTCTGAGGCACAGGGAAGTTAGCCAGTAAGAAGGAGAGCTAGAATTAGAACCGGGAGTCTGAGTCTGCACTCAGTGTCTTAGCTAGGAAGAGACAGGGAGATCCCAAGATAGGTCTCAAATGCACATTATATACTGTGCTTGTCCATCCACTTGCCTCTCTGTTACAGGATATCAGCAACTGAAATCTACACTTTTCTTATGGCTTAGGTCCTTAGCAGGGTTTAAGCTCCCTAAATGTGAAGCTCTAGTGGGAGGTTTAGAAGGTAGATGAGAGAGGGCTGGGGTTGTGGCTCAGAGGTAGAATGCTCACCTACCATGCATGAGGCCCTGGGTTCGATCCTTAGCACCAAATAAAAATAAAATAAAGATATTGTTATAACTAAAAATAAATATTAAAAAAAAGAAGATAGATGAGAGAGCCATCTTTCTGTAGCATTTCAAGATGACAAAAAAGAAGCTCTCTGATGGTGGTGGGTGTTTGCAGGAGTCTGTTCATCAGCTTGTGTGTGATGGGTGTGACAACATCACTGGCAGCAGCAGGGACAAGTTTTCTGATATTCTTGGGCCCTGAACTGCCCAAGATAACTTTTTTTTCTTTCCGAGTTTTTTTATTGGTGCATTACAGTTATACATTACAATGGGATTTATTGTTACATATTCATATATGCCCACAATATAACAATATATTTTGGGCAATATCACTCCCCAGCACTTCCCCCAAGGGAACTTTAAGAAATAAAAATCATAATCTCAAGCATGATCACAGGATACAAGCTATTGTGACTTTTCCAGAAGGACCTCCTATTTCATATAGATCCAGAACTAATGTCGCAAAAATCAGGTGCAGAGTCTATTGCTGCAGGTAGCAGAATTACAATATTAATTTAATGTGGAGCCTCATCTAGTCTCTTAAGTGAACATGAAGTGTATGTATTGGGAAAGAATGACGCCCTGGGAATTTGAGTAGATTGAATGAATCCTAGTAGTATGGCCCTCCCACAATGTGCAGTCTCTGCAGGCCTTCCAGCATAGTGATCAGGCTGGCACAGCCTGGTTTGAAGAATCCATGGTAGTCACTTTGTAAGGAGGTGCTGACTCTTCAAATGCACCATCCCTACTTCTGCCTTCACTCCTAGAACTAGAATCAAACGCTACCATGACCCAAAAGGATAAGGAAAAGATCTGTTGGAGAGGAGACAGTTTATACAACAGAATAATTTCACTAATTTTTATTATTTATTATTTAATTTTTATTAGAAACCCAGGAAAAGACAACATGAAGGAAGTCAATGTGCTAGCTCCAGCACTGGGGATGGTTTTAAAATTTGCTCAAGTTGGTTTACTGCAACCAGAGCTTAATGGTAGCCCACATTAAAAGAAATTGTAATGCCAAATTATGCAGATAAAGAAATCAGAAATACTCAGGAAGTCAAGAATATTAGAGTGGATTAATGCTCAACCTGAGCACTCACTCCCTAACCTTGTCCTCCAAGAAGATTCAAACATCCTTCCTCTGGTAGCTTGTACAGATCCATGGCCAGCTGTTTAGGTGATGTTCAGAGATTTGGAAGGAATGAAATCAGAGAGCTGGTGAAAAGGGGGTCTGGGGAAAATGATTAGGGTGAACCATCTTGGAATTGGACAAAGTATGAGTATGTTGGTTTTGTTTTTGTTTTTGTTTTTATTTTTATTTTTTTGGGTTTTTTTTTTTGTGTGTGTATGTGTGTGTGTGTGTGAATGTTCACCAAAGGCACCCTCTGCTAAACAAGCTTTTGGAAGGAGGTAAGCAAGACTTTTCTGTCTTCCCCCCAGCTACTCCTGGGCTCTTAAAAAAAAAAACTATTCTTTTTCATATTTTTTTAATTGTAGATGGACACAATATCTTCATTTATTTTTATGTGGTGCTGAGGATCCATCCCAGTGCCTTACATGTGCAAGGCAGGCACTCTACCACTGAGCTACATACAGCCCCAGCCTCTCTGGGGCTCTTAACCAGCAGCAGAAATGTGAGTTTGTCAAGACGGACTTCTCATCAAAGCTACTGTGGCTTCTGAACACCATATGCAAAGACCTACACTGAGCCCTCAGTGTGTATCACAATACTCCACACTCCAAGGGAGACCAGCCAACTATTTGGTGGCAGACTGGTTACACCAGGGCCCTCTCATTATGGAGGGGGCAGGGAATTTTTCCTTTGTGGAGTAAAACATTATTCCCCTTATTCTTTGGAGTAAACATTTATTCAGTTTGCTTTTCCTTCCAGCCATGTCTCTGCCAGCACATCTTTGTGGATATTGTTAATGCCTTATTCACCTTCATAGTATCTCTCACTAAGGAGACCTTAAAAAAAAAAAAAAGCAGTGAGGCTGTATACTGACTACTATAGGATTCAATGGGTTTTTTATGAGCTCTGTTGCCCCAGTGCAGCTAGCCTTATAGGAGAGTAGTATGGAGTGTTGAAGACGCAGTTACAGCTCAAGGTAGGAGGCAACACTTAGCAAGTTGGAGGTGTTTTGTCCTTCAGGTGCAATACATACTCTAAACCTACTTGCTGCTCCTTCCTGGCTAGGATGCATGGCCCCAGGAAACAATAGAAGTAGAAGGTTATCTACCACAATTACACCTAATCACAAAGTACAAAATGAGTGCCTCTGCTTCCATGTCTTTGAGCTCTCTTCCACCAGGGTTACATAGTTCCTTGAAGGAGAACTTGAAATGTATTCAGACATTGTAGGTTTCTCATGCTGTCATTCTTCAAGAAAATAAGGGGTGGTGGGATGCTGAACTGGAGGGATGATTGACACCACTTACCAAAGGCATATAGTATTGCAGCTACACAAGGGGGTCAAGGAAGTGCGCGGAGAGCAATGATTTCAATCATGGTCTTTCTGATTCTTTCGTAGCCATGTTTGCACTCGAACTGCCTGTGCAAAGGTGCAGGTCAAGAAGGACCAGTTGCTATGTTGATGCCGACCCGATGAGTTTCTGTGCAAAGGCATGCAGCAGTTATCAGGCACCAACTCCCAGGGACAGAGAAGCATAACAAGATGACCCTAATGTCTCATCAGTTCTGTGTCCTTCAATTTGCCTGCTTCGCTGAAACTTTCCCACAAATAACCTTTTGATGATGAAACCTATATAATAAAATGCTGAGCTAGCTCTGGGTCAAACTCCATTAGAGTCTGGCTGCCCACCTGGCCCTTTTCTTCATTTCCCATCACCCCTTGTCAGGTTTCTTCCCTGAATTAACAGCCACCGCTGAGAGAGATGAGAGAGCCACAGTAGAAGTGTATGTCTTCAACTGAGGGCTTCCTCTGGGGTTCCTCATGGTAATTCCATGTTTAGTGATAAATGTTAAACTACCCCTGTCCATCACAGGTGGGACTGCTATGGGTTCAGACCCTTCAGGATTGAAGCTTAATATCACTCTATCAGCAGGGAAGTACTCTGAGGGCAAAAGGAACATGGAACAGGAAGCTATAAACACCCACTGTGATCTTATGAGCAAAGAATAAAGAATCACAGAAGCTATGCAAGTTTTCTCCTTTGTTTTTATATATGTTAATGGATTTCTTTTGCTTCTCTGTTTCATTTTATATAATATTTATTGTTGATGGCTAATTTTATAAGATAGTCTTTAATTTAGAATGTCTTAAGATGGATTGTGACTAAAATAGAAGATGAAGGAACAACACAGAGTAACGGGTATAAAGATTTAAGGGATGGGGTGGGCATGTTTTCATTCAAAGGAGAAAATGGTTGTATTCATCAGAGAGGCAATTTTGTTATTTGAAGGGGTGTATTTTTATTGTTAGAAGGGGTGTACTGTACCAGATATTATTAATTTTTTAAGCTTCTATTCTCACTCCCTTCAATGTCTCTTCATCTCCTGAATTATAATATATGGAAGTTTAAGCAATTATTTCCGTATTTCTGTGGAGTTAAAGTTTTGCATATAAGTTGGGACCTGCCAATGATGGATGAACAGCAATGTAAGTTATGGGAGATGGAAGGGAGAATAAAGCTATCCTTCTGTGGCAGGATAAACGAGTAAGCTCTGACACTGAGGGGCTTTTGTAAGAACTAAACTCCTTAGACCCTTGTTAGTGTTCTAAGGGTATTAGATTTCTATGGTGGCAGGAGAGAAACCCGCACTGGAAAATGGAAGGGTCCTGTGTTTGAGATCGCAGCCACAGTGGAAGGTAAGTCTCTTCTGGTTTCCATGATGATCAATCCTTCCAACAACTATGGAAGTGTTAATTTCCTACTTTATCTTTCTGCTTATCATACAGTGATTTCTGCTTCTCACATCAAACATTGGATAATAAACAAAACCTCCCTGAAAACAGATTCTACACTGAGGGAGTACAGTTGAGGAATGAAGACTAAGAATCAGGTCCTTATGTGAGGCCCAGATCAAGCCTCACTTGAAACCAGATCCAGTGATAAGATCATTCCATTGTTTTCTTCCCTCAAAAACTAATTT